TCATAAAAGAAAAGAAAATATTAAATTAATTTAAATTAATGTGGATGTATAAACATGATAAGAGTAGTGTTATTCTAATTACATTCATTGCGAATTTGAAAGAGGGATTTCGGGAAAACATAATAAAACTGTTAATAATAGAGCTTTTTCCACGCGCACTAGAATTGTCTTCTACAATACCATTCCCGTATCTCTATCCAACTGAAGTCTTAAGATACTTTCCATCATGAGTTGACCACATTGGTGGTGGATATGTTAAGGTATCAATCTATGAGACACTGCCGATTGCGATCTGACTCAACCATCCACAACAGAGAAAAACTTAGCCAAATGCTTGACTTCGACAAATGTCACGTTTTCACAAATGTGAAAAGACATCTCAGTTCGATTCTCTTGATGTGGAATATTTGTACCAAGTTAGACTAAATAGCAGTCACGTTTTCACACCTGCAAGATAATCTTAAATACAACGATGAAACGGACACCATTTCACAAAGCAACTTTAAGCTCAAACCAGCAGGTTATGATACAAGGAAAGAGACATGAAATCTCTAACTACTTCTCTCTTCTATCTCCTACTCTGTATCAATCTCCTGCCCAACTTCACTGCTTCCCAAATCCTTTTTCAGGTATTTACAGAAAGAATATTCTCTCTCTCTCTCTCTCTCTCTCTCTCTCAAAGGGCTAACTTATTTTGTGGGGGGCTGATGATCAGGGTTTCAATTGGGAATCATGGAAGACGGAAGGAGGATGGTACAACTCTTTAAGGAAGTCCGTACCTGAACTAGCTTCTTCTGGAATTACACATGTTTGGCTTCCTCCACCTTCTCAGGCTGCTTCAGATGAAGGCAAAATCTGTTCAAACCAGAATACTTTTTTTGAAGTTGCTGAGCTAGAACTTAATTTAGGTGCATTTGAATGGAATGATTTAACTTTGATAACCAAAAAAAATTAGTAAAAAATAAAATCAAAATCTATAAACATTAGATACGATGTATTTAAATAACTAGATACAATATATTTGAAATAACTATTTATAAGGAATCATTTGAAATCCGTATAATACCAAATGACCCTAAAATTTAGTTTGTGGCAATGTTGAAAGCATAGAGTCTTTAGCTATTTAGCAGCAGTTGCATGACTGCCATATGCCAATTCTTCCCTTTCTCCAGGATACTTGCCTGGAAGGCTCTATGATCTCAGCGCATCAAACTATGGAAGCCAAGATGAACTGAAGTCGTTGATAAGCGCCTTCCACGATAGTGGGATACAGGCTGTGGCAGATATAGTTATAAACCACAGAACTGCAGAGAAACGAGATAGGAGAGGAATATGGTGCCTCTTTGAAGGAGGAACTCCAGATCATCGCCTTGATTGGGGCCCGTCTCTTATTTGCAGCGACGACACAAAATATTCTAATGGCAAGGGGAACCCTGACACTGGAGCCCCCTATGATCCTGCTCCTGATATTGACCACAAAAACAAAAGAGTCCAGAAAGAGCTCTCGGATTGGATGAATTGGCTAAAGACTGAAATTGGGTTCAGTGGGTGGAGATTTGATTTTGTCAGGGGATATTCTCCAAAAATTACCAAGTTGTATATGACAAACACAAGTCCAAATTTCGCAGTAGGAGAAATTTGGAGTGATTCCTTTGCTAAAGGAAGTGACGGAAAACCAGAGTACAATCAGGATGCCAATCGTCAAGAGATTGCGGGTTGGGTAGAGGCTGCTGGAGGAGATGTCACAGCATTTGATTTTACCACTAAAGGGATACTTCAGCAGGCAGTCCAAGGGGAACTGTGGCGGCTGCAGGACCCGAATGGAAAGGCTCCAGGAATGATTGGTTTGTTGCCAGGAAACAGTGTAACTTTCATAGACAATCATGATACAGGTTCCACACAAAATATTTGGCCATTTCCATCAGATAAAGTCATGCAGGGATATGCCTATATTCTTACTCACCCGGGGATTCCCTCAATTGTAAGTTTCCAAATTTGAGTTACCTTTTCACAAGTTAGAAAGTAGGCATCTTCATAAGCCTTCACTAATGCTCGTTTAGCTGACTATAATATGAGATTCTGATTATTGTGCTTATTAGAGCAGAAAACTTATGTTACTTATGGTCCATTCTTAACATTTGTTTACCTGATTATCTTGTACCAGTTTTATGACCACTTCTTTGACTGGGGCTTGAAAGACGAGATCACTAAACTCATTGCAATCAGATCCCGGAACGGAATCAAACCCGACAGTGCCTTGCGTATTATAGCATCTGATGCAGATCTCTACGTAGCTGCCATAGATGAGAAAATCATAGCAAAGATTGGTTCAAGGTATGACGTTGGGAACCTTGTACCTCCAACCTACCAAATTGCAACTTCTGGAAAGGATTACGCCGTGTGGGAGAAAAAAGCATGAGGTCTTGAATATCATCTATGGAATGAAGTGACTAGAAATTGTTGTATTGCAAATGTATTTTATGCTTATTTATCAAGGAATAAAGCAAATAGTAGTCTACCAAAAATAAAAAATTGAGGTTTCTTTGGAAGATGCAAGAAAGTGAATGCAATTTGCATGTGTGGAATTTCTCTGGAAGCAATTAAACTGCTTAACACTCTTATCTATGAAGAATCCAATTGAAATATCATTATTTGAGGTTAACATTAGAGACCCCTAATTTCCTTACCAAATTTGTTTGCCAAATGATGTGTCAGTATACATGTCAATATCTTAGTTGTTAAACGAAAAAATGGCATTGAGAGTAGACCTATGAGACAACTTAGCCTAACATGACCTTATTTATTTCTTGTTGTTCCTTGGCAAAGAACAAGTGCCTCCATCTCCAATTCTCCATCATTGGCAATTGGTTGGGACAAGTTAACGTCAGTCGCACCATAGATAGCAGCGTTAGCAATTAAGGCATGTCTCTAATGGTACGTTGAATGACAGTCAGGACACTCACTTACAAAAACAGTACAGGTTTCATATCTCTGGGTATATACAGGTTTTAGTCACTTACCAAAACAGTTGAGATTTCACATTTTTAGGCCTAAAAACTGTCAGGTATGCAATTTACCGTAACAATCAAGTTCTCACACCTCTATCAAAGGATCTGGTTTCATTACAAGGAAACACGAACACTCTAAACCATTTCCCTCATCTATTTCCTTCTCTCTACCACTCTTGCAGCCGACTTCAGTGCTTCCCAGATCCGATTTCAGGTATTTATAGTAATACATAACCTCTCTCTGTCTCTCTGTCTCTCTCCGTAGGACTAATGTATTTTCGGGGGGCCGATGATCAGGGATTCAATTGGGAATCAAGCAAGAAAAGAGGATGGTGCAACTCTTTAAGCTACTTCCGGGATTACACATGTTTGGCTTCCTCCACCTTCTCATGCTATTTCACCTCAAGGTATTTACCTGTCCGAAAACTCTCGCTTGAAACTTGTCAGTTGTGCAAACCACATTTTGTTTAAAGTTGTTAAGCTCAAAGATGATCGCAGAACCAGCACGCAAGTCCGCTACAAGACTTTGATCCAAAAATTTTTTATTCCAATCTTGAAAGCTTAGTTTTTAGCCATAGCAGTAAGTATAGCCGTCCGGCTTTACGCTGTAAAGCCAAGCGGCTATACTCTTTAAATAGAATATTTTTAAAGTATAGCCGCGCGGCTATACTCTTTAATAGCATAACCTTGATTTCTCTTTTTTAATTACTTTATTTAGTAGTTATTTTTTAATTATTATTTACTTAGTGATTAATTAGTATTTGAATATTTTATTAATTAAAGATACGAAATTGGTGTTTTTATTTATTTATTATTTTTTTAAAAACATCCTTTGACGAAAGTTTGTTTGCACAGATATATCTCGGCAAACTTTTGTCGGATTAGACCTCTCTTGATGACAATTCGTCGGCAAAGGTGAGTTTCTTTGGGAGAGGTCTAATCTGGCAAATATTGGGGCATAGACTTGTGTCGACAACATTTCGTTGGGAGAGATTTTCTTGCTTTTTATTTATTTATTTTAAACATATAAAATAGTTTCTTTACTTTTATTTTTAGGCCAACATCTTTAATTTAATATATGTAATTAAGTAATATCATAGTCTTTTTTAATTACTTTAATTAGTAATTGTGTTTTAATTATTATTTGTTTAGTGAATATTTAAATATTTTACTCATTTCATAAATTACTTAATAAATAGTAATTAATTGTTTTAAATTATTTTGCAGACTATGCTTTTTATTTTATTTTTGTACAAAATTAGTTTGGGTAAATCCAAGTTCCACTCCCTATGCCCACCTTGCATATAGCTCGCGTAGGAAGACTCCCACTTATAAAGAGTAGATCCAAGTTCCACTCTCTTCTTTTTCAATGTGGGTATCAAGTTCATGTATTTCAATAAAATGCCAACAAGTAATTGATATTATTGAATCACGTTGTAACTTAAATTTAAGTTTCAAGGCTAAAATCCATTTTTGGAATACTAAAATACTTGGGTACCAAAACTAAATTTCCAGGATTTTAAAAAAAATATAATTATTCACTAAAGAAATAATAATTAAAACACAATTACTAATTAAAGCATTTAAATAAGTCTAAGATATTATTTAATTATTCAAAGCAACTTTTTAGAAAGAAAAAAAGTTAAAAAGAATATTTTAAGCGTATAGCCGTGCGGCTATATTATTCCATTTAAAGAGTATAGCGGCTGTTCTCTGCCAGTAGAATATCTTAAACGTATAGCCGCGCGGCATTACTCTAGAGATAGAATAGAATATGTTAGATGTCATAGGAGAATTCTTTGCATATTGAGCATATCTCGTATCTTTCCTTTTTCTAAGGATACATGCCTGGAAGGCTCTATATGATCTCAATGCATCAAAATATTGAAGCCAAGATGAATTGAAGTCACTGATAAGTGCCTTACATGATAGTGGGATACAGGACTGATTAAAGCTCCTCTCTTATTTGCAGCTACGACACACAATATTCTGATGGCAAGGGGAACCATGACACTGGAGCTGACTACAATGCTGCTCCTGATACTGACCACAAAAACACAAAAGTCCAGTAAGAGCTTTCGGATTGGATGAATTGATTAAAGACTGAAATTGGGTTCAGTGGGTGTTGCTCTCGGATAAGGTCATGCACAGATATGTCTACATTCTTACTCATCCAGGGATCCCATCAATTGTAAGTTCTTGGAATTTAATTTACTCTTTTTCTCAAGTTAGAAAACTGCCATGTTTCTGTTTCATAAGTACTTGACAAATGCTCTTTTAGCTGACTATAAAATGAGATTCAGGATGTCCTAGAATTCTCATTATGGTATTTATTAGATTCAGGATGTTTGGACAGAAAAGTTCATTTGACTTCATATAAATTAGCTAGGTGAAGACTCAGCATGACCTTGCTTTCCAATACATATAAATATGAAATAATGTGATATTGTTGACAGATTAAGCATTTTCTCCCCGCCTAGTATTTGAGGTCTTTCTGTTCTCCCTAGTGAACCTATTTAGACTTGATGGTTATGGCCCATACTTCAACTTTGTTTATCTGATTATCTTTGCCACAGTTTTATGACCACTTCTTTGACTGGGGTCTGAAAGAGGAGTTCACTAAACTCACTGCAATCAGATCCAGGAACGGGATCTAATTTGCCTCACCGACAGTGCCTTGCGCATTCTATCAGCTGATGCAGACGTCTATGTAGCTTCCATCGATGAGAAAATCGTAGTCAAGATTGGTCCAAGGCTTGACATTGGCAAGCTAGTGCCTCCAGCCTTCGAAATTGCGACTTCTGGAAAGGATTACTCCATGTGGGAGAAAAATGAATGAGGTATTGTTGATCTCATCTCTGTGAAACTGGAATGAACTAGTTAGAAATTTTTGTAGTGCAGTTGTATTATTTGCCTGAGTCTATACCTGACTAGAACAGTTTAAGGTGTCTATGTAGCTGGATTCAGATTCTTGCAATGGGGTTCAGATTATACGTCTTGAAGATTCGAATAAGTACTAGCTTTTAGCAACTGAAGCTGTTATCTTGTGTTTAAGCTAATATTGCTCCAAAAGTTAAGGATCTTGAGTGTATGGGGTTTAAAATGCCAATGAACTGGCCTTAAAATGCCAATGAACTTCACAAATTCACTATTTTGAAGAGTCTAATTTAACATCCCAAGTCACACATTGATCCCCATGAGCCGTTTTGAGCTCAAGTTGCAGTCCATCTAATTAACATCTTCCATTTCCTTCAGATCAAGTCATGCAAGGATATGCCTACATCCAGGGCATGGAAATATGGAGACATTTTATGGAATGGAAAGTGTTACATGATAACCCTATATTACAGAGAAATTTTTCTATGTGACCGTGGTGTTACTAATTCACACAAGTTATAGACGTGTGGTGGACGACGACAATACTGAAAAATTACTCCTATATTATGTTACCGGAAAGAAAAACCCTATACAAAATAACACGCACAGACAATTTCGACAAGAAAATGGGGCACATACTAATCTACCATGTCCTACTTCTGGAAGATCTCTCTGTTCATTTCAGACTGTGAATGGTGTGCAGAAAATGTGTTAAGATGCTTTGATTCCAAGGAGACATGGGATTTGATGGGAAGCGAGTTTTATACTTTGATTTCCCAATACCGTTCAGGGAATGTCTAATCCAAAGCTGACAAGGCCACTAACATCAGACATGCTCTTCGAGTGCGGTCCAGACCCAATTCAGCAGTTGTCTTTTTAACATGCCAGTAACTTATGAGCAGTACTCTTGCTACCATATAAAATACCTTTCAGCCCCTGTTATGAATCCGTAAGTTTTTTTTTAATTTCTTTTTTCTTCACAAGCAATAGTGTGGGAAGAGGGAGTCGAACACACAACATTTCACTAGTGAATTATTATTATTTTTTAAAGGCCAAGTATCATATGTGTGATTAATGGCAGATTCATGAATTTTCTTTCTAGAGAAAGAACTACTAATAGTGAAGATCAATCGACTCTGAAATGTTAAAAAACACATCATATAAACATATCCATGTACAAATTAGAGGTTGCCCTCCTTGCCCTGCCTTAGTCTTCTTTAAGGCATTTTATCAAAAGCTTACCCCCATTCAATACGAAATCTCATTAAAATCTGGGACCGTAAAGAACATGATCTTCTCTAGACCTTTAATGAATCTGTTAGTGTGTGTGTCGTGCTTTAAATCTAGATCTTGTTGTAGAAAAATTATCAATCATACACGTGTTGGCTACCAAACTCGATCAAAATTGAGTGTAGCCATCTGATTAAATTGCAGCTTTTAGACGGAGGGAAATCTCAATCGTGACTGACATTGATAACGGGCGCCAAAACAGGTGTACAATTGATAATCATTTTGCCACGCATTATTAAAGAAAACTAGAAGAAATGAATGAGTGTTGAATGTGAGAGATTCTTGTGTGCGGTCACACACACACACACACACCTCAGGAATAGGAGTGGTCCCACACGCACTATAGTGTGCGGGGATGGAAGTTTGATAACTTCCCTTCCTTTATGAGGCAAATCCAATTCAGCAATGAATGTTGAAAGTTTTGGTGGGGTCTGTCTTGTCTCAGCCTTTGGCAGTCGAGTGGAGGGAGAGAGATTGACCTCCGGGATGAGAATGAGAGTTCAGCTGGCGCTTTAAGGCTTTCTTCTAGTTTCTTCTAACCGTGTTACTGTGTGAAATGCCGAGACTATCGGTGATGTTGACACCCGTGTTTCTTTTTTCATGTTGAAAAGTTCCTGGTGTATATAAAGTTGCTTTAAGTCCATCTCCAAATAATAAAACAAAATAAAAAAAGTTGCTTACGTCATCGTACTAACGCAATCCATTCACATGAAGACTTATGAGTTGGTTGTACTTGCACTACACCATCAGCTCAAATATAAAATTTACCATTCTTTTAATATTTGGATACTTTACTCGTTTTTTTTTAGATATAATTTTTATGAGCTAAATTTAAAAATATTCTGGAACTTCAGATTTCTTACGGTTTTAGAATTTTTTTTATTTTTAATCTAAACCAACTCGTATCGTTGCATTTGTGACAGTTCAATTTATTCTCAATCAATTATCTTTGAATTTTACCAATCTTCTTTGGTTTACATTTCATTATAATTGTTGTAACTGTGCATATGTGACATGTTGTAATTTTTGTATAAAAAATAATCAAGCTATGTTCTATGAAAAAGTTTAAGCAGGGTTCTAGAAAACTTCCGAAGTTTCTTCCATGTTGACTCAAGTACGGTTGAATAGGTCCATCCTCATAAATCTAGATAGGGACAACATGTCAGGATTCACATTTGTCTGCGATGATGATGTAATCACTAACGTGTATGTTGGTCGTTAAAGCAAAAGGAAACTTCAACCCTGTCCCATAGCGGAACCCGTCTACTTCTCAAACTGCCACGTGTCCTTATCCTGAGATATCTTAAAGCCCAGCTCACCTTCCGCTGTTAAAACGGCGCGTGTGAGCGTTAGCTCACTTGTTAACCCAAGAGACAGTCCGTCCAGCTCGGACACTTGTACACTTCCACTTTCCTCCGCATCGCATATAAAAACACAAACACAACCCACAAAATTCCCACGTGTACGACCACACTGCGTGTTTAAACGGTGTAACAGCTGTTGTCCACGTCACCCTACCCCTTCGTATATAAACGCCCACCACTCTCTCTCTCTCAACTAAACGCAAAAATTTTCAAACACTTTCCCACTACACACTATCTCCTTCTCTCTTCTCTTACGACAACATGCGATCCTCCTACAAGCGACCCAAGCTCAACGAGCCCGAGCCCATCCACCCGGCTGAGCCTCCGATGCCGCTGCAGCCTCGCCGCCTCACCCAAGACCAAGAGCTCACCGTCATCGTCTCTGCGCTTCGCAACGTCGTCGCTGGCACCGCCACAGCGGCCTCCATGGACTTCAATTCCCTCCTCCCCCCACTACAATGTGCCTCCACTTCATACGCGGGCGCAACTGGCAGTAGCTGCTACGGCGACGCCCTATTGACACAGTCCGATTTGGACACCTGCAACGTGTGCAAAATCAAGGGCTGTCTTGGGTGCAATTTTTTCCCGCCACCAGCACAGGAGGAAAAGGGAAACAATAACAAAAAGGGGCCCAAGAAGAGGGTGAAGAAGAACTACAGGGGAGTGAGACAGAGGCCTTGGGGTAAATGGGCTGCGGAGATTCGAGACCCGAGGCGGGCGACTCGGGTCTGGCTCGGCACATTCACAACGGCGGAGGAGGCGGCCCGGGCCTACGACAAGGCAGCGATCGAGTTCCGCGGACCCAGAGCAAAGCTCAATTTTCCATTTCCCGACACCACATTGTTGACCCAGGAAACCAATTCAGCACAGCCCGCACAGCCCCAGCAGGTAGTTACAGAGCAAGTGACAAGCAGCGAGTTTTCTCGGGAAATTGAAATGACGGAAATTGGGAAGGGAAAGGGAAAGGAAAAGGAATTCTGGGAAATGATTGGAGAAGACGAAATCCAACAGTGGATGAGGATGATGGATTTTGCCACTGATAATTCCTCGGATTCTGGAAATGCTCAAAGCGCTTGAGCCCAATTTATTTTCAGGCATAAATTACATAAAATTTCATATTTTTTTATTTTTTTTCTAGCTTTGTACGGGACTAAAACAAGTTCGTTTGTTCTTCATTTAACATTTATGTGATCAATTTTAGAAGAAAATCACATTTATGTTGCTTTTAAAATTGAACAAAAATTAGTATTATTTCTAAAGTCTAATTTTGTTTGTGGGATCCACACGTACCAATCAGCTTTGATCAAATAGACCATGTGCGTTCTCAATATTCTGAAAGCCCTACCACATACTGCCACGTGTACTGGAAGAGGAAACATTCAGGTGATTTGCGAGAATACAACATGTGCGCTTTTCTTTTCGGGAGTAAAATAATTGGGAGCACGAATTTCACGTTTTTTTTATTAGCACGTGGGAATGGGTTAGGACTGCACCAAAAAAATTAGTGGATTATCCGAAGGGAAGGAAAATGAAAACATTTTATTTTAGATATGATTTTAATATTGGAGTCAAAAAGATTAAGCGTAATGAACAATGAATGGATATGCTCTAATTAGCCCGTGTGGTTGTGGACAAAACGAGTAGGGGCCTCTAATTTGATACTTTTTAATAAAACATGATTAACACCTGCCAATATCCACCTAAGTTTTAGGATGCAAAACCTTAATGATGAAGGATGATTTACATAATTTAAGAACGTTTGGGAGTGTTTTTGGAGCTGCCAAAAAGTGCTTTAAATTAGTAAAAGCACGAGTGTTTTAAAAGTTGTTTCCAAATAATCTAGGAGTGCTTTGGTGGGATTCAAAAGCATTTGAGGTGGTTTTTCAAGAAGCACATAATAAAAGTGTTGCATGGAAGAAACACGGGAAACACTTGGCTCCCATTAATAAAAGTCTAAACTAAGAGAAGTGAGTGAAGAGAAAATATGATGGGAATGTGGAGAATAATGAAAAGGGTTATCATTTTCTACAACCACTGAGAGTGATTGAATAATCATAGTCACAGTGATTAACGTGAATATTAACTCCTTAACTACTCTCCTAGCCATCATTTCCATACACCTTATTATTTCCCTGCAAACAGAAAACCATATAATTTATAGGAAATTTTAGATTCCTTCTTAATTAGGATTAGTTTTAATTGAGGTTACTGATCTTAGCTTTTGGCTAAACAGTCTTCTTTTTCTTTTTCTTTTTTTTTTTTTTTTTTTATAAAAAAAGTCTACATTCATATATTATTCTTGCAAAAAAAAATTAGACAAATCGGAAATGATTTCGATATCCAATTGTGTCATACAAAATTAATGAACACAGTGCTTTAAGAAAGTACTAAATTTCAATAATTCAATTGAGTGGTCAAATGATATCAGATTCAAGCGATTTTTTATAAAGATGATATTTGAATGAATATCTACAAAATAGACGGTTTGAATTAATGAAATATAATATGAAGTAGGCCCTACAAGGGTGTCCCTCAAATAATTATTTAAGGAATCCCTCAACTGAAACTCTCTATAGAATTATGTCTTTCTAAGGGTCACCATACTCTTAAGTTTGTAATTATAAGGTAAAAGACCCACCAAACTCATTTTCACGTTCACACCCACCCTTAGGACATTTACAAGTACATACTTAAACCCTTACAATTTACACACTCCGTTACACAAACCTTTAATAAGTCCATTAAATGCTGATGTGTCAAACATGAGATCCTTTTTTTCAATGACGTGGACACTATATGGGCAAAACAGTAATAAATAATTCCTTGTATTTGAAAATAGTTAAAAAAATATTAATTGAAAACAATGTCGTCACCCAAAGAATCGCCCAACCATCTCCTTCCTTAGTCCTCTCCCAGCTGCAGCAAGGCTCCTACCTTCACCAGAGCTCTGGGGTTGGCTGGGTGGGGAAGAGAGAGGGTGAGAGTTTATTTTATTTTATTTTAAAATTTTGTTTCACTATTGCATTTGAAAGAATGAAATAGCGAGTAAATATAGCAGCTACGAATAATAAAAAGATTATTTGAATTACTCTTTGGCACCCTGCCACCCACATCCAAATTTAACAACTAAATTCCAAATAGTAAAAAAAATTAATCTTTTGGGTGCTTTTCTTCAAAATTTACTGAAATTTGCAGCTTTCCAAGCAGACTCACCATGCCACTACCCAGTAGTCTCCGATGCCACTCAGCTAATAAGAAAATTTACTCTGCTTCTCCAGAACCAAGTGAAGTCATTAAATTTGTTGCTCAGTGTTGTCAGGCCTACGGTATGGCATGTATATGTGGTCCTTTGCAGCATTCTTCCTGCGCCTTTTCTCGATGAAGGCTTCAAGCTTGCCAGATCCCTGATCATTTAAAAAAAATTACGTTAGTTGCCAAAGCCATGATGACTAAGTACTAGTCCCAACAAGGTATTTTGAACATCATGACAAAACGAAAATCTGTACCTTGAGTTGTTTATACTTTTCCATAAGTCGTTTCTTTCGGATCTCAGCTGCAAATAATTAAAAATGTTAAAAAAGTACAATTGGGATTCGAACAATAAAGATCTTGGGGTTCTCTTGTCAACGGGTCTAGAATTCCTCGTATAATGAATCTAAAATATTTTGCTTTTTCTTGCATCTGCCAAGTACTATCCGGAAATATAGACTATTGAAACAAAACACACATGCACATGCACACATAGATGAAGAGAGAGCAAGAGAGTATTACATTTCTTAAGAAAAAAGGGTTGCTTCCCTTGCTTTGCTGCTTCTCTCTCTTTTTGCTTGTGCTCGGCCAGTATTGCAGCTTCAGTGCGCTTGGCTGACTCAGATTTGAGCTGTTTATCCTGAAAAGACACAACAATGAAGAAAACTGAATAGTGACAGAGCCAGTTTCTCTAATTTTTCTTTCAAGCAAAATAGAGAGTAAAAAGGAATATATAGCAAGGACCGATGAGGGAATCTATCAAATATATATTTTTGAAGTCAAGCACTTACGATCCAAGATATGTGTTTCTTTAGTTCTTCAATGACTTCTGGGTCCTTGGATTTTTTCACTTGCTTCTGCAGTTCCTGTCATATGCAAAACAAAAATCAGAGAAAAATAATAAACATGTAGAGATGAAACCGAAGACAAACATATTTAAGAAATTTTACCTCTCTCTCGGCAGGAAGCTCGTTTGCAAAAAGAAAGTCATATCTCTTCCTAAACCTGTTGACTGCAGGTTATCTTTTTTATTTTCTAAATAACATAAATTTTGTTGAAGCCATAAGTAGCAACTCATCTTTAATAAAAAGAGAGAAGCCTAAATAAAGTAATCTATACACACACCACAAATGGGGGGAGAGAGAGAGAGAGAAGCCTACCCGTCAACATCCAGTGTTCCACATAAAGATTCAAAACGTGGGTCACGTACCACCTGGACATAGCAAGAAATAATTTCAACCAAAGTACACTGATTGAATTGTTCAAGCTTTACACTAAACGAAGTACATGTAAGCCTTCTGCTTTACTCCAATACTCCATTAGTTGTCTTAATAAGATGATTGCCTAGGTATGGAAATACCTAGCTCTAATCATAGATTGACTACTCACAACTTTACTCATCCACTTTCTCACTTTAACATTACTTTGATACAAAAAGAACTTCTCTAGGAGAAATGAATCCTAAGAATAAAATCCAGATCAAATACTAAAAACCATAATCCCCCTATGTCATGCTTAATAACACACCAGGTTTTGATTCCAAGTGGGTCATAGAAAAAACATAAAAACATAAAAACACAAAACAAGAAACAAGCTACAGTTATTTATCGTCAATTTTTGTCATAGTAAACTATTTAAGTTATCAATATTTTCTCATGAAAACCTTTGGAACCCAATAGGAAAACAGATAGGCGTACCGCAAATAAGGTTGAATCTTAATTAAGTCATAAAATCACAATGCAGAACATCTTTATATCAAAAGCTCACCTTTTTGGAACCTTGAATGATCTCTCGAAATCTTGGAACAGGCTTCTTGCAACTAACCTCCATTGGCCTTTAAAAGCAAACATACACACACATATTCAGCTCTTCAATTGCATTACGAAAAACCCAACAAAAACCAACAGGAAACAATCTAATGTATGCTCAAATTACCGGTTCTTGTTCGCCCGGCCACCCTTCTTCTCTTCTTTGGGCTTTGGGTGCAATAAATGTGACCCGTTTGAGCGTGCCTTTTGCAGTTCTCCAAATGTCACATCTGCCAGCTCCTGCTCTATCTCCTCCTCCTATTATAAATATAAAAAATAATGAAAATAAAATGCAAAAATTGATTCTTCTTCACAACAATAAGACTTATAATAGCAATTAAAAAAAAAATTTACTTTTGATGACTTACATCTTCGGATGAAGACGAAGATTTGGATTCTTCGAACTTTATTTTGCTTGATGTGGAGATTGTGCTTCGAGGTTTCTTCATTTTCATTATCTGAGTTAAATAGGATTGGGTTTGCCCTATAAATTGAAATCCAAGTTGATTAATTTCAAGAAAGACATAATACAGAACACAATTAAATCCAAAAACATTCCAAATCAGACAAACCACAACAGATGAGAATATTAGGGCATAAAATTGATATTTCGACAATTCCGACTTCACAGATTAACTAAAGAATATAAACAAATTCGTTAACAACACAGCAGCTTATTAAAAGAATAAGAAGAAAACCTTAAGCTGCGTAAGAAACCCACCCAACCAAATGAATCTGAGATGGCGATGGCGACGGGTGCGACGGGTGCGACGGCGAAGGCGATGGCGACGGGTGCGACGGCGATGGCGATGGGTGCGACGGCGATTGCTGGTGGGTTCTCTCTCTTCCTTCTTCCTCCTCCTTTTTTGGTTACCGTCTAAATCGCTCGCGCAAAAGACTCAGCCAGCCTCTCGACAAAAGTTTAAACCCAAATATTCAATAACTTTCAAAATCAACCCCAAAATTTCAAAATGTTTTCTCTTTTACCCCTTGACGTATCGCAAGGGTATCGATGGAGTATCGGAGCCGTATTGTAAATTCAATAGGCCAGAAAGTCTACGATATGCCATGTGGTGTATCAGATTCGGTGCCGTATCGGATACGAGCATACCCCCAAAAACTTCCATATCGGTGCAACAGAGCTCACACAATATTTGATTCACAGGATGGATGATTATATCAAAATGTATTTGTTATCAAAATGCTTTTAATTTGGTTACATGTATTAAATGGTTTTTAGTTTGTTTCGTTTTTTTTAAAAAGATCGTTCCTATTGAGAGGGATCATAGCATACTAACTTCCATGAGATTTGAACTGAAACAATGAAAACATATTGTCTTATATCTTGAACCCAGGACTTCCAACAAATTGGATGGAAACTAGAATTTTATTTATATTTATTGTAAATTACTATACACCTTCAATTAATACAATTTATTTGGTATTAAAATAAATAAATACAATTTATTTGGTGTTAAAAAAATAAATGAATACAATTTATTTTCATGTAATTGTACTGGACGAATTTGTTCTACTTAGGGATTCTATTGATGGGTTCTCTACAGAGGGTGCCATCCAATGCAAGGACTCCATCAACGCAGACTTTATCCCTTCTACTGCGGAATTCATGACTATGTTGAGATGCTTGAGATTTGGTAATGGTGAAGGGAAGGCCTCTCTAAAATCTTCTGGAAACATGACACCCTACACAATTAAACACCATAAAATATATTAATAAAAAAATTAAAAAAAATTTATAAATTTATTGTTAAAATGAAATTTTTGGATGTGTATAAATACCTCAGCATCATGAATGTACAGTTTCAATTTTTTGGAGCAATCAAAGTGTTCAAGATAGTCTCTCAAAGTAGAAAAATGATTCAATGGCAAGCTGAAGGTGGGTCCTCTGATGTGATCCAAAAGTATGAGTGTTGCATCCGACAAATCTTTCAATGGGGCCATGGAAACGTTAGCCATCAAATATCCACTAAAATCAAAAGAATTTAAATTTGGAGTGTTAATTGTTGCCTCGACACTGTTTTGGCACAATGCATATAATATGAGGTGTTGAAGGTGCTGGCTGAAGATGTTAATGCATTTCAAGTTGGTGCAATCAAACAATGCCATGCTCTCAAGCAATTCAAAGTCTGAATCAAATTTAAAAGACTCAAGATTCTTGGCTTCAACTTCAATGTGGCGAGAATAGCAATCGAAAATTTCAAAGGATTTGAGACTCGAACTTGAAATTTTGAGTTTCCAAGTCCAGGAGCCGAGGTCACATAAATTTAAGGACAAATGCTCGATCCAAGGGCAGCCTGAAATTAGGTTGGAAAGTGCCATGCCCTCGAAGTCCACCATTTTGAAGGACATGGATTTTAGAGATGGTAAGCATATAGGCTGATCAGCATTGTCCTCTATTCTCACATCCTCCAAACTGAGAGTGGTTAAAAGCTTTGCATCAAAAAGGGTTTGGGGCAAGCAGTAGGGTTTGACGGTCGGTACGTTTCGAAGGCTTATATCTAACTCTTTCACGCTTCTCTCAACTGCAGATCTCAACCATGCATCTAGGACTTTCGCATCTCCCTGGTACCTCATTCGGAGCCTGAATTTTCCGTCATGATTGTATGGATCGCCCTCCTTGAATTCGAACACCGGGATCGAGGACCATGCCTCTGCCCATTGCTTGGAAACAAAGCTAGCCTGGGCTGCAAGTTTTGTGCGAAGAAGTTGGAGGATATGGTAGATAATGAGGCCGGGTAAGTAATTATAAGGTCTTGTTGAGGCCATGGCTTTTGTCTCCACAATTTTTTTTTTCCGCAGCCTTGTGTTTGTGTTTGGCTTGTTGCGGCTGCGTGCTTCTCCCTTGTAAGCCATTGTGAATGAATGACGATATTGGAGAGAAGAGATAGAGGAGGTCTTATTTATAAGGCTAGAATCCTTGTAGGAGTAGCAAACCTTTATTTATTTATTTTTGTTTTATTTTGAAAAATAATATCGTAATAGGAGTCAGAAAATTTTATTAAATTTGAACTCAAATAATATCTTATGTGATTTACTTCCAAGTTTCCGTTTTATTAATTTATTATACAAAGGACTCTTTCACGACACGTCTGCTATTTGAAAAAGTCAATGCTTAAACCTCGTACAAAGTTGTTGACAAAACATACCCAAGTCAAACACAAATATCCATTTTTATTTAATTATCCATTTACTATTCCTCGAAATATCAGCAGAATCCCAAGATATTCTCTACAAATTTCCAGAAAAAATCTGATCGAAAAAGGTAAGGTTTGGCGCTTTCTTCCTGGGCAATCAATCATTACCTTCTGCGCTTCTTCCTCTTCGCCACTTTCTTCCTTACTTTGGTCTCTTTCTCTCTCCTATTGGTACTTCCTCTTCTCCATTTTCTTCCTTTCTCTGCTCTCTTCTCTCTCTGATTGCGTAATGTTAACACACACCTTCTCTCTCTCTCTTTGATAAGTTTACAATTTTTATTAATATATGTTCTTCTATTTGGTTTTTTATTACTTAAAGACTTCTAGTTGGAGCTTGGTCTCCTACCATTCTACCATTACAAACACAATAGCTTTTTCTTATATTCATTAAAACATTCAAAACTCATGCTCAATCTACCATGTCTACCAAGAGAAAAACTCCCATAGAAAACACAAATTCAAGTAAAAAGCTCCAAACCCTAGAGTACTATGAATCAAGGGAAGATGATCACGATCGTGACCGAGAAGACGTCACAATACCTAGCTTTCCTGACCTTGTTATCGACCAAATCCTCCAACACCTTCCCACTACACTTGCTGTAAGCGTGAGCATATTTTCCAAGCAATGGAAAGGTGTATGGTCTTCGGTCCCCGTATTAGATTTTGACGAGGGCGAGCCCTATGATAACGACGAAAAGCTCGAAAATCTTCGACGGAAGAAGTTCATTAAATTCTTAAGAGGGTGTTTGAAATTTCGTGAGAGAGACAAGTCCTTGGATAAGTTCAGGCTTCGCATGAGATACCGTGGGAAAAGTAGAAACATAGAAAAGTGGTTGAGCTTTGCAATTGAGAGAAGCGTCAAAGTGTTAGAGATCAGTCTTCCAAGAAAACCTAAATTCAAATACTATTGCCTATCCAAGACCATTCTGAATGCAAAATCTATAACAACCTTAAATTTGGAGAGTTTGAGAATAACTGATGACAGCACTTCTCATTCCATAAGCCTTCCATCTGTGAAAACTTTGTCACTCAAAACTGTGCACTTTGGTCTCCGGGCTTTCTCCAATTTAATTTCACGGTGCCCTTCTATCGAGTGCTTGACACTAACTTCGTGTACTTTTGCCATCTTGAATGGAACAGTTAAAGTTTCGTTTTGCAGTCTTGAATCCTTTTGATAGTGCAATTTGGCTCAGTTTTGGTGGTTGTCTATGGTAGACATTTGGTTAGTTTTGCTAAATTCTGGTCTCTGATGGTGCAGTATTTATTTCCTATGCTCCTGGTGTATTTAATTTGGCCTTGTTTCGTTTCCGGACACATTGTAATCTCTTAATTTATCCTTGTTATATACCCTTTTGAAAAAGGAAAATTTTTATCACTCTTTGGAAGACTGGTTTCATATAAGATGAAACGCAATTGTAGGTTTTATCACTCTTTGTTTTCTTTTTCTTTTTGTTTTCACACAGGGTCTCTTGTGACTGCAATTTGTGTGGCAGAAAATATGATGCAATGAATGTTCTCGTGCCATACATAAAACGCACACTTTTATACTTGGCAAATTGAATGTTCTTCGATGCATATATCTGTGTTTTCGAATCAATATCGTGACCTAAATCTGGACACTAATTATTCAAGGGAGAGAATACAACCGCCAAAACATTTTCTACACAACCACAAGTCTAGTCCCTCGGGCGTTGGCTCGGCAGGGAGCCCATATATGACTGGAAGAATCAAACTCAGTATGTGTTTGGTTGAACTCGTTGATTTCTTTGTTTTAGAAATTTCAATCCCTATGTGGTGGAGGGAAGCATTTTACCAAGTAATTAACATGACCATATAGTCCAATGACGTCTCGACTTTGTTGGAGAGAGTCATCAAATACCATGACCAAACATTTGTTGAAAAACAAAGAACACTTCTCTTCTAAATTGATTTAATGTCTAAATTTCTATGTTTGAGATGGTTTACCACTTAAAAAGAAAAAGTATGGGCGTTAATTTAAGTTTGTTTCTATTATGGCTACGAAAAGAAAAACACACAGAAAACGTCTAAAACCAAATAAGAAGATCAAAAAAGAAGATGATAACCCAAATTCCACGGCCATGGAGTACATTAGTAATTAGTTCCTAGTGATTCTAGAATTGTTATAATTGTTACCTTAGAAGGATTCCTAGTAATTAGTAGATTTCTTACCTTATAAGGATTCCTAGTGATTCTAGAATTGTTATAATTAATTAATTAATTCCCTGATTGATGAGAGGCTGCATATGATAACCCATGCCATGTATATAAATAAAGCCATAAGAAACTTAGGTTAACAATCCCTACAAGAAATCGATTATGGCTACCAGAAAAATCCCAAATCACCCAAACACAAACAAGAATAATCTGAAGGGAAAGCAAAACTCCATGGCCACCGCCACAATATACCTCCTCACTTACCTGTCCTTGTTATCCACCACGTCCTCCAATTCCTTCCCACAAAACATGCCATCCGCATGAGCTCTCTTTGCAAGCAATGGGCAGGGCTGTGGTCTTCAGTCCCAGTACTAGATTTCGAAGAGGAGGACGAGCCACATGCAAAGTTCATCAATTTTGTGGACAGGTGTTTGGAAATTCATGAGAAATACGAGCACTTAGACAAATTCCGGCTTCGCATGATATTCCTGATGGGATTTGAAGCAAATTATAAATTCAACAAGTGGTTGGGTTTTGCAGTTGAAAGAAGAGTCAAAGAGTTAGATATCAGCTTCAGTGTACACACGCTCCTTGGCGTTGAGTTACTTTCGCCCCTTCTTAATGCAAAGTCTACAACTAGTTTGAATTTGGAGAATGTGACCATAGACGAGGACTGGGGTGAACCTATAATAAGCCTGCCCTCATTGAAAACTCTGTCCCTAAAAACAGTGAGATTCAAACCCTCGTCTGTTATCTCCTCATTGATTTCAGGCTGCCCTTGCATTCAGTATTTGTCCTTAACTTCATCTTCTTCCTCCGACTATTATATAATAGGGAGTTTCACTAAAACACCCAAAATAGGGGCTGAAATTATAAAAAAACCCAACACCCAAAACATTTTATAAACACACCCAAAACCCATCATTACACACACTCAAAACCCATTTATAAACACACCCAAAAACTATACAATTGTTGATTTTGGGTGTGTTTCTATGTTTAAATAGTGCTTGGGTTTTTTTATAAATACATGTCTATGATTGGGTTTATTTATAAATTTGTATATATAATATCCATGCAGACCCTTCTTGATGCAAAGTCTTTAACTTCCTTGAATCTAGAGTTCGTCGTAATACCGGATGACTTTAATAATGATCCTCCTATAGGCCGCCTTCCCTGTTTGAAAACAGTGTCCCTCACAAATGTGAACATGCATTACGGGACTTTTGCCCAATTAATTTCAAGTAGCCCTTCCCTTGAGCATTTGTCAGCATCTATAAGTTTCCCTCGTTATTATAATTATAGTCTACCTTCCTCCAGTCTCAAATCCTTTGAAGTTAGAATTTTCAATTCAGAAGTGGTTCGAGTCATTGAAGCTAAGAGTCTTGAATCTTGTACCTTGGTTTTAGAATCTCCAAAGCAGATTAAGCGTATACAGTTCGATCGTTGCGAAAACTTGAAACATTTGAGCATTCGTGCTCCGCAGCTCCCAAACTTTACACTACAACTGCATGGTTGCAAACATCTTGTGAATGCCTAACTTGATATTCCAAAGTTGGGTTTTAATAGAATCAACTCCAATGTTGAATGTGTAGAATTGAGATAGGATTGAGAGGAAGACTAGATTGAAGAATGACCTCGTTGAGGTTTGTTCTGTATTCATCACAAATTTATAATTAGAAGAGTTGACTTTGTATAAAGCTAATAATAGTAAGTAAATATATCTAGAATAAATACAGTGGTCTGCATATAGGAAAGAATATGAGATTGCTTATGTCAAAAGCAATCTCCCTTGATAGATGGAGAAATATCTGTTGATGGCAGAATTATAGGAGAAGACTTCGTGGTGTTTTCTTTAGGTGGGACCCCCCCCCCCCCCCCCCCCCCCCCCCCCCTTTTTCCAGCGAAATTGAACGATGTGGAGGTTGAGCTTGGTACCAAGATAATGGAAGCGTTCACGAGTGAGCCCTTTGGTGAAAATGTCAGTCAACTGATGATGAGAGGACACATGACGGGTGCGAGGAACCCCTTGAGTGAGGAACTCACGAACAAAATGATACTCAATTTCAATATGACGGATCCGGGCATGAAAAATGGGATTAGCAACCATGTGAAGCGTGGAGATATTATCAACATAGAGGCAAGGAGGTGAGCACAAAGGAATGCCAAGCTCACGAAAAAGGAAACAAAACCAACGAATTTCAGCAGCAGTGGTAGCTAATGCACAGTATTCAGCCTCGGTGCTTGACCGAGATACGGTGGATTGCTTCTTGGCAGTCCAAGTAAGAAAATTTGGACCTAGAAAAATGCAAGCACCAGTGGTAGAATGCCGATCATCAACAGAGCCAGCCCAGTCAGCATCAGAGAAACCATGAAGGGAAAAATCATGAGAACGATGAAAAACTATACCATGCTCAAGAGTCCCTTTAATGCACCGATAAATGCGTTAAACACTTTGAAGATGAGTGGTGCAAGGAGCATGCATGAATTGGCACACTTGATTGACGGCAAAGGCAATATCAGGGCGAGATAACGTGAGATACTGTAGACCACCAACCATACTGCGATAGGGAGCAGGATCAAGCAAGGGGTCACCATCAAGGGATGAGAGCCGGGTTGAGGAAGACAATGGAGTTGGACAGGGCTTGCATAACTCCATGTTGAACTTCTTCAACAAGTCAAGTGCATAACGAGTTTGAGACAAGGAGATGGTTTTAGGTGTGCGAAGAATCTCCATTCCAAGGAAGAAGCTAAGATCACCCATTTTGCGACTATCAAACTTGGAACATAGAAGATCAATGAATGATGAAATCTCAGCGGAGCTATGACCCGTGACAATGATGTCATCAACATAAATAAGAACATAAATAGAAGTATGTGAGCCATGATGAATAAATAAGGATGCATCTGAATGACTGTGGAAGAAGTGTTGCTTAAGTAAGAAAGAGGTCAGCCGCTGGAACCAAGCACGAGGAGCTTGCTTAAGCCCATATAGAGCTTTATGGAGCTTGCACACATACTGTGGTCGAAGAGGATCTGAGAACCCAGGAGGTTGTTTCATGTACACGTCTTCTTGAAGGAGGCCATTGAGGAACGCATTGCGAACATCCAATTGTTGAAGTGGCCATTTGTGGGAAATAGCCAAGGCCAAAATAGTACGGATAGTGGCTGGTTTTACTACTGGACTGAAAGTCTCATCATAGTCTAAACCCTCTTGTTGATTAAACCCTTTTGCAACTAATCTTGCCTTGTGACGCTCAATGGAGCCATCTGCTTTGCGTTTGACCTTGAAAACCCACTTGCATCCCACAATGTTCATAGAAGGAACGACAGGAACAAGAGACCAAGTATTATTACGAAGAAGAGCATCATATTCTTCGTGCATGGCAGATTGCCAATGAGGATGTTTGGCAGCTTGTGTATAGCTTGTGGGCTCAACGGAAAGTGAGTTTGCAAGAGAAGCGGTTAATCCTTTTGGTAATGGGTGAGGAGAGGGACCGTGAGTAAGCCTTTGAAGCTCTTGAACGCTGCGAAATTTTCCTGGTAATGGAGAGGTGTCAGGAGTGGATGAGGTGAGTGAAGGAGATGCAAAGTCACAAGGAGGAGATGCTTGAGATGGTGGTGACGCAGGAGCGGTTGAATGTTCATCATGAATGGAAGGCTGCATGGGAAAATCTGGTGGAGTCATCGGACCAGTAGGTGAGTCGGCAATGGGTGTGCTGGCTGATGGTGAGGATGGAACGGTGGCAAGAGGTGGAGCTGGTGGCAAAGAAGGCTGCAAAAGATTCTTTGAGAGAATTGGTTCTAGTACCGTTGGCAAAGGAGATGGTACCTGGATGGTGGGCTATTGAGAAGGAGTAATATGATAAGGGGATGTATGCTCATCAAAAGTGACATGGCGAGAGATGTACACCCGACCGGAAGCCATGTCTAAGCACCTATATCCTTTGTAGTTGCTGTCATAACCAATAAAAACACATTTAGTAGATTTAGGAATCAATTTATGCTTGTTATAAGGCACCAGAAGGGGGGAAACATGTGCACCCAAACGTCTTGAGGAATGTATAATCTGGAGGGCGTTGGAACAGGTTCTCATAAGGAGAGAGAGCTCCAAGGTGAAGCGATGGCAACCTGTTAATAAGAAATACAGCAGTGGAAAAATCCTCTAGCCAGAAACTGTGAGGCAAGTGTGATTGTGATAATAAACAAATTCCCATTTCCACTATGTGTCGATGCTTGCGTTCAACAACGCCATTTTGCTGCGGTGTGTATGGACATGAGATTTGATGACTAATACCAAGTTCACGGAGGAAATTGAGGAACATCCGGCTTGTGAATTCTCCACCACCATCGATTTGTAACATTTTAATGGTACGATTGAGCCGTTTTTCTACCATTCTCTTGAATATAACAAAATTTCCAAGCACATCAGATTTCTTGGTCAAGGGATAAAACCAAACAAAACGAGTGCAATCGTCTACAATGGACAAATAATAACGATATCCAAAATTAGAGGAGACAGGGGCTGGTCCCCATAAATCAAGATGCAATAAATCAAGTGGCTGTTGAGCATGTGAGTGGCGAGAAGAAAATGGTAACTTAAAAGATTTGCCCAATGGACAAATATGACAAGCTTTATGAGAATCAAAGCTACCGTGAAGAGGAAGTTTGTGTTTATTGAGCAAAACACGAAAAACAGCCTGTGAAGGGTGTCCAAGGCGAGCATGCCAAACTTCTTGAGTTGTCTTCTCACCACAGAAACCAAGCTTTTCAGAAAGTTCAGGTTCTGTATGGATGTGATACAAACCGCCTGAGCTACTGCCAGTAAGTAAAAGCTTCCCTGTCTTGTTGTCCTTGACACGAAATCCATTAGCATTCATCTCAAAATAACAATGATTATCTTTAGAAAACCGTCGTATAGATAACAAATTCTTACGTATGGCAGGTACACATAATACTTCATGAAGATTCAAAGAGCCAATTGATGTATCCAATTGTGTATGGCCAATATGAGTGATAGAGAGTTGAGATCCATTACCAACAACAATGGAGTCGTTACCTTTATAGGGTTGGGCATATGAGAGTGCAGAGGGATTGAAGGTCATATGATGAGTTGCTCCTGAGTCCACACACCAGTTTGTGAGTTCAGAGGGTTTGGGGGCAGTCACAGTGTTGGACTCGGCCATGTAAGCAAAATTTCCATGTTTTGGGCAGATGTGAGATGTGTGTCCTTGTCGATTGCAACGCTGGCAGATTTTCTGGAATTAGAAAGGTGATTGAGATGGTGGAATTGGAAGAAGTGGCGGACGATGATTTGGAGTGGGAGTGGTGGTGCAACTGTAGTCGAAAAAAGATCTGTTGGTATTGGTACGAATTGAATTCCTGCTACATTGGAAATTGGAGTTCTAGTTGCAATGTTCTTGTTTCAATAATTTTCTCTCCTTTTCAAATAAGGTGAAGTCAATTTTTTTTTTTCAAAAGCCTTCTTTGACTGCAGAGATTGTTGGTGAACAGAGTTAAGTGTGCTTTCTTCCTGAAATTTCAGTGGTGTTGTTTGTTGAAGAATGGTTTAGTTTGTAACGTTTTAATTGCAATGAACAAAACTATTGAAGAAGTTAGTAAATTTCAGTGGTGTTGGTAATTAGATAGATAAAAAACAAAAGACAATGTTTCTATGTCATGCATGACAGCAAATGATGCAGAAACAAAAAAATCAAACACATTCTTCTGCGAATATTGTAGTGTAAAAAATTTGTGTTAACATTAATTCTTCTTGTTACATGATTGTAAAAAGAATCGATCGTTAAATTCTAAAAAGAACCAAATAATGAATTTTCCTATTTCTGTTTGTACAAAATTTGATGAACTACTTAGAAAAGCTTGCAACCAAATTCATCTATGGATGTTCCCTCGAGACGAGATGAAGCTGATTTTGATGCAAGTTCTCTAAGCTGATCTGAACTTCTTCCCAGTTGCATAGCAACCTTCATTTCAAACAACTCCCCATTTTCTCTTTTCTCCAAATCTTGTTCTTCAAGTGTGGCTTGAATTGTATCCTCCAATTTGTTGAAGAAGCCAGCGCAGTTCCTATACATCTCAAACACCATCCCAATTTGCCCACCATGCTGAAAAGCATTAACTGCGCTAGCCAATGACCCTGCAGCCACTGCCACTATGGCACTAGCTGAGCCCTGGCCCACAAAAGCAGAGCCAATGGCTGCAGCCCCAGTTAGCAAAGGGCCTGAGATTGCCAAAATCTTGTTGATCTTCAACACCAAGCTCCCCAGTCTCTCATAGTCTTCTATGTCTTTCGTCTTCACCACTTCAATAATTTCCCTCATTTCCTCTTCAAGTTCAGCACTCCACCCATTAATCTTTCCCATCTGGTAGTTGGGTTTGCTTGGCTTTTGAGATTGAATATTTTTAGGCCACCAAACAGCTGGCTCAAATTTTTTAGGGAACTTTTCAAGCATGGCTCCAAGCAAAGGAAGTGGGTAAGCTTTGTCAAGTGCCAAGACCTTCTCCATAGTGTCCTTCACATCTTGTTCAGTAGGTTCATGAAGAGCAAGCATGGTTTGGATTTGGATCTGGAGCTGCTTGAACAATCTTGTGGCATTGCGCTGTTCCTCAGCGAGCTGCGAAGGCTGGAACTTGTTCATCACAAGTAGCATTCCGGAGGCTGCAGAGAACAAAAGAGTGGAGGAGATGTTCAAGGCCGAAACGGACACTCCAGCACCCGCTGCAGTGCCTGCAATTCCAGCCATGAGTGAAGCTGAGAGAGTGATCATGTTGATGGAGTTGAGAAGAAGCGTGTTCCAGTTGTCGCGCCACTCGCGAATGTTGTTGTGCATCTCAACTCTGTCTGCTACGGCTTCTAAGATTGCATAGAGCTGAGTTGTAGCGGCTGTAGGAGTCGCTGGAATGGCAGAATGGTTATTGTATGAATCATTATCAAGGATATGTTTTGGTTCCCTCAATTGAAGTCCCTCAAGCACCAGCTTCGTTGCTGTTTTTGGGACTGTGAAGCGGACTCTTGGGAGCTTGGGGACATGGATAGCAGCATTGGTATTTGATCTCCTTGACGAAGAACAGCATGAAGAAGAAAAAGAAGAAGAGAAAATGAGAGTTGAAGTTTGCAAGGACGCCATTTAAACTTGTTGGGTTTTCTGGATCTCTTTGGTCGTGAAGTTAAAGAGTATTGAAATCAAAGAGGATCTGAGTATTTCTCTTTGCTGCCTCTGTTGTTGTTGTTGTAGGAGGAGAGAAGAGTTTGAGATGAAAATAGAAGGTCCAATTTGGTGTTATTTATAGTGGGGAAGCACGGCTGAAACTGAAAGGAAGAGGTCAGATTTGGAAAATATTGACTGGCTTGAACGGGCAGAGAAGACTCAGCCCATTGGCTGACCTGCAGCCTGACCCATTCCCTTATTTTTAATTTTCTCTGTTCAAGATTGGTCAACTAAGGCTTCATGCTCTCTCTCTCTCTCTCTCTCTCTCTCTCTCTCTCTCTCTCTCTCACGCAAACATGTAATAAGCTGCGTTTGCTTGCGTGGTACTTCACCTTGTCAACAATTTAATAAGCTGCTATAGCAACTTGCAAGTTTTGTGACCAGCTGTTTGATTGAAGTGGTCTCTTCACTGGGTTTTTAAGATGGACCGACAGTTTTTTTTTCTTCCAACTACTAGTTTTCAAACCTCAACATTATATTATAATTTTCTAAATGTTTGGTCTTTCTTTTTTGGTACACTTGTCTCATTCCGATCCTTGTCACTTGAATCAAAAGTGGGGGTTGCTTCTGTTAGTGCTTTAAAATATGTTGAAAGGAGTTGCTCTTTAATATATATCATTTTCAAGACTCAATTTGTAAGGATCATCTTATATCATTATAATGTCACAATTATTTCCCAAAAATACAAGTCACCAAATACCATGTTAACATCTTTTCATTGTCAGAATTAAATGAAGTTGATGAGCAACCTAAAGCAGTAATTATTTTTGTTTTCTAGCGTTGTATTTTTGCACACAAATCACACATAATATAACAAAACAAAATGTAATAAAATAGTAAATCAAATTGTGTAAGGTAAAGTAGGTTTAGGCTTGCATACTTGATTTAGGAAAATTTGTCAGGGTGGTTAGCTTGCCCCATTGCAGCTAAGTTCGAGTCCCTTTTTTTCGAAGTTAGATTAATTTAGAATAGTTTAGATTGTTGCTTGTATTTTTTAAAAAAAATTGAAAAAAATGATGGAATAATACGGCGGAGCTGATCCATGAGAATGTTATAAACTCTTGTATTTTGGTATACAATAAAACTCAGCACCCGAGTTCGATTAACATAAAAGACGATTTTGAGGTCACCCAATACAATATTTTCCCCTCCCCCTCCCTAGCGAATGACAAAAAAAATCATGTTAAAGTTTGCTCTAGATAAAATGAAAATGTTAGTTGAATGATAATTTGTTCAAAGCTTCTTTTGACTGCAGAGACCGTTTGTGTACAGAGTTAAATGTGCTTTCTTCATGAACAAAGTTCTTGAAGAAAGTATTTTTCAGTGGTTTTGGTTATTGCTCCAAAACATTTTCCTTATCTTAATGAACAATTCTAGGTACTAATCAAACAAGTTTAGATTTTCATCGCTTTTTTCAATTTGGCATATTAAATGATGGAATAATACCACAACAGAGCTGATCCGTGAGTACGTATAAGAACTATACATTCCTGAACGAAATTCAATTGCACAATCCAATTTGTCACACAGAAATCAGAATCGCTCAACGTTAGCAGACGGAACTTGTACAAACACAAATTTTAAAAAACTATTAATAAGAAACCCTATTTTGTACTTCTGTATGAAAACACCAGTTAGAACAACTCACATGGATACAAGCAGAAAGAAGAAGCTACGAACAAGAAGCCATGAAAAAATTAAAAAAAATCTGTGTAACAATGACAAGCAGCTGAAACGCAGGCATTAAAGCGAATCCCGTAGGTACAAGACTGATGACAATGTTAACTCTCATATACAAAGGGTACGGCAGTATTATCATCTCTTGCCAGAGAGACTGATTGAGCTGACTTTCATGGGGGTTGCCACCACCAGTGGAGCTTCCGGGGAGTCTGTAACGGCATAGTTGTCGTGCGTGAAACGACTCTCCACGATGGACTCGTCCTTCAACAGAATCTTGTAACAACAACAACTCTTAAGACCTTGCTGATTCCTGTAGCATTCATGGGCACTGTTCTTCACCTGCTGAAAGTCCCATACCACGCTGAACTTTCCCACTGTTGCGACTAGGTGACGCTCTTGTTTACCATTTTCAGTGACCTGTAAACAGACATAACAAGTTTTCAGCACAATGAATTTCTCAATAAAGAAAGCTAATGAATGCATCTTCTATTTTCCAAATCATGGCAGAACTGTTTAGTACTTGTTCATTTTATTATTACAAAAAATGAATTTTCATCTTTACTTCTATATTTTCGATTTGATGATTCTCCCCTTCTAATTATATTTGGAAGAGATAAGTAAATGATAGTTTTCTATTCCATTCTATCAGTTTTATAAAGCTATAAACTCTAAAAATGCCAGAGAGTTTTCTATGGAACACTTGTTTGCTACAGGTCTATGCCTAGGAGAACAAATACAGGGCAACGAGAGAAGAAACATAAAATCCAGCCTATATCTATGAAAATGCAGAACTTACGTAGCATTCCTCAAAACTTCACATTTTAATGCAAGTGTGAAAGCTAATGAATGTGATGCGGACATCTGTGACAAAAATTTTAAGGTTTACCAAAGAAGGAAGAAATGATCAGCCAATCCAACATTATCATTATGGTTGGGGGTGAAATCTTAGTTTCCAGATTTCAATAGGAAAATTTTTTTTTTTTTTTTTTTTTTTTTTTCCAGATTTCAGACTAGGATTTCTAGGATTTTCCAGATTTTATTAAGTTTTAGTTTTTCAGTTTTTAGTAGGATTTGATTTAAGTTTCCTAGTTTGTTTGGATTGGGTCCTTTGTGTATTAGGATTCCTTTTAGTAAGGGATTTTTATCCTATTGTCTCTAGGTTTAGTTTGCTATAAATACTCCCTATGTAGTTCTTAAAATTCAGATTTGAGATATTAAGAAAAGTTTACTTTCCAGAGATTGGAGACTTCTTGGTGTGAAGCCAAGGCATCCTTTACCACCTATTTTCTGTTTTTCCATTGTTTTCGCTTCCGCTAAATTACCCAAATACTCAACACACCCATGTCCTACATCAGAATGCACCTCAATGCTAGTTTAATGCTTGATCTCATTTTCGAAAGAGATTGAACCACAATTTTAAATTTGATAAGCCAGCACACAGTGTATTACCGTTCACCAAAACAATTCCTCTGCATTAATCAATTAAACAAACTAAATTGAATGATTTACATCTCACGCCTATATCTAATGAAACAAGTCTTGCCAAACTGCTATTGGGGAACAAGAAAATCCACAGCAACCCTATGCTACTGCAGCAGAACCTATAGTTCTAAAGCTCTATTCATGGGTGTAATAAATAGACCGTAGCACAGTGACTAGTTCATCCAATATTCTTGGTTTCAACACAAATACTACAACATTGCACACATAAATGTCATAATAAACTCCATTATTTTAGACCTTGTTCACAAGACTTTCTCTAATGGTCAATTTAAATACAAGATAGCAAACTAATTTAGCAAATGCTGAGAAGACACAAGTAAAATTTCTCAAAGTGAATGCATCTCTTTGTCCACAATGGATGATCAAATTTCATGAAGTATATCTGAAAATTGAAAGTTCACTATTGTTCCAAGAAAAAAAATATTTAATTAACAAAACCTACAACATCGTATACACTAATATAATAGTAAGTTATGGACCTTTAGACCTCTTTCATGGTCAGTGCAAACCCATAGCATCCATAACCATATATAAGATAGAAGGCTAATTATGATAGATGTCATGGATTCATTCAAATATCACAGAACTACAGTAGAATGAAGGCTAAAATCTTGAAGAATATAGGGTTAGAGAGCAAGAGAGAAACAGAGAAGTGAAGGACTCTGTAGTTTCATTCAATATGACAATGATACCATCTCTTCCAACAGAAGCTAGAATGCCTTTACATACATTGCCATATGACAACAAAGAAAAATTAACTTAACTAAACTTGACACCTGTCCTAGCTAATTAGTCCACATCGGCATCAATATAATGCTGGTGTGGTGTAAATGTAATACTAGCAACTAAATTAAACAAATGCTGAGAAAGCCCAACTAAAATTTGTCAAAGAAAATGTATCATCTCTGCCCACAACAGATAATACACAATCTGCTCTATCGAATTTCATCAGTATATCTTTAAAAAAATTGAATTTTTATATTAAAATGCAAAACCCACAATTAGCCTAACTATTTTTCATCAATAGATTGAAACGAGACAGAGAAGAGATAGCAACTCACAAACTAAAAAAAGGGGAAAATTCTCACAGAAAAAGGGGATGCCCTTCAAGTCCAAAGCAAGAGCAGCATTAAGTCCTTCAATCAAGGCTTTCAACAGGGCACCATTCTTGCTCATCCCATTCCCAATCAGGGGTTTCCAAACCTCGAACACCAAATTATCCCTGCAGTCGCATAGAGCAACCTCAACCCCAGCCAGCACCACTCTCTCATTTCCAACCATTTCCTCGCTCACCAAACCCTTGAAGTAGAGCCTGAACACTCTTTCACTCTCGACCCTCTTCGTCGACGACGATGAGGAGGAGCCTTCACCGAAGGGTTTGGCGAAGAGTTCGCCAGACTCTTGCCACTCGTCCTATGGAATCTTCATGATCTCCCTCGCGACCTGATCATCGTGAATCCGACGGTTGAGATCCTCTCTGGCTTTTCGCATTTCGATTGCGCGGTCTTTCAATTCCTGCTCCATTCTTATGAGTTATTCGGACTTGAGGGCGACGTGGGTTGGGGTGTTGAGGATGGTCCGAACGGTGTCATTTGTGGGGGGTTGGGTAGAGGAGGAAGATGGTTGAGAATTCCATCGCAGATCGGTCTCTTGATCTTGGAAAGTTTGGGATTTTTGGGTGACAAGGATTTGGAGATTGCACGTGAGTTGAGATGATGAGTAGTCGGGACTCGGTTTGGGAAAGAAAAAAACATAAAACCTACCCTAGCTGACGTGGATAGCTCTAATCCATTGGATTCATCTGTACTAGGGTTTATGTTGCGATGTAATTAGTAATTAATTGATTTCTTACCTTAGAAGGATTTCCTAGTGATTCTAGAATTGTTATAATTAATTATTTCCCTGATTGATGAGAGGCTATAGATGATCACCCATGCCATTTATATAAATAAAGCCATAAGAAACTTAGGTCAACAATCCCTACAAGAAATCGATTATGGCTACCAGAAAAATCCCAAATCACCCAAACACAAACAAGAATAATCAGAAGGGAAAGCAAAACTCCATGGCCACCGCCACAATACCTCACTTACCTGTCCTCGTAATCCACCACGTCCTCCAATTCCTTCCCACAAAACTTGCCATCCGCATGAGCTCCCTATGCAAGCAATGGGAAGGGCTGTGGTCATCAGTCCCAGTTTTAGATTTCGAAGAGGAGGACGAGCATGCAAAGTTCATCAATTTTGTGGACAGGTGTTTGGAAATTCATGAGAAATACGAGCACTTAGACAAATTCCGGCTTCACATGAGGTCCTGTTCATATGGAGACAAATATAAATTCAACAAGTGGTTGGGTTTTGCAGTTGAAAGAAGAGTCAAAGAGTTAGATATCAGCTTCAGCTATAGACACCCGGTCCTTGGCGTCACGTTACTCTTGCCCCTTCTTAATGCAAAGTCTATAACTAGTTTGAATTTGGAGAATGTGACCATAGCGAACAGGGGTGAACCTATAAGCCTGCCCTCATTGAAAACTCTGTCCCTAACAACAGTGAGACTCCAAGCCTCGTCTGTGATCTCCTCATTGATTTCAGGCTGCCCTTGCATTCAGTATTTGTCCTTAACTTCATCTTCTTCCTCCGACTATTATATAATATCCATGCAGAACCTTCTTGATGCAAAGTATTTAACCTCCTTGAATCTAGAGTTCGTCCAAATAACGGATGACAGTAATAATGATCCTCCTATAGGCCGCCTTCCCTGTTTGAAAACAGTGTCCCTCACAACTGTGAACATGCATTACGGGACTTTCGCCCAATTAATTTCAAGTAGCCCTTCCCTTGAGCATTTGTCAGTATCCATATTTTTCCCTCATTATTATATTTCACCTCATATTCTACCTTCCTCCAGTCTCAAATCCTTCGAAGTTGGAATTTTCAATTCAGACGTGGTTCAAGTCAGTGGAGCTGAGAGTCTTGAATCTTGTACCTTGGTTTTAGAATCTCCAAAGCAGATTAAGCGTATACGGTTGGATGGTTGCAACAACTTGAAACATTTGAGCATTCGTGCTCCGCCGCTCCCAAACTTTACACTACAACTGCATGGTTGCAAACATCTTGTGAATGCCTCACTTGATATTCCAAAGTTGTATTTTACTAGAATCAGCTCCAATGTTGAATGGAGAAATTTTTATTCACTGGCAAATTATCTTGGAAAATTTCAAAGTTTCGAGAATATATCACTATATGTTGATGATGCTGAGGTGAGTCTACAATATCCATTGCATGCTTATATGCTTTGATAGATTTTGCTTTTGTATTCTATTCCAACTTGTGCTGCAATTAATTCTTCCACACTGATCATGATTTCCCTTTTGAATCTTGTTTGTGCATGCTGTAGGCTCTTATCTTCCCAAAAAATATGATAAAGTTCTATGATCCACCATTACGTACTGTCAACACTCTTACAGTATTCATCAGTTCTCCAAGAGGTGCAAAAGATTCTAAGTTGAGGCACTCTTTGTTTTGGTTGGGACCTAAGTCTCTATCAATAATATACTCTGACCTCTAGTCCCGGAGCAAGTAAAGGAGGGTGCGGTAATGGGTTAGGAATAGTACTTTAAGAGCATCCGCAATGGAAGAATTGTTTATATTTAATAGTTTATTTAATATGTATGATGGTAAAGTATGATAATTGATGTAGAACAGATGGCGGAAGCAATCAAAGAGGAGTTGGAGCGACATGCGAACAAATGCAAATCTGATAAACTGCAGATTTAGACTCCGAACTTAGAATTGGACCCATGACCGGTCAACAATTTAATAAGCTGCTGGCAACTTGCAAGTTTTGTAGCCACCTGTTTGATTGAAGTGGTCTCTTCACTGGGTTTTTAAGATGGACCGAGTGTTTTCTTTTTTTTCCAATTACTAGTTTTCAAACCTCAACACTAAATTGAATGATTTTCTAAATGTTTGGTCTTTCTTTTTTGGTACACTTGTCTCATTCCGATCCTTGTCACTTGAATCAAAAGTGGGGTTGCTTCTATTAGTGCTTTAAAATATGTTGAAAGGAGTTGCTCTTTAATATATATATATATATATATATCATTTTCAAGACTCAATTTGTAAGGATCATCTTATATCATTATAATATCACAATTATTTCACAAAAATACAAGTCACCAAATACCATGTTAACATCTTTTCATTGTCAGAATTAAATGAAGATGAGTAACCTAAAGCAGTAATTATTTCTGTTTTCTAGCATTGTAGATTACACACAAATCACACACAATATAACTAAACAAATTGTAAGAACATAGTAAACCAAATTGTGTAAGGTAAAGTAGGTTTAGGCTTGCATACTTGATTTAGGCAAATTCATCAGGGTGGTTAGCTTGCCCCATTGCAGCTAAGTTCGAGTCCCTTTTTTTCGAAGTTAGATTAATTTAGAATAGTTTAGATTGTTGCTTGTATTTTTTAAAAAAAATTGAAAAAAATGATGGAATAATACGGCAAAGCTGATTCGTGAGAATATTATAAACTCTTGTATTTTGGTATACAATAAAACTTAGCACCCGAGTTCAATTCACATAAAAGACGATTTTGAGGTCACCCAATACAATATTTCCCCCTACCCCTCCCTAGCGAATGACAAAAAAAATCATGTTAAAGTTTGCTCTAGATAAAATGAAAATGTTAGTTGAATGATAATTTGTTCAAAGCGTCTTTGACTGCAGAGACCGTTTGTGAACAAAGTTAAATGTGCTTTCTTCATGAACAAAGTTCTTGAAGAAAGTATTTTACAGTGGTTTTGGTTATTCCTCCAAAACATTTTCCTTATCTTAATGAACAATTTTAGGTACTAATCAAACAACTTTAGATTTTCATTGCTTTTTTCAATTTGGCATATTAAATTATGGAATAATACCACAATAGAGCTGATCCGTGAGTATGTTATAAGAATTATATATTCCTGAACGAAGTTCAATTGCACAATCCAATTTGTCACACAGAAATCAGAATCGCTCAACGTTAGCAGACGGAACTTGCACAAACACAAATTTTAAAAACCATTAATAAGAAACCCTATTTTGTACTTCTGTATGAAAACACCAGTTAGAACTACTCACATGGATACAAGCAGAAGAAGCTAAGAACAGGAAGCCATGAAAAAATTAAAAAATTAAAAAAAATTAAAAAAAATCTGAGTAACAATGACAAGCAGCTGAAACGCAGGCATTAGAGCGAATCCCGTAGGTACAAGACTGATGACAATGTTAACTCTCATATACAAAGGGTACGGCAGTCTTATCATCTCTTGCCAGAGAGACTGATTGAGCTGACTTTCATGGGCGTTGCCACCACCAGTGGAGCTTCCGGGGAGTCTGTAACGGCAAAGTTGTCGTGCATGAAACGACTCTCCACGATGGACTCGTCCTTCAACAGAATCTTGTAACAATAACAACTCTTAAGACCTTGCTGATTCCTGTAGCATTCATGGGCACTGTTCTTCACCTGCTGAAAGTCCCATACCACGCTGAACTTTCCCACTGTTGCGACTAGGTGACGCTCTTGTTTACCATTTTCAGTGACCTGTAAACAGACATAACAAGTTTTCAGCACAATGAATTTCTCAATAAAGAAAGCTAATGAATGCATCTTCTATTTTCCAAATCATGGCAGAACTGTTTGGTACTTGTTCATTTTATTATTACAAAAAATGAATTTTCATCTTTACTTCAATATTTTCGATTTTGATGATTCTCCCCTTCTAATTATATTTGGAAGAGTTAAGTAAATGATAGTTTTCTATTCCATTCTATCAGTTTTATAAAGCTATATAACTCTAAAAATACCAGAGAGTTTTCTATGGAACACTTGTTTGCTAAAGGTCTATGCCTAGGAGAACAAATACAGGGCAACGAGAGAAGAAACATAAAATCCAGCCTATATCTATGAAAATACAGAACTTACGTAGCATTCCTCAAAACTTCACATTTTAATGCAAGTGTGAAAGCTAATGAATGCACCTCAATGCTAGTTCAATGCTTCATCACATTTTCGAAAGAGATTGAACCACAACTTTAAATTTGATAAGCTAGCACACAGTGTATTACCGTTCACCAAAACAATTCCTCTGCATTAATCAATTAAACAAACTAAATTGAATGATTTACATCTCACATCTATATCTAATGAAACAAGTCTTGCCGAACTGCTATTGGGGAACAAGAAAATCCACAGCAACCCTATGCTACTGCAGCAGAACCTGTAGTTCTAAACCCCAATATGATTGTTCTCACAGTATGATGCACTGCAAAACAAGCCATTGGCCAGATTTAAGAGTTTGAACATCATAAGAAATGAGAAGTCCAAGTAGTTAGTGTTAGCTTCTGTTTGTTCCTCTTTCTGTTTAGATGACTATTCCCTAAGTTAGTTGCTTTTGTACGGCCAGTATCCATTTCATGAGTTATGGTTAATCCCTTCATGATCTAAGGTTGTTGGCTAATCCCTTCACTATATAGGGAATTTGGTCTTGTATGGGCAAGTTAGTTGCTTTTGTACTCCAGTGCACGAAACAGGAAGAACTTCTAAAGTTTGTTGAAACAACACTAAGAAATTTTTTATTATTTTTTTTCAACAACAAACACTAAAAAAATTTCAATGCTACTGAAAATTGCTATATATTAGCCTACACTTAATACCAGGCAGACAAACAATATCATAGTATCGTTGTCAATGAAGCATGGGAGCAGATATCAAATAATCAACATTCTCCAATAACAAAAATTGAGATTAAGCTACCACCAAATCAATCAAAACATGGTTAACTATTTAATCGATGTATGAGAAACATCATAATACACAATGAACATCTTTAAGATTCTTAACACTTTCAAATAAAATCTGTAAGACAGTTAACGCAGAAAAATCCACGCTTCGTTTAAAGCAGATATGACAGTTCAAATATCACCGATGGCATTAGAGAGGAAAAGAAATGTATTCTCGGGCTGCACACATGTATGAAATTCACGCCATATCTACATGACTATGCATGGTTACAGTATGAAACTAGAACAGCTATAACCACAATCAAACCAATAAAGCACATATTGATGGCAATATATCGTGAACCTATAGACAATATCCAGGATATACAAGCATCTAGAAACACTATAGGTAGACCATGAAGCAGTCTGAAAAATATGGAAAACATGAACATCGAAAAAATCACATTCAAGACTCATTAATGTAGGTTGACATTTAATTTAACCAAGATATATGAAACTGAACTCTGTAACAACTGAGGAAAACAATAACACCAGAAGAACTCATTCAAGGGTCATTAATATAGATGGGCACTTAATCTAACCAAAATGACACTGACCACAATTTCCAATTACGAGAATTGCTGTCATATACCTTCAAAGAACTTATTCAAGCATGCATATGTCCAAAAGATCTAAGTATTGCAGCATTTAAATAGAGAATAAGTTGCTTACCCATGAGAAATGGCCACCGTGAAATCTATTGTCTGTGCCAGCCAAATGCGAGTCCAAAGGGGTGAGCTTCAACAGCCTGGGAGCTGGTATCTTGTTTCCAGCTCTACCACTAAATGCAGTCTTGGTCTTTCCATCTTTGTCAGTGAAGAGAGTGCATATAAGAACCAAATAAGTATCAGTTGTGCCTAACACCCACTTCCCATCATAAGTTACATCAACATGGGTAATGGGGGAACCCAGCCCTGGAAATGCAGTCTTTGCCTGCCTCATGGAGGTCTTGGAATACAGCCTTATCTTCCCTTCCAGAGATCCAACAACAATAGACCCATCTCCAGTGGTAGCAAAGCACTGAAAATTGGTCCCTCGAGAAAACTGATGCCCCTGAGTCCAATTCAGCACGGGCGAATTAGCGGCAGCAATGTTCTGAACCATTCCTGCCCGATCACGCATATCCCACTGACAAAGCCTGTTATCATCCAAACCTAAAAAGGTTGATTCCGAAGGATCCAATTGCGACGCTTTAGTGTCATTAGTAATATCCCTCATTGTAATATCTGTTCCATCCTTTTGAAACTTCCATTCAGTGACAATCTTGCCGGTCTCAATATCAAGCTGTTGAATCCCATTAGCTTGAGGCTTCCCTTCCTTCAATGGACTCATAAGCAGCATATTAGTCTCAGCCCTCATTAATAGAGCCTTCTTGGGCGTCGATCTCCCTAAACTCGAGCCCCCGCTATCGAATTTCGCGACTACGCCCTTCCCATGAATCCCATGGTTGAAATTCCGATAAACCTGAACACCAGTGTCGTTCACCAAGAAGCTATTGTCCATTGCGCCAAGGGTTAAGCTCTGGACACCTCCATTGGCGGCCTCCTCAAACTCCTCCATCAAGTCCTGGCTGGGCCGGACCGGCGTAGCCGACTTAGGGCTTTGATCAATATCATCATAGTCCCAAGCCGAATCGTCGGCTGCCTCCGGCTTGGCCCACCCGAGAAACTCCTTGCCGTAAACCTTGACCTTGTTCTCCTCCGTGGCTTTGACTCCGTACACGTTCTCGAACAAGTAGTCCTGAAACTCCGTCACGAACCTCCGGTACTGCTCGTCGGTGTAAAATTTCAAAGCCCAGACGCCCTTGGACACGAAATCGACTCGGCGCTGATCGCCGAACATCTTCAATTGCATGTCGGTGGAAACCCTAGCTCGGACCTTGGACCCGACCTTCAGGACCCATTGTCCCTCACGGTCCGATCGAACGTCGTCGTCGTAATCATCGTCGCCGTCGACATTAAAGGTCTTGACGAAAGAGTAAGAGGTCTTATCGGAGACAACCCACTTGGCCTTGGGAGTGTTGCCACCGATGTGGAGATAGAGCTTGACGGCGTTCTGGTTTTGCGCGGCAGAGGAAGAGGAAGGAGAGCCGTACTTGAGCTTGAGGGCTTTGAGCTTGGCGTCGACATCGTCGATGGAGGAGTCTAGGGTTTTGGATTTGGGCTTCGAGGAGGGCTGGTGCGGCTTCTCCTCGGCGTCGTCGTACTGGTCTTCGTCTTCCGAAACCTCTTCTTCTTCCGACTCGTACTCGTCTGAGTCGGTGATGTGATCCTCGCGGCTCTGAGAGGTTCCCATGGCTTTTGGAATTCGAAATTCTCAGAGCTCAGAAAGACAAATGGAGAATTTCGAATTTCGAATTTCGAAGATTTTGTTTGGGAAATGAAATTTGAGTATTGAGAATTTGGGAGCGAAAGAAATTGTAGAGGTTTTGATTTTGTGGAGCGTCTGCAGAGTTGGCTGCTGACTCGGTTGCTTTTTTATATGTGCTTTGCTTTCAGCGTAGCGTTGATTCGACGTGGCCTTTGCTTCTTGGTTAAGGAAGGGATTGGCTGTAACGCGGGGTACATCTCCCTTTGGTTAGAGTATATGCCACGTATGCGTTTGATTAATGTGATCGACCTCTCTCATCCCTTTTGTGAGACTATAATCCCTTTTCGGAGACATTACTTAAAAAGTTTAAAATTTGCTTTTTGAACCGTTAGGATTAGTTGGTTAATCGGTTAATCCTATCTTATCAAAAATAAAATACAAAATTTACTTCAAATATGTGAAGTCTTGAATCAGAAAGCCACGAATAAATTAGATAACAAGTGAACATAGAAAAGAATATGTTTGCTCGATATTGGATTACACATTTGTGAGACCACACTTACACTAGTAGTAAACACAAACGAATTAGAAAAGAGATCAAACACTCATTACATGTAAGCAAATATGCTACTAAGATCTCTAGCTTGATTGACTACGTTTTATTTATTTACCATAAAGATATTACTAAGCCATTAGTGCATGAGATAATGAGTTAGAATTAAGCTAGATTAAAGGTTCGATTCCCTTTCATTGTAACGAAAAAAATATATGAAGTACTTATTTAGCTCGAAGGTTGATATTTTATTTCATGATATTTATACATTACGAAGTATCATAAACATCGCATATAAAGATTATAGTTTTTGTATTTTGTATTTTTTAAAACAAAGATTATACTTTTCAAAAGGACACAAGAATGAACTCCAAATTCAACAAAAGATTTTTTATTTTTTTCAGGGAGCCTAAGCCCCTTTTTAAGATTGAATAAAGAGCCAAAGAACCTCAGATGAAATGCCACGGAGGATGTAGGGAAGGTGGTGTCTAGCTTCGATTCTCATTGTAAATAACAAACAAAAGAAGTATTATACTAAAAGGTGGAAAGTGGAGCAGTATACAATGATCAATAACAAAACAAAATAATTAAAAGAAAGTTTTTAAATCAAAGTTTTCTTGGGTAATAATAACAAGGAATGTGGGCGAAAATCCAGCCAGCAAAGCAAGACACAAAGGGCTAAAGCAGCCAAACTACTAGCCCAATAGGCAACCAATTTGAGAAGCTTGCTTGCCTTACCAAAACTTGGCAGTAATATGACCAAGTAGAGGCCATGAGTAAGAAGAACAGGAGGAACTGACCAAAAAAAATAAAAGAACAGGAGGAACCAGAAATGATCATAAGTTGCCTTGCCTCCAATCTCTAATTGGCATCCATAGAATAAAACTCGTTCTTAGATGGATTGTGGGAACAACAGGCTTGCGATCACAAATCCCGTTCCAAGAGCAATGCTGCTGCCAGTTATGGATAATGAGACTAACCCTAGCATCAAGAGCCAAACCCGAACTCAGGATAGCAGGAGGACTAGTAAGAAGGTGGGAGAGGTCCCAATGGATTGTCAGTTGTCAAACCACAAATTCAATTGGGACTTGTATCTAAATCTCTGATTTATATATTTTTCTCCAATTCCAGAGCAAACTTGTGGAGGGTTAACAGCCCAAATGCTCATGCCCCTGTGATTATACTTATGCACCCCCTAGCATCAAGAGCCAAACCCGAACTCAGGATAGCAGGAGGACTCGTAAGAAGGTGGGAGAGGTCCCAATGGATGTCAGTTGTCAAACCACAAATTCAATTGGGACTTGTATCTAAATCTCTGATTTATAGATTTTTCTCCAAGTTCTAGAGCAAACTTGTGGAGGGTTAACAGCCCAAATGCTCATGCCCCTGTGATTATACTTATGCACCCATCTAGTCCAAATGCTGTCAGAATCGCTCACAACATGCCATAAGCGTCTAAGCATCAAGGGTTTGTTCCAAGAATGCAATGCAAGCACCTAATGCCCAGGCCTGCACTACTGAATACTGAAGATATGCAAGTCTACGATTGTCCAAGAAACCAATAACGATCAACAATTGAATTTTTCTCATACAAGCAATCTCACAACTAAACTAGTACCACGATTTCAAGCAAATTTTGTCATTGGTTCATTGCTGGGTATAGGTAGCATAATCACGTTTTCCAAATTTCAGCTTTGCCTACAAGTATACTTACCTATTACACTGGACAGTTGAACTTGCTAAAACAAGAATAGTAAGCCACAGGTTTTCTGTTTCCTTGGCCACCTTCAAATGAAGCTCTGAATTCCCAGAACACGAACCACATTCTTCTCACAGGGCATCACGAGAGGCAATCCGGCAAGTAATGGCATCAGCAAGAGAAGATATCCCTAGTTCCACGCTAGTTATCTTATAGTGCTGAAAATAAAGAGTGTTGATGATCACTAACTAGAAACAAAATCACAACAAAACTAATTGCCGCTAGAAAAGTGATCAAGACTCAAGAGTGTACCTTTTGTATTTGGGCTTGGTCTGCTCTACCTCCCAACTCCTCCAAGTCAATCTCTTTTCCATTGATTAGTTTCTCTACTGCTTTCTGTTCAATCTAGTATTCAACAAAAATTATGAAAGTCAGAATGGCTAACATTTTCTGATATCCTGAAGCAATGCAAGACTTGATCTACTACACCTTTCAGAGTGATCTTACCTCATCAGAAGAAGCATTAAAACGAGCGGCAAGCACATAAGTCGAGCTTTCAGAGATGCCACATCTTTTCAACGATTCTGTGATCTAACCATGTTCAAAGATAGGGGTTACATATTTGCAGCACGAGAAAAATAAGCAACAGGCCACAAAACATGTTAGTTAATAGGTAGAAAATTACATGCTTGGATCCTGAGTAATTGTAAACAAGCTCAGAATGAAGAGTGCGCGTTGTCAACGACTCTCGGGACTTGGCTACAAGTGTCTTATGTGCAGCTGCAAGCAAAGGAAAAACATCTGGTATCTGCTTCCATTGTGGGTGAAGGTAACATTAGAGAAACTCAACAAGAAGGATCTCAGCAAAGAGAATACAACATTGAAGGAAAAAATAAAAAAAAGGGATGGTTAAAGTATGGAATAAAACCAGTGAAGCATTCAGGAACGCGACTTCGGGGTCTAGTGTCCCAGATTGCATAGAATCAAGCAGCTCCCTACAAGATAATGACTTTACAACATAAGACAGATATATCACACATAAGTTTTGTTCCACTTCAATTGAAGTAGATGGGTTCATTCTTACTTCTGTTTAAAATTAAAACATCTTTCAAATTCAGCTACAAATTCAATAACTTTATTTTTCTCTTTGGGGACTGAAAATTAGGTTAACAAGCGATGGCAATCTTGTTTGCAGTTAGAGCTATGTTAAGTACAGAGGCAGTCATCGGTTCCCAAAAATTAATACATCGGAAGAAGAAAAAAAAACAGTTGTTCTTACTGGCATGAGATAAGTGAATAAGTTCATATCTATGTGCTAAAGAAATTATGACAACGAAATTCCCAACTTTATTCTCCAGCTTAACCAGGTTTTGATGGAAAATCCAGGGGAACGAAATTGGGTTTGGTGAATTTTCCATGAGAAAGCAATACCCAGTTGAGCTAGTTGCAAGAGAGAGAGAGAGAGAGTACTTGGAGTTGGTGACTTCAGTGAAGAGAGCAAGAAAGAGAGTGTTCCCATTGACCTCAAACGCCTTCATGATTGCGTCTCCAAGCTGTAGGCTTTTGCACTGCAAGTCTGCAACAAAACAATTTAATTGAAGCTTACAATTTCTGGTGCAAATACATAATCAAACAATAAAAAAAGTAGCAAAAAAGCATCATGGGTTTTACCAGCAGGTGCCTATTCTCGGCTGCTGCTCTGCCTAGGGTTTTACCACCAGTTTTGTCTATAAAAAGTCAAACAATAAAAATAAAGCCATTTTAAGCGCGCCAGGTAGGGGTCGAACCTACGACTTTCTGCTTAGGAAACAGACGCTCTATCCACTGAGCTACAGGCGCTTACTTGTTAATTTGTCTGCAATAAATTGTAATAAATAATGATTTATATGTTATGTATTGCCGTGGCAATGGGTGTTACCATATAAGACACATTGACGGATATCAGTTCGGTCTACAGGCACAAGCCAACGAGGAGCCAGGCTTGAAAACCATACTGCATTTGCATTGATTTTATGTAGGTTTTTTATTTATTTATTTTTTATTTTTTATAAATTATTGGAAAAGATGCTTTATTCGAAACAATAGAAGAGGCCCAAGTAGATGAAATCATTCGAAACCTAACATAAGAGAGATATGAACAATAGTGTAATTTAGACAAAGATTCGTGGCTTGAACCAATTACAGAGAAATAAGGAAAAGAAAATAATAGGAAGTCTGAACACCCCTATCCAAAATCTAATGTGAGAGATATGACCTGTAGTGTTATCTTAAAAAAGATTTGTAGCCTAAACCAATAATGGGAAAACAAATAAAAGAAGAGTGCTACTATATCCACCCACCCTAAAAACATAAGAAAATTACGACTCCTTAATCATGATTGCTCTTATGACTTTTCAGTGCTCATAACTTAATTCTCAAATAATTTTCTTCTCTTTTCTATTTATTCAATCAAATTGTTATTATGAAGAAAAAAACAACAAGAGAATAGATGTTGAAGAGAATGATTTTGGCGAAAAAGTAAGGAAATCCTATTTGAACAAAATTTCTAAGATCTTTACGATTACTTAAAGCATTGGGAGATGAGTATTTCTTGGACTATGATTTTTTTTTTCCTGAAACAAATTAAAAATCTGAAAACTTGGGGATGAATCAACAATTCTACAATTTGGGCTCTGTTGATTACACAAAGAACGTTCCTTACAAAACCAGTTTGGCTGAGGATTTTTTGAGGCGTGAGAAGGTGAAGAAGGCTTTAGGGGTTAATAGGTCGTTGGTTTTTGAGGAATGCAGTGATTTGGTGGGGGATATTTTGCATGAAGATGTGACGAAGAGTGTGAAATACATGATGGAATATTTATGAAGAAGAACAAGGTCTTACTGTACTGGGGGAAGTTTGATTTGAGAGATTGTGTGGTTTCCATTGAGGCAGACAAAGAGAGATGGAGCGTGAGAGATTGAAAATAAGATACAACAAAAATGAGAAAGAGATGTGTGGGCCATGAGAGAGAGAGAGAGAGAAAAAAAAACATGAACATAGAGAATAAAAGGAGAGAGGAAATGAGGTAATAATTAAAAGGATATTTTAGGAATATTGGTGGGTGGAAAAATATAATTGTATTTTTTAAAATTTATATGATGGGTGAGAAGATAAGGTGAGTAGGAAAATAAAACGGATGGGTGGAAATAATAACACTCTAAAAGAAAGACGAATTCGCATGAACACCACTTCAATCTGCGCACCCAAATGGCTTTGCCAGAATCCTGCCCCCTACAGTACAAAAGAAAAAAATAGAAAAACAAACATTAGAAGAGAAAAAAAACAGCTCTTTTATTACTGTATCGATTAACGAAATCTTTCAGGCAAGAACAAATGCTGTCTTGTAAATATTAACCATATTGACCTGGTCAAAAATCTCCATGGGCTCTCAAAACCATCATCTATCTTCAAGCATAGCCCTCCACGTGTCAACCCCAACCACGCCATGCCCAACCTCCCCACCTTGGCGCCCATTCCTCACTTTCACCAAGAAAACAAAATCTTGCCAAACGTTGGCATCCTTTCTTTCTGGGTTAGGGTTCCCAGCAGGACGACATGTCCCTCTGCCTCTTACTCCTATGGCTCGTCACCATCCCTCTCCTCGCCTACTCTCAAAGTAACCCTAGAGGCAGGTTCCATAAATACACATGGCACATCCCCACTAATAATTAGACACATTTTATCGCTTTTTATCTTTAGGGTTTTTCTTGTTTGTTCATTTTTTTTCACCCAAAAATAACACAAAATTCTAGCATTTTCCTCTAGTTGATTATACAATCCCATCTGTCAAATTTTATTTCAAACTTTTGAGAATTGTGTTCTAATCAATTTCGAAGCCTTGAATTATATGATCTTTCTGTATTGTCCAGTATTTGATGCGGAAATATATTTTCCAAAGTAGGTACATGCAAAATTAATGTCTCAAAAATGCAGGGTACCTCCTAAACTGTGGAGCTTGGCCGTCGCCTGGCAACGACGTAACAGTAGGGAGCCTGAAATACATCACAGACGAGGGCTTCATATCGGTGGGAAACACCAGCACCATCAAACAGGATGGCCTAGTGCCCATACTCACCACATTGCGCTATTTCCCAAACAAGTCCGCACGTAAGTACTGCTACGCTATCCCCGTGATCAAAGGAGGGAAGTATCTCGTTCGAACGACGTACTATTATGGCGGTTTTGATGGCGGGAAGGAGCCTCCGGTGTTTGATCAGATTGTGGAGGGGACTAAATGGAGTGTGGTTAACACCACGGAGGACCATGCCAATGGGATGAGCTCGTATTATGAGATTGTGGTGAAGGCTCAGGGAAAGGCCTTAAGTGTGTGCCTTGCGAGGAATAACATGACGGCATCAGGTTCTAGCCCCTTTATCTCAGCTCTTGAGCTGGAGTACATGGACGATTCAGTGTACAATGCCACGGATTTTAACAAGTATGCGCTTACCACGGTGGCCAGGAGTAGCTTTGGAGATGATGGTGACATAATTGGGTAGGAACTCAATTTGTTCTTTAGTACTCCTTGCTGCAATATTAACTTGAGAGCAATGCAGTTGGACTACATTGTAAACTACGTCACTAATAGAGGTGTGACTAGGTGTATCAGCTGCACTAGTCGGTTCCACCTTTATCAGAAATGTGGTTTGCAATGCAGTCTACAAATGTGATCAAAATGGTTTATTTTTTATTGGTACTAGCAATATAGACTATGTGTACATTTGCAGATAAAACTATTTGAAGGTCTGAACCATATTTATATATGGGCACATTGTAGAGGCATAGAGATCAGACTTACTACTTGTTAAGTGGGACCTACCTCCACTCTACTAGTGATGTAGCCTAAAATGTGATTTATGTAACGTAGGTCATATGTGCATCATACCTTTGTAAGCTATGATCAGAATTTTTTTAAAACTAACATAGGTTTTGGCATGAGATATACCAAAAGGAATATAAATTTGTCTTTGGATACAAGTTTTTATTTTATGAATGCTACGTGATCTGTACAATTATATATAATGAACTATCTGATGTTGAATATGTAAATATGAACTTAGCTTTCCAGATGACAAATTCAACCGGTTATGGCAACCTTACAAGGACCAGAACCCTGTTGTGCCCTGCAAGTATAATGTAACTCCCTCCGATTTCTGGAACATCCCGCCGGCAAAAATATTCCAAAATTCTGTCACAAGCGGCCGAGGGAAGCCACTGCAAATCAAATGGCCAGCCGGGTCACTCCCCAGTGCAAGCTACTACATTGCATTATATTTCCAGGACAACAGAAATCCAAGTCCACATAGTTGGAGAGTCTTTAATGTTTCTGTGAATGACAAGAACTTCTATGCCAACATTAATGTCAGCACCAGAGGCTTAACAGTTTATGCACCGCAATGGCCGCTATCTGGGCAGACACAGATTGTCCTAACTCCTGGCCAGGGCATACCTGTTGGGCCTGTCATCAGCGCCGGTGAGATCATGCAGATTCTGCCTCTTGGAGGAGTGACTGTCAATAGAGATGGTATAGCTTATTCAATATCCCATCCACTTTTTTCACCATTTCTTAAACCATGGTTATTTTTATGAGACTTTCCTCTTTTCTTGCTTGTTTGAACTTTTAACCAGTAAATGTCTTTGGTGTTCCTTAGTTGCGGCAATGATTGAATTGAGAAGATATTTCGACAATCCACCTCCCGATTGGAGTGGCGATCCTTGCCTGCCAGGAGAGAATTCATGGACTGGTGTTACATGTTCTCATGGAAAGAATTATCGAGTAACAGCTTTGTAAGTCCACAAGGATATGTGACATGACTAAATTCTTGGCCCTGAATCTCATGAGGCATACATAATATCCTTACAATATGTTTCCTAGATAATGATTTATGCTAGGGGATTTAAATTTTGATTGGCAGTCGAAATGTTTTAATATTCTGTGAAGGAATCTAACTGGCATTGGGCTATCTGGGTCACTGGCACCAAACATAGCAAATTTGACTGCTCTACGCCATATGTAAGTAATCATGCACTTGCTAGTTATGCTACCAACCATTGTTCACCGGCATCTGTTTTCGCGATCACTTACTAATGGCGCTTTCGATGGAATTATTTCCTTACAGTTGGCTTGGGGGAAACAAACTTTCAGGCAACATTCCAGAAATGGGCTCATTGAAGGACTTGCAGAGTTTGTATGTTACATAGAAAGTTCTATCACTGTCATTCATTCTTCAGTATACTTTTCTATGCTTAGCAATCCATGTATACTTCTTCTGCAATGCTTTAATTCTGTTTTTTTCTTTTTTATTATCTGACGAAGGCATTTGGAAAACAACCAGCTTGAAGGACTAATTCCTCAATCATTACAAAAACTTCCAAAACTACGAGAGATGTGAGCAAATCATTCTCTCTCTCTGTTTTTTTTATGACATTATTCTGTGGCATCAGCTAACTATTTTGGTGACCTGCTTTGGTTTACAGTTTCCTTCAGAATAACAAAGTTAAAGGCGATGTCCCCCACACGCCGCAGGATAAAAAGAAGAACATTCAGTAAGAAATAACAACCCTAATTTCTAGTTTAATCGCCAAAGTAATTGATTTCAATGTATTCTACCTTCTTCGGATGAATGAGCCTGCTAAAAAAAACAAACAGGGTTCCTTTGCAACTTATGCCGGTTAATATTGCAGGTTGAAGAACGACCCTGACAGTGGATCGCAGTCTCCAGCTAGGATGTAACTGGGAAGTTTTAATCCCTGGAATAGAACTGTAAGAGTCGAATGACAGGAATGGATCAAAAAGGCGTGGGGAGATGGCAAAGAAATTTATGACCCCTGCTTCAGTAATAGTTTGGTTGGGGAAGGTCTTCATGTTTATAGCTCTCTTTTTTTATTTTCTCTCCAAATGTCAGCCCCATAATTCGAAAACCAACAAACAAACCAAGTGCAGCATATGCAATATGATTAATTAACATGTACATCACTAACATGCCTTACAGAAATTACTTAACTGCTAATGAGAATGTTATGAAAACCACATAGCACAGGAAGCTTCTGATTTTTTTTTCTTGCTGTTCTGTGGATTTTATGTTGTTTGCACCATGGCATCTGATTAAAACGTGCCATCAGTTCTAAACATCAGAAACTCAACAAACAAAAAATAGCTATGCTATGATCTTGTGTAATGTATATTCTCTAAAATATGGACAGTCTAATGCAGGAGGATGTGGGCTCCTAGTTGTCTCTCCATGGCCCCCATCTTCCTTTATCAGCACCCTACAGGCTGATGGGTTACCACTGTGGCATGTAACCCACAGTCGTGCCGGCGTGTCTTTCTATTTGTTTTTTTTACGTTTAAGCTTTGTTTCCCTTGGATGTTTGCTTCTTTGGAACTAGGTCTGTTTGAGGCATATTTTGACACCACAAGTTATTTGTAATTTGAAACGGTTGCATTGAGATCACGAATCTTAGCATAAGTCAAGATTTAGATAGAGACAATGCAGGTACGGATCTAAGGAAAATTATATACATTGATGTTAGAGTTGCCAAGGATCTCGAGAAAGAAAAAAAAAACCCATCTAATGTTCATTCAAACACCACGATTTCCATCTTTTAACTTCAACTGAGAGCAGAAATGATTGCCACTCAATGATCAAGTTGTGAGGGATCGCAATAGGTTCCACCATTTTGAGAACAGGACTTGCTTTGTGCTGATTCGATTGAAATGCAAAACGGATCGATAAACAACAAACTTGCTACGAGAGCAATCATGTTCAATAATAACATGTTGGACAATCACTGAATTTTAAAAACTTAAACTTTATTTTACGCATAAAAAGACAAGTAGATGCAAATAGTATAGAAGCATCTCCAACAGGTTTACTTAACAGGATAAATAATAAGTAGAAACAGAGCTCTCGTAGCATGTTAGACAAGACAAGTGTTTAATTCCGAACCTAAAATGTAAGAAAATTGGTCCCTAAAATGTTAATGTATCTCAAAGCTAACTTAAAATAACACCGCACGTATCTTTGAGGCAGATATTGTCGTACAAATTCCTTGATTGGACGCTTTAATAACGAATTGCCAGCTTCCACTTGACAAAAACACACAGACAGCAGAGACCGCACGTTACACTTAACTACACTTCTCCTTTGAGCTCGCTGTTGCCGCGCGCGCGCCACACCCGCAATCTATATAAATTCATTTCTCACCCTCCCTCTCTCCCTCTCTCTCTCTCTCTCTCTCTCTTAAAAATTTCAGTCTTTCAGTCCTTCGCTCCTCAACATTTCTTGGAATGTTGGCTACTAACCCTAGCCTCTTCTTCTCCTCCTCCAAACCCTCCTCAACCCGCCTCCGCTGCCGCGCCGCCACTGGAGACCTCCCTCGCGGCCCAGCATTCCCCCGCTTAATTCAATTCCCCTCCGCCGCTGCTGACGCAGCCGCCGTTGGCGTCCGAATTGGCCAGGGCGCCGAGCTCGACGGCGGGGCGGCTGGGCTTCGCGGCGGCGGTAGCGGCAGTGGCAGTGGTGGTGTTAAGGTGAATGCCATGGAGAGGAAGTGGTCGCGTGACAGAGAGAGCTATTTGACTCACAACGGCGACCCCCTCCCTCTTCCGATGACATATCCCAATACTTCGCCGGTGTCACCCGAGGAGATTGACCGGAGGCTCCGATGTGATCCTATAGTTGAGGTCAGAATTGCAAATTCGGTTTTAATTTGGGTGTTATTTGCAAAATTATATGTGGATAAGTCATTCAAAAATCTTGAAAGTTTTGGGAAATTTTGTAGGATTGCAAGGAAGTTGTATATGAATGGACAGGAAAGTGTAGGAGTTGCCAAGGCTCAGGATTTGTCAGTTATTACAACAAAAGAGGAAGAGAAACTATCTGCAAATGCCTACCTTGCCAAGGAATTGGTATGATGTTCTGTTTTATTAAGTTTTCTGAGCTCATTTTGGGCTTTGTCAATTGGAACCTTGGAAAAGATGGGTTTAGTTTACCTTGCTTGGTTCAACTCAACTACATGTTAAAGTTTATGCTTTCCCATTTTGGGTTGTGATTGGAATTTTCTGGTGTGGTATTTATTTGGCCTTTGTTAGTCACATGGGTGTGTGTGTGTGTGTGTGCTCATACTGTTCAAATCTTAGGAATTCCATCAAGTTGAGGAAATGATTATATGAATGGTGGATAAGTACCCCCCTGCCTATGCATTTATATGCCTGAGTCTGTTTAGTGGATTGCGGGATATATCAAAGTTTCCCGTTCTAGAGAGTAGTAACCTTATGTTTGAAATGGTAGACTTGGCTGCCAACTCAACTTGCTTAGTACACATCTTCGGCATATATAGCTTTATGAAAGTAATTGTTCAAATTCTCTGATGTAGATATATGAGGGAAAGAAAGGCCTTTGTACTTGAGAATAATCCTTCAAGACATATTATTGGGGCATCTGGAATTTCTTGATTTCTTTGCATGCATCTATAAAATTTTAGGTTGTACATTTTGCCATTTGGCTTTCTAAATGCGTATCATGTGTCAAGAATTTATGGAGTTTGTCTGTCATATTGATCATTTACTGAGGCCAGTAGACAGAGAGGGAGGTATTTTGTAGACAGAGCCAATCATTAGTTCCCAACCGTGGGGTGAATGGAATCCTATACATAAATCAGTTAATAAAAGAATAGAAAAAGCTTTTATTGTGTCGCTTAAGTTATATAGGAATTCTTGAACCCAAGAGTTAAGAATAACAAGTTCTTCATTACCTATAATAGAATAACCACTTAGAATAACGAAACATATTATATTTGTTGAGAAGTGTAAAATTGTATGCGTGCAATCCTCATTGTGCATCTTGATCAATCATTTCTTTGTAGATTTCGATGCGAGGCTTTTGTAAATGTGCTTCCGGGTATTCCTTTAACATTTCATCCAAACGTAGGAGTTCCTCTAAGTCTATGAATTTTAATAGGTATGTTAACATGGCACTACCTACTTTCAGACACCACATAATCTCACAGCTGAGGGGTAAGTTTTGAAGTGCAGCCTCAACTTAGGCTCTCGTTAGAACGTCTCCTTTAAGTTAAGTTCTCATTTTGGGTAAATGAGATTATGTATTCTCTCAAGATGTATTGAATTAGATTAACTAACATAAGAATGTCTCCACCTTTTTTTATTTCTCCTTATTTCCCTATTGTCATTATTTGCAGGCCTCTGTCTAAACTCTGGTACTACCTAGGTCTGCCAATTTTCTTTTTTCTTGGTTGGTGATCTAGTGCTAAAACTAAGATCAAAGACAATGTTTAGCGAGCAGTTCAGCACTATCATTTGTTATACACTAAAAGGGGAGATGTATGAGAATATTTGATGTTGTAGAAGTTCTGGTAACTCATTTACTTTATACAGGAAGAGTTTTGTGTAGGATGCTTAAAGGACTTAAAAGATTGTTCAAAGCTCGAAAAGGAAACTTTACTGATTCCTTTGGGCCATCATTTTTTTGTGTTATCTTTTTGTGTTTAATGTTTACCTTCAAGTCTAGGGGCTTTTCCTTCTTAGATTTCATTTTTACTAATTTTATGTGAGTTTGAACCCCTTGCGGTTTTGAATTTCTACCCTAGAATTTTTACACAAGATATTCATCATTGCAGGATATGTACAAAAGATAACAGCTCGCAAGGACATTGAAGTAATGGAGGATTTGGATAATGGAAGACCGCCGTGAACTAAAAAAAGAGAGTTATTTTTTGTATAATTTTTTGTATATTGGTGATATTTTACAATTATTTTGATGAGTTATCTTTTCCCCTCCTTTGAATCCTTTTTTCTTTTTAATAATAATAAAAAGAAAGCAAGTCTTCAAAAGGAGAATTTTGAGGATGAGAAAGGAGGCTGTAGTTTCTTGTAGCTTTTCAAAGAATGTATTCTTTTCTTATCTACTATTTGTTTTTCTTTCGGCTATCACGTAAAGAACCTTCTGTTTATGAATTGCCACAACTTGTTGAAGGAATAAAATTGTTTTAGCCCTTGACTTTAGAATCGCAACTGTTTATCTGTCAGTATATATAAAGATCGAAGACACCCAGTTTCTGCCATCTCATTTTGACGGCTGTCTGGACTGTTATATCGAAGTTTGATTTAGGTATTTGCTCTGATCAGCTGAGGCGGATATGTCGAGCACAAACTTCCTCGATTTCCAGTATAACCTCTCGAAACGGAAGTTTCTGCGAAAACCATCACATGTATGTTCCTTCCGAGACAGGCAAAACTCTGGCTTATTGCCTTCTTTTGAGCCAAATCCCAATGAAATGAAGATAGTGTTTGATAAATTTGACTCCAACAAAGATGGGAAGATATCTCAGCAGGAGTACAAGGCCATCTTGAGAGCACTAGGAAAGGGAAAGACGGTTGGAGAAGTCCCCAAGATTTTTAGGATTGCCGATTTGGACGGGGACGGGTTTATTAATTTCAAGGAGTTCATGGAAGTACACAAGAAGGGAGGCGGGATTCGAACGATGGACATTCAGAATGCTTTTCGGACGTTTGATTTGAACGGCGATGGAAAAATAAGTGCTGAAGAAGTCATGGAAGTGCTGGGGAGGTTGGGGGAGAGTTGCAGCCTTGAAGACTGCCAGAGAATGGTACGGGCAGTAGACACTGATGGGGATGGCGTGGTTGACATAGATGAGTTCATGGCCATGATGACTCGGTCCATGAAAACATGCTTAAAGAATTAGAGACCTAATTTGTGTTTGCGTTTATGTGTGTTTATTGTTAATCCATGTGAAGCAATTTACTGTATAATTTGCCATATGCATGGCAAATGATAATAGCATAATGTGGCATGTGAGTTTGCTTTACTGTACTTTATTCCTTTTGTCTTTTGTTTATTTTAAACCTATGATTTGGAGCTAGAGCTTCCTAGACTACCAGGCTTTGCTTCATCCACTAGGTCGTTTTGGCATAGTAACTCAAAGGGCTTGAACACTCCAATCACACCAGTGTTTTATAATTCCAGAGTTGTTTAGATCAGTTGTGCACGCATGCGGGCTCATCCTGCTCGTCGATGCATTTAGACCCCAAAGCATCAACGACCAGGATCAACCTACGTGCTCGTAGATCACCGACCTTAGCACTGCTCTTCTAGAGTTTTCGGTGAAAACATATGATACAAATCAATCAGCACATTCCATTCACAACATGCCATAATCCCTCATTTGTTTTTGGTCAAATGTCATAATCCCACTTTAGAACTTTAATCAATATAATTAAACTAGGGTCCCATTAAACTATTACTACCAGCGTTCATGGCAAATTGTTACCTAAATACCAAAACGGGATGTCATCTTTGCACCATAAAAATAGAGAGAGAGAGAGAGAGAGAGAGAGAGAGAGACAATCATTTTATGTTTGAAACAAGTTTTCTCTAATAGCTTCTAGACACCAGGATTGGCATTTCGACAACTAATTGATTCAATATCGAAACAAAGATAATGCATATATAGCTCGGCATACATGTCAAAACAAGAAGTGGATGATTTATCTCCCACTAACTAGTAGCACTGGTGCTCATCTGCACAGGATCCCGTATATAGCTCGGCATTGTTTAAACTTTTTACACGCCAAACTGCAACTGGGAAGAACTCTTTAGACAAGTCTGAGAGGTGACATTTTGCTCTTCACCAATAATCCCCACAAGAGCATTTTCCATCCTTGAAATGATGAAATCGTTTGTTGTCCCTAACAATCAATTCCCTTCCAACAATCTTGGACATGATCTTAATGGCATTGTGGCAGTCACCACAGACACGGAGGTTCTTGATGATCCTAAGAGGCGTCCTTGCTGGAGTACTAATCAGACCGTATGCGATCGCCAAACGCTCACTGTGATAGAGCAAGGCCTGCTCCTTAGCCTCCTGATCAATGTCATGAAGAACATATCTTGTGTCTGGCACATAACCTCCTTCTTTCATCCCACTAAGAGCCTTTAACTTCTCATCATCCTTGTAGAGTGTTGGATTTTTAAACTCGCTGATTCTGTTCTTCCCGTCAAGCATGCTAATAGCACTGCGCTTTTTGGGTGGTGGAGTCGGGATCTTTTTCACAACAGCCTTTGATGGGTCAAGAGCAACCATCAACTCCTCAGCATGATCTTCAAGATCAATATCTCCATGAATCTGAGCATAATTCCTCAATGCCTCCCACACCGCCACTGTAGGCTCAAATGGGAGTTTCTCAATATAATCAACTGCTTCATTTAGATGACCGCATTTTCCAAGCACATCTAGAACACCCAAATAATGCTCCACTCCCGGAGGAATTCCATACTCATTTTTCATTGACTCAAAATGTATAAATGCTTCTTCCACAGCATCTGCACTAGCACAGGCCAAGAATACTGCAAGGAAAGTTTCAGAATTCGGTTTCAACCCCTGCTCCCTCATTACCTCAAACATCTGCAACCCATCATCTCCTAAGCCATTATCCGCATACCCGTTAATCATCAAATGCCATGAATCAATATTCTTGTCAAGCATATGATCGAACACCCTCCGGGCATCAGTCATGCTTGCACACTTTCCATACATTTCAATAATTTTATGATTCAACTCACGATTACCCCTACATGTAGATTGCAAAAAGAAATCATGAGCCTTTTTGGCATCCTCAATCGACTTCAATCTCCCACACAACTCAAACAAAGACTGAAAGCAATCAGCATCGGCCTTAACCCCTTCTTTATCCATCAATTCAAGAGCTTCCTTAGCCTTCCCCTCTTGGCACAACCTCCTCAAATCGTCAATTGAAGGGGGCACAACTACCGGGGTTTGGTTCACAGCCTGATTGTTGTTGTTGTTGTTGCTCCACTGAGCAGGGTTTTGAGCTTGTGGGCTCCACTGATTAGGATTTCTGGGTTGCTGGTATCCTTGATTGGGATTGTTCCACTGATTTGGGCTTCTGGGTTGCTGAAAACTGGGGCTCGGAGGAGAGTTCACCTGATTAGGGTTTTGATACTGAGGAGGGCTCTGCACCTGAGGGCTCCATTCATTCGAGTTTCCACGTTGTGGATAGCTCTGGTTCTGGTTATTCTGGTTAGGATACCCGCGATTGGGAAAATTCGGAGCTTGGTTAGGATATCCACGACCCGGGTAGCTCTGATTCTGACCCTGATAATTGTACTGATTGTTAGGCCTCTGGTTCTGGGTCTGTGGATTCCACTGGTTAGAGTTCCCATATCCCTGGCCTTGTGGGGCCCACTGGTTAGGGTTTGCCTGGTCATCGAAAGCCCTAGGATCGGATGGCGGGGGCTGCTGCTGCGGAGGGGGCCTCTGGTACTCGTTTGGGACCGTAGAGGTGCTTAGGGTTTTGGCTATGGTTAGGGTTTCTAAGTTGGTGATGTTGATGGCGATGGTGTTGCTGCCGTGAGAGAAGGCAAAATAAGATAGGTGCAGAGGCCGTACCTTAAAGAAGGGAGACAGTGCTGGGCTTCGCGCGCGTCGAATCGCCATGAGAGACGCCATTTCTGAGCTCTGAGAGAGATTTTAGCTAAAACCCTAAAATGGTCTTGCGCTGCATCCTTATGATGTTTTAGTGTTTGGGTTTGATCCACTGAGGTTTTAACTTGAAAGATGCAAGGCCCAGGTCTTGTTCCCTGGGGCCATGTAAGCCCATTGGAAGAGTCGGGTCGGCTCGGGTCACTTATAAATTTATCTGAAAAAAAGGTCAGATTGCCATGTGTGAATGCAACGTGGTAAGAGTTGAAGGACAACTTGTTTCAACCAAAGAATCAAATTTTATATGAATTTGAAATAGGAAGGGCAATGTATTTGGTATTGGCCTTTTTTTAAAAATAAAAATAAAAATTGTAAACTTGAAGTTGAAGAACAAAAATGCAAAGGAGAGTAAGCTGCTTAGTTAGATCGATGATCGAACTCTTACGTGTAAAAAGGCTCGCTTAATCCTCTAAACCTTAGTTTCTTCTTTGTATCGATTACTTCCTCTTCATTAATACATTGACGTAATTCTCGTCACAAAAGAAAAAATACAAATTAAGTACCCGAAAGGCAATCTTTGTCCGATCCTAAGAAGTTTAGAATCTTCATGGGAGCCAAGTGACTAGGAAACAGAGGACTAGTTGGACTATTTTTCAGCTAGTGTTTAATTATGTTAAATTCTATATCAAAGTGTAAGCTATTTTGAACTCAAAGTTGGTGGTTGAAATATAAGTTGACCCTTGCCAATGCCAATGAAGAAATATGAAAAATGACATGTTTTGTTTTGTCATCTTCCAACGACGTACCTAATTGAGATATGAAAACATGATTGGACTCTTACCCAAATTGATATGCTTGAGACTTGTAAGCCCTATTGTCTCTAATTTTTGGGTCCTCCAACCACTCTTCCTTTGCCTATACGGTTTCACATTTAGCTTTTTTCACCCTAAATGAATTAGGGGAAATTATGTTGATCTAACGGTTTAGAAGTGGTCGTATGGTAGAGGAATTTGTTAATTAGTTTATATCCAAGTGTGAACTTGAGGCTATTGTTTTGTTGTTGTCTTCACTACTACCTACCTATAATAAAATAAAAATGAAAGCAGGTGGCAATATCTGATCATGGTTATCTATCATCATCCTTCAACGTCATTTTTTGTTATCATCATAATTAAGTATGCTAAAAGTTGAGACTATGAATGGTTTATTATTAGTTTTTGGTAGGTAATTAAGCTCAGAAGTCAAATGAGATATATATGCCAAGGTCGATGATTGCCAGAGGTTAAGTACAATTTTGCTGATCTTTCCTTGCAGACTACAATTGATGCAGATAAAAACAAAAACAAATTAGGTGGCAGACTAAGAGAGCGTTTAGAAGGAGACTTAAATAGTGGAGATGCTTGCAGGTGGTTTGGTTGGAGCTTGGTGGACATTGGCGATGGTGTTCATGTTATAGAGGTAAAGGAGGATGGAGGTTAAAGATTTTTGAACATTTTTCCAAAGGGAAATCCTCCAAAATCTCTTATTTTCTCAGTATTTCTTGTTCAATATTATTTTTTCCTCTTAAGCTAAAAAGATGAAATGGGTTGGTGCAGAGATTGGATGCCGTGTAGGAAGATGCATTGCATAGCCTTTGGTTCAGTGGTAGCAGACTCTACTTGGTTGGTTGGAGGAGGTCTCATATTTGATCCACATGAACGCGAGGACGATAAATATTTGTGGTGAATTCGATATATCTAAATTTGGCTTAGCCGGTTGTAAAAGTAGCTATATAAATATCAATCTTGAGGCGGTTGAATGCCCCCTAAATTCACTAGATTTTCCTCCTGAGATCCCCTTGTGTAAATTGAAGATGGCCATGTTTGAAGAGTGCAAAGTGGTAATGAAATATAGTTATTATGGCTTAACTAGTTGTGTATCTCACTAACCATTGATGTGATGTAAAATGAGACTAGTTTGAACTCAACGTGTGAAGAATTTTATTATAAAATCACATGAAGAACACATGGGTAAGCACTCAAAACCAGCATCAAAGAACATGCACACAAAAGTTCATAACATAACAAAAGTGTGCAAGTAGCAGCACAGCAACATCAGCAGCACCCTTGACACAAAGAAATGGCGCCACAGAATACTCTTATCTGGTCATCCCTGGAGCCACAGTCGGGGCTGCAGTAACTCCGCGCCTTCGTCGGTCCATATTGGCTTCCCAACCTTCAATTCCAAGCAAGCAATTGCGAACAAAATGCATCAGAAGATTAATAAATTGGAGAAATAACAGAGTTAAGTCAATGCTGAAATATAAAATTGAATGCAACCACGCAACATGTTCGTATAATATAAGTACTGTTTATGATGACATATTCTGCTGGAATTTGATCTTATCTTTATATATAGTTGCAAGTAGCAGCTGATTACATGAATAATGTTTCTAGTTTTTTAAAAAAATATTGTCCTGGAGGAAGATGTCATTTTCATTGCTGAAAAATAATACTATGTGCCCCAACTATCAGCAATCAGAACAATAACTAATCGTCTCTGGAGCCAAGATTTCACAGCCATGGTGGCCTTGGCAAGATTGCAGTTTCTTCGATCATGCCTTTTCGACCACAGCCAATAAATTAACCAGGCTAAGACCACACCAAATGACACCAGTCAGGTTAAATTGTTCACCAAGTATAGTTATAACCACACCAAATGACCTTGCTCAAATTGTATTTTTAAAAAAAGGGAAAAAAAACATTAGTTTCTCAAACACCAGAACATATATTAGATTTTGTATATATAAAAAACTGGGGGAAACTTCAAGTTCAGGGTCATCAATTCAGTGTGAGATTCTTAGGAAGTTTAACAAAAGGGTAAAACTACTAGTCTTACTTGAACGAAGAAGGTATTGGTTTACCTATCCCCATATCGAAACCACGATTTCTGAGCTCTCTGTACTCTTGACATAGTGCACAAGTAGCACAGCAGAAGTGCACCAGGCAGTCCACACAAGGAGCTTCTTCCAAGTCATATTGGCCTCTCAACCGCGAGCGGTAGAAGCACGAATACAAGCATGCATTTGCAGTTGTTGCTAGAAGAATCCCATAGCACACTCCCTGTGAAGCACAAGCTGCAAAAAACAAACACACCAGAAAACAAAAAACCAATTAAACAAACTATTCATCAAGATCTACAAGTGGCAACATGGCTAGTGGTTTCAGGGCTTACATGTAGAGCCTTGGCTCACTATCTCAGCTATCTGGCCGAACGTGATGCAAGGGCAAAAGGCAGTGATCATACCTTCAAAAATTGAAATTGAAACTAGTTATTGGGGAAAAGAAAAGAAAAATCAAACTTTGTACATGGCTGAAGTGTATATAATATGTTCACTAACAATTTGCAGGATCATCAAAACAATGGCAAAGACCAGTGGACCAGTTCCCCCTTACATGACCAGAAGGCTGCGTATTGTATGCGTACGGGGGAGGAGTGTACGTACGTAATACACTAGGATTGTTCAGCCCTGGAGCTGGGACAGGATTTGCAATATTTTGGTGATTATGATCAGCTGCATATTTCTCATCGTCAGGAGGTGCTGTAGGATACATTATTTGTGGCTAATTAGTTTTAGTGGCTCAAGTCCTCCCAGTATATATAATGGCCCTATAGGAGGAGTGTAATTTGTTGGAAATTGTCATGTGGTCCTAGGCTTACAGAAAATATTTTAAGAGAAAACACATGTAACTCATATATTCTAAACATAACCCCACTCTCATTTGTCAACTTTCATTATTAAAAAAACCCCAAATTTAAAATATGTTGTCATTTTTTCTTAGTGTTATTAACTATTTTACAATTGATGCTATCCACCTTTATATTAATTACAATAGCCTCTCGCAGGCGCGGAAGTGCGTGCGAGAGGCTTTTTTTTATTAAAAAAAATTAAAATTTATTTTAGAATTAAAAAGATAATGGGTAGTTGTGTTTCATAAAAATAGGATTCATTATCTGATTTTTCTTTTAATTTTTAGATTCATGTAATCTGAACACATTAATTTAAGGACTTGATTGACATTCAAATGTCAATTCATGGTAGTAAGGACCATAATCAAAATCTCTAATCAATGTAATTTTTTTGTAACCATCTTAATTAGTAATTAACGTAAATTACTAATAGACAAAAATAATAATAATATATCCAAGCAATAGTAATACACCTACATAACACAAAATCATTAATGCTAAGAATGAATATATGACTAAATAGGAGACGAGAGACTTCCCTGTCACGGATGCTATGAACCTTTGCCCCTATAATGAAATTTGCCATAAGCACCAATAGTAGTCATATACCACGTCATCCTGCTTACATAGTTAACTCTACTTATGGTTTTGCAAGCCTTGACTTTTATATATAATTGGCCCAATCTTCGTTCATATATCTTGTAACTTACTTTATTTTTATTTAAAAAATTACAACAAAAAAAACACTCACGCGTTTTGTGTTTTAATTTATTTATGTTAAGGGCTCATTAAGTTAATGTTTAGGACAGCACAGAGAAATCTTGCTATAAAGATTTGTTCATGATGCCATAATGCTTAGATGAAAGTCTAGCAGTTTGATTCACTTCACATGCAATTTTCATTTGCATGTTACACATGAGTCATGACATAATGTTTATTAATGTTTCCAGTCCAGACTCATCATTTCCGAGTTCTTAAGGTTTCTTTTTGGTTAGTTGGAAAATAATAACTAAATTTCTTTGATTAACAAATGGTAAGACCAATCTGTTTTTATTTATTTATTTATTTATTTTTATTTTATAAATTTAAAAAAAGACTCTGAGAGGGAGGAGAAGGAGTGTGATTTGGTGGAAATTGTCATGTGGTCCTGGGCTTACAGAAAAATATCTTAAGAGAAAGCCCGTGTAACTCATATATTCTAAACATAACCCCCCCACTCTCATTTGTCAACTTTCATATAAAAAAAACCCCAAATTTAAAATATGTTGTCATTTATTCTTAGTATTATTAACTATTTTACAATTCATGTAATCAGAACACAATAATTTAAGAACTTTATTGACATTCAAATCTCAATTCATGATCATAATTAACTTTTCTAATCAATGTAATTTTTTGTAACCATTTTAATTACTAATAGACAAAACCAATAATAATATATCCAAGCATTATTTATTTGAAAAAAAATTCGTAGGGGGTCCTAAAGGGTGTCCCTCAAATAAAATTATTTGAGGAATCCCTCAATGGAAGGGGATTATATATATTACTAATTTATTTAAATTAATTTACATTAATTTACCTATACTTGTACATATTGTTTACCTATATTTTGTAGGTATAAATATACAAAATACCCTTGGTATACTAATTTACTTAGATATTTTGGTATACTAAATTAAAACATATGTCATTACACACAAAATTTTAATTTTAAAAAAGGAAAAATTATCTCGAAATTTGAACACCATTAATGTGCATTGAATTGCAAATAATTTGTTGGAAAAAAATCAGCACAATAAATTGAGAGAATAAAAAAGTAATCCAACCCAAAAAGGAGAACATTAAAATGTAATTAAGGGTATTTTATGAATTTAAAAAATGTAATATTTAACATATTAAGCTCGATTAGGTAATTTATTTAGTTGGATCATAATCATCGGATTTAGTAGAGAAAAGATAATACGATGAGCTGCATACAAGAAAAAAAAATAGTTTAAAGACGAAAACTCATATTTTCTATACATTCGGTTCAAACAATCTAATTGAAATGCTTAATTAATCAGCATTGTTTAAGAGCAACAAATGCACATTAATAGTACCCCTAAGGAACCTTTCTCCAATCCTAGCTAGGCAGTTGTTTAGAATCTTCGTGGGGGGACAAGTGGATGGGAGAGGGAAGGACTAGTGGGGATACTTTAATCCATCCATTGACTTGTGTTTTGTTGTGTGGAAAATTTTACAGTCCAGCGCACAAATGACTTGCTCAACTGGTCAATACAAGAAAAACAAGAAATAGAACAAAGCCAAAAAAAATGCCAATTTGAATTCAAAGATGATGTTGCAATATAAGTAGACTTCTTCCATGAAAGATATTGATAATGACAGTTTTTGGCTTTTCCATCTTCAAACTATGTTTGCCAAAATGTATATATATTAAGTTTACCATAACCTCTTACATAATCTTAATCAAGTTCACTAGACATTGCAACGTATGTGTGGTCGTTAAATTCATCAACATAAAAGTAGCATATTCTTATACCATCATAGAAGTAGTGAATCATTTCAAATTCCTATATACGATTCTCATTTTTCGACGCGAGACAATATACTCTTAATAATTAAGCTTCAATTATCACATCCTAAGTGAATTAATTTAATTATGTGTGGAATGTGAGGCTTGACCATAGATTAGGTGGGAAATTGTTGGGTTGTAGTGTTCATTCTTGGAAGGACTTGAGCACCTTCTTATAATCTCATAAATGATCATTTTAATTATTTAACAATTAAAGCAAGTGGTATCTGATCATTGTTATTAGTTTCTAAGCTGAAAAGTCAATTGTGAAATATAATCCCTGTGGCGATAATGCCAAGAGGTTATCTTCCTCTGCACACAAAAATTTAAATAAATAAATAAATAAATTTATCTGGAGCAACAGCTTCTAGAAACAATTACGCAGTAATTAGGCCAGAAAAAGGAAATTAAAATAAAATGATTAACACGACTCCACTGGGGATCGAACCCAGAATCTCTGGTTTCGTAGACCAGCGCCTTATCCATTGGGCCATGGAGTCCCTTTGGACTTCAAAGCCATAGTTACCCAATTAAACTAACTTTACACCATCAATATGAAAGATAAGAAATTAATTACATTTCATGATAACATCATATAATTTGATTTATAACAAAAACACTTTTAATTAACTCCAATTAAAATTTTGTGGCTTTTCTGTAACTCGATACTATTTTCCATTATGCATTTGAATTTAGGTTATTATTTTGGAAAAACACAAAGGAGAGAGAAATTTTGTAAAAGAAGCCAAAATGGACAAAATTGCCCTTTTTTATTTTTGAATTTCCTAAGGAATCCTTTATATTTGCATGTCTTTGATTTGAAAGTTGGGAGGTTTTTCTGTCTTTTTTGAAAAAGTTTTGGCTTTTTCCAAAAGTGAAATTTTTTTTTGGCTAAAACCTAAATATACTATTATTTTACACTTGGTCTTCGAATTATTGATTCTTAATGTATGATAAGAATCAAAAATTAAAATTTTGTCCATTAACTTGTAAGTTTTAATGGAGGAGTTGATAATCTTTTGTCTAATATTTCATTTTAAAAAAAATTTGTTAAAAAGAAGACAAATACACCACAAAACTCTTACCATAGATTTTTTTAAATACTTTTGCATAGTGATCTATTTAAATTCATTCGTTTTGTCGTAGTGTTGAATTTAGACTCGATTTGTATTTTGGTTTTCGAATTAGCAAAATGGCTAATGTCGTTTGTGAGTGACTCTGGAGAGACCAATAATCACTTTTATAGATAATCACTTCTCCAAATAATCATTTTAGGTAATTTTAAATGATTTTACGAAGAAGAATTCCTTAACAGTGTTGGTCATGCTGTTAAATTTGTGAAGTTCTCTATTACATTTAGGGGTAAAATTGTCACTTCAATTCCATTGCCCCACTCACTCACACCAGCCACCATTCCCACCACCACCAGCCCAAACTTTTACCGCCAAAATGGATGAATTTAAATAGACCATTTTCGCCGAGTCTCCCCTAACTCGCTCACACACTCAGTCAGTCACGGAGATGGAGGACGAATACGAAGTTCTCTCAGACTCCGACATCTCAGATGCCTCCAATTCCAGCGATGAATACACGGCCGACCAAGAAGAGCTAGAGCTAGAGCGAGAAGAAAGCGACGACGTCTTGGGGAACAATCGAAAATCCATAGACCCTCCTCGGCCCTCCGGCGAGGATCAGAAATCGAAGAATGTCGACGCTCTCGTCAGGTGCCTTTGATTTTTACTTCCAATTTATTTTTGGTTGGAGAATTTAGCTTAGCATTTTTGAATTTCTACAGCTGCACCGCACCTAGGGTTTGTTCTTTTTATGTGGTGTGAAATTGCCTTTTATGTGTGCTTTGACCATTCATTTCTTTTACTAATTGAGATTTTATGGGGTTGCCTTCCTGTTTGGTTATTGAGAAAATGATGGATCATAGGGTTCAGATTGGTTTGTTTTCTAAGAAATGATGTTGCTTTTTGGTTTTTTGGTATGTAACGGGGCTAAAGAAATGATATTGCTTGACTAAGCTGTTTGGTGCTATTACTCTTACTGGATGTTAAGGTTCTTCGCATCTGAGTTCTCAATTAACAATGAAAAACGCTGAGGGTTCAATTTAAGGTTTTTCATTGTGCAATAATTTATGTAAATTGGAATCTCTCTAGGTCCTGGCGGTCAATTGGCTCATTCATAATTGGAATTGTTGGTATAGGGGCTTTTTTAATCCAAATTTCGTGCTTCAACTGAAATTTGTGGCAATGATTTTATGTCAGAGGTAACCTTGTCGTGAAAAGACAGTCACTGCTTCCACGAGTTCTCTCAGTGACAGAAGGAGCAACAGTTTGTAGGAAACCCTTTAAACCACCATGCTCTAATGGCTATGATGATGGAAATGACCAGCTTGCTCGTCGTCTCTATGCACGTAAACGATTTGTTCCCTGGGGCTCATCAAGTACAGCATTCGTTCCAAACATTGATAGGCTTTTGAGTATACCAAACGAGGCTGAGAAAGATATAATGGAAGAGAGTGTGACTCTGCCACCCGGAATTGATCCTTTGGTCTTGTGGCAACCTGAAGAATTTGAGGATGGGGCTGCTAATATGATGCAGATAGTAGTGGACCCAGTGCTTGTTCGTTTCCTTCGACCACATCAAAGGTTTTTCTCATGATATTAAAATTGATTTTTTTTTCTTTTTGGTATAACAACGTAGTCAAAACTGTCTTTATCTATCTAGTATTATGAATTTAAGCAGATGCATCCATCAAATTTGAGAAAAGCCTTTCTTTTTTTTTCTTCCTGTTGCTTAAAATTGATGAGATGAAGTTTTAATGCAGAGAAGGCGTTCAGTTTATGTTTGAATGTGTTTCAGGGTTAAATAGTGCTGCAAACATATATGGATGCATTCTGGCAGACGATATGGGGTAATTTCTCTCTCTCTCTCTCTCTCAGCATATATCAATTCTATGGAATTATATCAGCATATTTTCTTTTATGTTATTATGTTTGGGAATCATGTCTTCACACTTGTTCTTAATGGTGTTACTTTTGCAGTTTGGGAAAGACATTGCAGTCAATCACATTACTATATACTCTTCTTTGTCAAGGGTTTGATGGGAAACCAATGGTTAAAAAAGCAATTATAGTCACCCCTACCAGTCTTGTGAGCAATTGGGAGGCTGAAATAAAGAAGTGGGTTGGAGAAAGAGTTCATCTCATTGCTCTCTGTGAAAGTACCCGAGATGATGTTGTTTCTGGAATTGATCGGTTCACTGGTCCTCGCAGCCCTATACAGGTAAATTTGTGTAACTGGTCAGACATCTATCTTTGAATAATGAACTTACAATGAATACGCATCAGGTACTAATTATTTCATACGAGACATTCCGGATGCATTCAACAAAGTTTAGCCAAAGTGAATCCTGTGACCTTCTCATATGTGACGAGGCTCACAGGCTGAAGAATGACCAGACAATGACGAATCAGGTATGATGTATGCAAGTTTGTTTTCCATTATCTTTGTCTCTTTTTTAACTCTATTCCATTCCCCCCTAAACTATTTATGAACATTCTGTCAGGCGTTGGCTGCTCTTTCATGCAAGAGGCGCGTTTTGTTGTCAGGAACTCCAATGCAGGTGGGATGCAATTGTGCATGATGTCTCATGATTCCAAGTTGTTTCTTATTTCTCTCTTTGTATTTACGCTTGCAGAATGACCTAGAAGAGTTCTTTGCCATGGTCAACTTTACTAATCCCGGCATCTTAGGGGATGCTGCACATTTTCGTCGCTACTATGAGGTGAGTAGATGACTTTACATTTCAATATACCCTCTCTGGTATTTAAGAATGAATCTACATCATTATGTTTATTGGTTCTCTTTGTTATTAGTTTCTCTTTTCTTTTTCCTTTTTTTTCTTTCTCCCTTTGTAAATAAAGCTGTGCGGTTCTTTCTAGTAATTTCGTTTTGGTGATGTCATGTGCAGTAATATTCTTTGAATTATATGTGAACGATGAATATCTCTTTCTTAGTGGTTGAAAATTCCAATATATCAAAGATAATTAAATAATTATTTTTCTTCTTTTGTTGATGTTGACATGTATTTATTCTGTATATGTGTATGAACTGTTACATATATGTTTTGTGAAGGCACCTATTATTTGTGGAAGAGAACCTAATGCCTCTGAAGAAGAGAAGAAGCTTGGTGGTGAGCGCTCTGCTGAACTAAGTGGAAAAGTTAATCAGGTTATAGTTCCTTGTTGACATGATAACTATAGACATTGCACATAATCTTTGTCCAGTCTTTGCTTTAAGAAGTTGTATCAACAGCTTTCACTGATTGTAGGAGTTCTGAATGGCTAATTAACTGATGAAATCAGCATTTCTTTTTCTTTTTTGATGTACGTCATTTTTTTAATGATTAATGCATAATAGTTAACATACTTTTGCAGTTTATATTGCGGAGGACTAATGCACTATTATCAAATCATCTGCCACCAAAGGTATAGCACTTATGGTAGACTGCATGTTAAGAGATTCCATATATATTTGTGTGTGTGAGAGAGAGAGAGAGAGAGAGGAGAGAGAGAGTAGTTTATTGTACCTTAAAATTTCATTTCAAATACAAACTGAATTGTAAACTTTCTACTTTTCATCTGAGTTTCAGTACCTGTATGCTTTCCATGTTTTATGACCTTAGTATAGCCATACAAACTAATAGTATATGATTAAGTATGGTAGATGAATCTTCACACATTTTGGGAAGTCATCTGAGTTTCTATATTTTTTTTTCCCCTTGCAGATAATTGAAGTTGTTTGTTGCAAGTTGACTCCTCTCCAATTAGACCTATATAACCATTTTATACATTCCAAAAATGTGGGTTCTATTCTTATTGAGCTATCAAGGCAGAACTTTTGGAGTTAATGAAAAGACTGTCTGACAGCATATGGGTTTTATTCTGTTTCTCTCAAGCACAGGTTAAAAGAGCAATCTCTGAAGAGACGAAGAAATCAAAGATTTTGGCTTATATAACAGCTCTTAAGAAGCTATGCAATCATCCAAAGGTATGCCATATATATAGATACACTAACACTTACATATGCATGCACTCACATAATTTAATTGGGATGTTTTTCTGTCTATATTATGTTTGGACCTTGGTAACGTAATACAAAATTTTGATACTATGTGTAGTTGTCCTTATTTTTTCTTCTAAAGATATCTTTATTATCTTATAAGAACCCACGTACAAAATCTATACATCTCTTTTCCAAATAGAAGAAAATTCACATCCTAAAAAGTCTTCCCTTGCTTTGTGATCTCAGCAGACATAGGCTTTCATGGGTTTTGCGTGTTCAAATTTTTTATTACATTATCATCAGTATTGATCGCTTTAACTTTCCTCTTGTACCTTCCCATGTTAGTTATTTACTGATTTATTTCAAGTTCTAGTTTGAATGTTTTCATCCTCATGAAGTATGTTCATTGTAGCTCATCTATGATACCATAAAAAGTGGAAGTCCAGGAACTTCAGGTTTTGAGGACTGTATTCGCTTTTTCCCACCAGAGATGTTCTCTGGAAGGTATGCATATTTATTTTCCTTTATTTGCTTTTCCACATCTAGTATTCCAACATTCTACACTTATACCATGTGTTTCTTCTGTTAGATCTGGATCTTGGACTGGCGGGGATGGGGCTTGGGTTGAACTATCTGGAAAAATGCACGTTTTAGCTCGATTACTGGCCCATCTACGTAAGAGGACTGATGACCGTATTGTCCTTGTCTCAAACTATACGCAGGTATTGTTATACACTTATTCCAGATTACATATCTATGCGTGTGTGTGTACATGGATTATTGCGCTTCCTCCTTTCTAGTATGCAGGCAGTACATGGTTCTTAACAAATAAATCACTCTTGCCATTGGTCAGCATGATTCTTTTACTGTTACAGAATTAGGGTGTGTACCTAATTATGGACAAGTTTTTCATTTTGGTTTGTTTGTTTGTATGGGATTTACAAGCTAATATCTCAATTTTGAAAAATATTGAAGAGAAAATGTATTGTTACATCGCTTGCAATTAGGAATAAGATAATTGAAAATCCTTTGGCATTTTCTCATGCAAGTCTTATTTTATTCAATGGACTGTAAGGAGTAATATTATTGTTTATGGCAAGGGCTAATGGATGTCTCGTGGGATGAAGTTAGATTTTGGGCATTGAAATCTAATGATTTAATGATATTCCATTCTTCATTGGATTTGGGGAGATGTTTCTTGAGTCATTTTAACTCTTAATTATTTTATGTTGTTAGATTATTAGTCAAATATTAGGTTACAATTGTACCTTAATTGCTTGTTCACTACTGTTACATTTGTGTTTAGTTTTTCTTATTTAAGGAAAAAAAACCTTAATATCTCAATCCATTAAGCATTACCTGCCACAATTTATCTGTGGAAGAAACTGGCTCAATTTATATTGTTGTAAATTTGTGTAATTATTATGTATCAGACGCTGGACCTTTTTGCGCAACTGTGTCGAGAAAGACGATACCCATATTTAAGGCTTGATGGAACCACGTCTATCAGTAAAAGACAGAAATTAGTGAACCAGTTCAATGACCCATCAAAGGTACATAGTACGTTTGTAATTATATTGGCAATACAGGCTCTTGTAGTTTTTAATGTTTTTCTTAGCTCTATCTGGGTTTTGTTGTTGTTGGTAAACAAGTCTAACTCAATGTCCTGCAGGATGAATTTGTATTTCTCTTAAGCAGCAAGGCTGGTGGTTGCGGTCTCAATTTGATAGGTGGAAATCGACTAGTCCTGTTTGATCCTGATTGGAATCCTGCCAATGATAAACAAGTAAGTGCTTAGGTTAAATTCTTAATGTACATCTGGGAAGAGATGAATTATGAACATTCTTCCGAATGATATTCTTATTGCTTAATTCTTTTTTTCTTATTATCTCATAAGTAGGCTGCTGCAAGAGTTTGGAGGGATGGGCAAAAGAAGAGAGTATACATTTACAGATTTTTAAGTACCGGAACAATTGAAGAAAAGGTTTTGATGTGGCAGCAATCGAGTTATCATAATCACTATCATCTGTATTTTTTTTTTACCTGCTCTGTATGGTTTATGCAATCAATTCTATTAAGATTCATTTTAATAAAATGACCTTGTATTCTGCAGGTTTACCAGCGTCAAATGTCAAAGGAAGGGCTTCAAAAAGTTATTCAGCAGGAACAAACAGATAGCTCAATGGCACAGGTCTGAAGTTGTATCTCTTTCTTTCTGAATTGGGGTTTGTCTTTTAATGCATGTTATACAAAGTACTTTTGCTACAGGGAAACCTTCTTTCAACGGAAGACCTACGCGATCTTTTCACATTTCATGAGAATGTGAGGTAATGTCTTCCTTTTTCTTGTAATCCTTTTTCGGGCCATGCATTTTAATATATCATTTGTATATCTTTTATGTGAATGAGTTTGCTGACTGGAAAGGTTGGTGAATTTTAAAAAGTATGGATTCAGTATTTGAAATGGTATAACCAAGAGTTTACTTTTCACACCCCGTTGATTGTTTGTAAACAGTACATGGATTAAGAGGTTTTACTTTCATTTACCGTTACATATCTTTTGTATAATTTTGATGAAAATTCCTAAACTTCCAATGTAGTTCTGTCTGTTATTCTTCTTTCTTTGTCACTGTTATTTTCATCCCTTAACTATTTCTCTATTTTCAAGTTAGTCTGCCAAAGCGCAAAAGAAATAATTTTAAACTTAGCCTTTGTATCATAATATTAATAGGTTATGCATATAAACTTTCATCCAGCATTCGAAACCTGATATTGTAGATGTACAGTTGTCAAATAATATCATGTAATCTCTTTTTCATACAGTAATTGTTAATCCGACAGTTCTTTTTATGTTTAGGAAATTAAGTTTTCAATTCGTTTTTGCATTAATCTTCTTACTCTGTTGAGTGATGCTGGTTAAACTGTTTCTTGACTGCCGCATTTCATTCTCCTTCTCTGATAATTCCTTTTTCCTGTTACTGGGTATTATCAATTATATATGTAGGTCTGAAGTGCATGAGAAGATGAACTGCATTCGTTGCCAAAATAGCAATGATACACATCGAAGCATAACAGAGGGAGATGCAAACCAACCAACTAACGAAAGTGGTCAGTCTGGCCACGAAATCTCTGACATAGGTGGATTTGCAGAAATGGCTGGATGCTTACATGAGTTAAAGAGCTCGGAGAAGCAGGTGGGACACATATTTTTATGAGATGTCATAGATTCTCTTAGCCTTTTAATATGTAAGTTGATAAGTTTATTTTTTCTTTTCCAGGTAGGGACACCTCTAGAAGAGGATTTAAGTAATTGGGGGCATCATTTCTTCCCAAATTCAGTACCTGATGCTATTCTCCAAGCTTCAGCTGGAGAAGAGGTATGAGAAGAAAAAAATCTTTACAGTTTTTCTGTTCAATTAATTTTCTTTTGTGGGATTAGGGCATGGCAACAGTTTTACCTTTCACATAGGTTTTACTACCGCAGACAAGCTTTTAATTTTTTGGTATCATGTAGATTGTTTTTTCTGAATTAGGATATATGAATTAGTTGCAAAGAAAATAGAAAAATATAACTATCTCTCTCTCACACTGAATCTACAGTGACCATCACATCAACTTCTGATAACAAAACTAGGTTTTTGGACTTTTTTGGTTACTAGGTGTTTTCTTTCTGATTCTTGCTTAAGGATGAGAAATTTTTGGCACCAGCTTATTTTGGGAGCTAAAATATCTCACTGCAGCATACCCAACAGTGATGCTAACAACTTAAATAATTAAATGCTTTTGTAATAAAAATGTTATTAAAAGGTTTTTTCCTTCATTCAAAGTGCTTTCTCCATGCATGTTTATTCCTTAAGATAAGAAAGTCTAGTACAAGCAATCCCAAGAGAAGAAAAGATAAAGGTACTTGCATGATTTAAAATATAGATGAATCTATGTGCTCGGTTTGGGAATGGATCACAGCTTAAGACGTGAAAACTACCAAACATAGAAGGGAAAATAACTTTGTTTGCCCCTCCAAAGGCTTTCTTCTGCTCCATTTGTATTATTCTCATTGACCATCATTATAAAAAATGGCCGCACTAATTTTCCTTTGCTTCTAATCCCAGTTTATTGCATCGGAAAGCCATATGCATATGTGGAAAAAGAAAAGATAATCTACTATTCTCTAGTGATATTTCACTTTGTTCTTCAACATAAAGACGATATCATGATCATTATCCGTTAGCAGAACTTAGTATATATAAATTATAATGCTCTACTTTGGGGGAAAAATTAGATTGAATACAACGGTTGTTTCAGGTCACATTTGTTTTTACAAACCAAGTTGATGGGAAGCTTGTACCTGTTGAATCAAAGGTAAACCCAAAGATGCAGGGAGAAGAAGGAAAAGAGAATCATCCCAAATTAAGACAAGACCTGAATCAGAAACCCTTGCTATTGTCTTGGCAAAGAAAACCACTAGAATCTGTTTCTTCGAGTGAAAATTCTACCAGAAGCACAATGTCTGCCCCTTTCAAGCCCTCAGAAAAGACCACTGTGGAATCAGTGAAAACTTCTTTAAAGGGCTCAGTGCATGTAGCATTAAAGCCTAAGCTCTCTCTTAAAATTCGATTGCCCCTGAAAAGATCGTCTCCTGATACCGTCAATCACGATGATGATTTTGTGTAAATTTTGTTTGGCTTGTCCAGTGTTGTAATGTGGTGGCATCCTGGAAAAATCAATTTTGACACTCCATTCATAGTACCATATAAATTTTACATACTCAAAAGAAAAACATTGTATCATTTTACATAACTGAAATGCTTCAAGAATTACAGGCACACAGATTCACCGAAGACAGATTAAACCCACGTTATGATTTTAGTGACGTACAAGACAAAACTAATGTCTTCTATTTGATGTAATCGCGAAATGAAGACTTCTCCTTGAACTTATTTACAAAAAGATTGATAAGACAGATGTGAAGCAGATGAGGCTATTGATACTCATCTTTTCTTGATAGGGTATTGGAGGGTGGATAGTTTTAACCAACTTTCTTGTGAAAACGGGATTAGATGTTTATTGAAGATGTTTATTAAAGGACGGATTATCGATATGGTAACAATAAAGTGTTAATTTCATTGTCCTTAACATGTCAGTAATAAAATATTTCGACACGTTATCGGTTCCTTGTTGATAATATCAATACAAAGTCCATCCTTTAACAAAGAACGAACATTACGCACATAGAATTAACATTAATTTGAGGAATGCTACAAATACAAAGTATAAATTTCACTTGCCGACTTGAATTTGAGAGAAGTTCTACTATTAGATATTCATATCTTAATTGCACCCACAATTTATGGCTGGCCATTTGATTATTTCCCAGGCAACCCTCATGGTCTTGAATTTGAGATTTGCCCATCAATCTGAAAGCAAGTCTCACTACCACTCATCAAGTCATCATTACATTTATGATTTAACAAGAAGCAGCCTCCTATTTTCCCATTTAAAAAATATCGAGCCAGAGCAAAATATCATACTTTTAGATACGGGATGGCATAAGTTTTGAGATAGAAATTGAGCCACTTTCTACTTCTTCAATGCAAGCATGTTAGAAAAATACTCAAAGATAGGTTTAATTAGTCTTAACACATTTAGGGTACCGTTCAAAGCACCCAACATAATAGAGCTTAAATCCTGATCTGACATTGTAAAATGAGCCTTGAAAGGTGGATTTGTTTATTGTTAATTTCAAGATAAAGACAGAAGGAAGCCCTTAAACAAGAGTGCAAAAAGACAAGTTTTGCTAACAAGATGGGAGACCAAAAGAGGAGACAGTGCCCTTTGACCAAGTTTTCTTCTTCCTCTAACCTATGAGGCTAATTGCAATGCTCTTCAGGTATCTGCTAAAGTTGTCACAGTTGTCAATTGGGAATCAGCCACTTGTCAAAAACCCATTAGGCCAAGTCCTAGACATTTCAATCTAGATTAGGGTAAACCATGTGCAACTACTGTGAAGGTCAATTGTCCTATGCTTAGGATATGGGTGAGAATCTTTATTCTTCCTCTACAGTTTTAGACTGGAATAAAGAAACTTTATTCTTCCAGTACAGTTTACAGAAATCCAAGGTCCTAGATTGAAGCTAGTTTCATTGGATTGATAAGAGTGGAAAAAGTTGATGTGTATACTATTTGACTAAAATTGAGACTAGCCTCAAGTCCTCATGAACCTAATTAGGAGATCTCAATGGCACTCATCACCAATATATGGACCGACTTAAAATACAGGATAACCATTATAAGAATATGTCAAAACTAAATAGGAAATCTCAAGAAGTGCGATGATACTTTGAATTTCAATTCCTAATTTCATTGTGAAATTTTTTGATAAGATTTCAATAAGATTTTGTTTTCTTTTTTGATACATGAAAAGATAAAAACAAGAATCAAACTGTGATCAGAGGTGTAAGAGCAAATGAATGTTTTACCACTAAAGCTACAACTATAACCACATGATATTAATTAACAATTTTTCTTAGAACGATTCCAAACAAAGCAATATTTTCTCATATTAAGCGGCATTCTCACATTTGTGTATACAAAGCTGCTATATTTTTAATTCAATGGTGTAGAGTACAAATCATTGACACCTAAGTTGGAAAAAAAATATTGAGAAAAATAGTTGGGAAACTTGGGAGATTAAGCATTTTCCTTTCTTTTTGTTTTTCCTTTTGTTCCTACCACCAATCAAACAAAGAAGGCCTGCGTTGGAAAGATCATATGGGAATTGCGATCTCACCCATATCATGACATGTGACTGTCACACATGCTCCTTATTTGGACGGACAGAAAATTTAACCATTTTCCATAAAAGAAAGGGAAAAAAATAGCTTAAAAAGTTTCTGCCACATTTGACTATTGTGGTAAACTTTTTGCCATCAATTGCTGCCATCCACTCATCCTCTCTCTCTCTCTCTCTCTCTCTCTCAAAAGTGAATGGGATTGGCCAACCCTAGGAAGAATAAATATTTGATTACTAATTATTAGGTGTTACTCTCTGTGGAATATTATGTTATGCAAAAAGAGATCAAAGTGTTTTACTTGCATTTTTAATTAAAAGGTGACAAATCTGAGTAACATGAGATGTCTACCAGACATGCGCATAAAACAAGCTCCTCCTAATATAAATGCAAACATCTCCATGTGGATTCTAACTGCGCAAGTAAATCAACAAATTTAAAAGGGTTTAGTAGGGCTTGGTTTGTGTGTCCATGGCATGCTTAAACATGTTTAACAAATAGCAACAAGCCCTTTGCATTGCAACTTGCAAGTAGCAGAACAACTTCTTTCTCTCTATGGATCCTAGGATTTCCTTCTCCAATGACTTTGCAGACACTCAACAAGCCATCAAGCATGAAACCAGCTATAGAGAAGCGCCCGTTTCTTCCGATTTCGAATTCTCAGTGAACAACTTTGGAATGATCTCGGCGGATGAGATCATGTTCAAGGGCACATTGTTGCCCTTGAAGGATAATGGTGCCAACCAGCTAGGGAAGACTACTACTTTGAGAGATGAGCTGCTTGTTGATGATGATTATGGGGATGTGTTGCCAAGGGCACCAAAGAGTTTAAGCAGGTGGAAGGAGCGTTTGGGCCTCAAGAGGACTCAAGTTGTTCCCAAAAAAGCTGACAGAAGTCATTCTGTTCTGGAGAGGATAGCTGAAGAGAGGAGGCCTGTGTTTGTTCATGAGGCTGTGCTTATTAGCAAGGAAAGCCAGGTAAGATGTCTTTCTTCTTCTTTTTTCTTTTTCTTTTTTTCTTTTTTTTTGTTTTTTCGTTTTTTGTTTTTTTTTTCCTTTGGTTTTTCTAGGTAACATGGAAATTGAAAACTCTTAAGATAATTGCAAGCATGGACACATTTAGAGCAAAGTCTTGAATGATTTCTTGTTTGCAGGATTTTCTATTTGGAGGAGGGTTAAGTTGCAGAGATAATGGAATGTGATGCAAGGTTGCTATTCATCTTTATTGCAAGAGGAATGAATTATATTTCTGCTAACTATTAAGGTATGATAGAGTGGCTTCTGTGAGTGTGTGTTTAGGGCTTGGCTTAGCTTTCCAGTTCTTTTGTCCATTTAATTCTAGACAACATCCCCATCCTCTTCTTCAGAGAAGTAGAAGATGATGATGAACAACAAGAAGAAGGTATTTGGCTGTTCCATTTTGTACAAATATTTGCAGTTGAAGAGGTTCTATGAGTTTATGTAAATCTATTGTGTTTGATCTATCTTATTATGATTTGTGTGGTTCTATATAGATTTTGATTCTCCCACTATATATTCATTTCACATTATCAATTCAGTCAACCTGTTGCTTGCTAACACCAATTTCTCATTGTTAAAATCTTGTTCTTTTTTCATTTTCCTGAAATATCTTTTTACTGCCCAAATCAATAGCAACATTGCATTAAAGGTTAGTAATTTTAGCCTAGTCCCACCCCACATCATCTGAGTGTCCTTTGAATGTGTGGTGTTAAACCCATAGGCATCCTTTTCTTGTAATCCCCCACCCCAATACGGAGAACAACATACCTATATTGAGATGTCACTATACCAGTATTCCAAGTTGATCACGCACTATCATGGGTTTTAATTTTCTCACATGATAGTGTGTGGAATACCGCTACAATGACATCTCCATTGCACGGAAGTTCTTCTCCCCCAAATATGGGTTTATCAAATGGGTACTGCTGCTGCTGAACTTTCCAGCAAGCCAAATGACCATGACCACTCTCTTCAAGGAAGAGTCACAAGAGGAAAGGGCCATCACCTATATTTTAAGACGACAGATCCTTTTCAATGCTTGATGGTTACTAGACTTCAAATCCTCTTGTGTCGGCTGAGTACTAAAATTGGCCTACATTGCAATTCTAGGTGTAGTGGGACTGGTTCAAAAAATGCATTTTCTAGATCATATATATCTCTAGCTTGTGGTGAGCTTGAAACTTGAAAGTGACCCATTCATTCACCAAGGATCACTTTGGGTTGAAGCAAGTTGACCACCTTTGGAAACCGCTAAAGCAACAACAGTTGGATGTCATTAAGGGTCGCTTAAGAATTAATCAACCTGCCAACGGGGTCTAATCCAGTTAAAATAGTCTTGACTTGCAAATCATAGGTCTCAAGTTCAAATTCCCATGACACTATAGTTGTGTGTCTGTGAGAAATCTTCCTCCCTTATAATTTAGACTATCGCTTGTACTAAAAAAGAATTAATCAACCCAACGCATATTGCAATCAAAATTTCACCGACTCGAAATGCATTGGAACATATGGATTTTCCTAAATAATAAACAGGATTGGATCCATCCTTCATATTTTTAAGTTCCTTTTGGGAATCTTCCACTCCAACCATCCTTGTATCAACATTATTACATGCTTTATATTTGCTTAACCATTTCTTACGAAAATGAAATCCACTAGCACTAATTTTAATCTCGCTCAATGGTTAATCTTAGTACATGTAGATGTAACATTACTCATCTTCATAATTATTTTTTATTTTTTATTTTTTATATTCTTTTCAACATTTGATCAAACAAATTTTGGTTGTCATTTAAAAGAAATAGCGATATTTAGTCATATATCCATTCTTAGCACTAATAATATAGATAAATCATACGCCATTTAATTTCTATAAACAAACCCAAAAAAATAAAAGTTGGCCTTATTGAATTTAATTTTGATTATTAAATTACTTTGATACCCTAGAGTGTTTTAAGTATTTTTACTAAGTTTTGGTGTTGAGTTTATTTTAAGAAATTGATGACAGTTTTGTAATTTATAAAAATCTCTTTGTTATTGTAAATAGACTTTTGATGTGTTTCTAAAGTCCATTTCATGTAGAGCTTTTTTCTTTTATAATTTAGACCCCTATATTGAGTATAATAATAAATCTCCCAAAGTGCTTTTGAACACATTTGGCAGAACCCTTGAGTGCTTTCTGGGTTATAAAAGGGGATGCACTGGAATTTTTAATAAAAATTTCAACATGCTTATAATAAGGCGTTTATGCAGTCACATTGGAGCCTTAGTTCTCTCTGTCCTGTTTAGTGAAATTGGCATCCAGTCTGACGTCCTTCCTAACTTGAATGGTCGAAGAAATTATTATTTATTCAAGAGAGATATTCTAAGCAATATTATACACGTTGCATGTACTCACAAGCCAGAACAAATCGATTGATTACCAACACTGCTGATTGAGAAATAATGTTTTGAATAAATATTTACAGCAAACAAATGCAAACTTACACTTGAGGTTTTTTTAAAGAATAACAATGGCTATCTAACTAACTATGCCAGTCGGATGCTAAATCTACAACGTTTGTGGGTATGGTACAACCTTTGAGCGCTATTTATCCATTTACATTTTTGTACAAAATTACCTGATGTTTCTGATGGAAAGAATCCGGTTAAAATCCCGGTAACTGTACACCTGAAACCGATGAAAATACAGAGCATAAACAATACTTTTACTATAGCAGTTCTCGGTTTTGTGCTATCATGTGATACTTCATCAATAAAAACCTATCAGAAAATATAGTGCATCATAAAGGCTAAAATCATGAGCACCTGGCATCATTATCCTTCCCAACCCATCATTCCCCAGAAGCTTACCAATTGAGACAAGCACACTCATACACACTCACACAAGCATGTTTACCACCCCCCCAAAAAAAAAAAAAAAAAAAAAAAAAAAAAAAAAAAAAAAAAAAAAACTTGTTTGGAAGCCGATACTACTGAGACTCAGAACAATTATATATCACAGTTATAACAGGAATAGGAATGGCCCAGAATAGATGGATACTCCTTTCTCCGAGGCATGCAAGAGTTCAAAATTTCAGTCATGGTTTAATCACCTGCATTAAAATAGACCCCCGACAATAAAAAGTCAGTTATCAAATTGGGATGTGCTATGTCATGGAAATGCAAGAAATATTCAACTGAAATGTAACTATGTGATCGAACCATCAGTTTTGTTCCCATGGCTGAGGGGGGCCCAGATATTTCTCCATGGACTCTTTCTTGCGCTCAGGATCGAGGCTGCACACATGAACAACCAGTTAGCCTTGGTTGTAGAGATTAATGTCCTCATATATATTGTGATGATTTGTGTTTTGTCAAAATATACAAAACGAAATTAAGAATTCAACTAACCTATTTCTGAAGCCAAGAAGAGCACAATGTACAGCACTAGCACAAGCCGAAGCCGGAGCTATAGCAGCTGCAGGAACTGCCCGAACAGCAGTTGCCAAAGCTGATCCTGCACCAGCCCCACGTTGGTATTTTTTTAGGGGAGTCCGGACCAAAGCAGAGGCAGATTTCCCCAGGCCATCACTGAGGCTTTCATAAGCCTGTCAAAGCAAGAAAATTAACTTGTTTAAGAAAAATAAAAGAGCACATCCCTACGCCCAAAATAGGTAGCACTTGATTATTATACATAGTAAAACACAATTTTTACGTCCACACACTAAAGAATTTCTAAAACTAAATTTTGCACAGAATTAATCCTTCGAAGAGAACCAATGAGAGGGAGGGAGGGAGGGAGGGGCAAAAATCAACTGAGAGTCTTAAGTACTTCTTTTTCAGGCTCAGTTTCTCTCAAAATTAAATTTTATATCAACAGCTTTGGTTTGAATTTTCAGATTTTGAAAGAAATCATTTTTAAGGCCCAAAGTATTAGGAATTTAGGACAACTATTTCTAAGTTTGTGCAAGCAATTACCCCAGGTTGGAATATTCACCTGATGAATTCCTTGTTGAGCATCTTTAGGCTGATTAGATCTGACATTGGTTTTCATTTTATGTGGTACCGACCATGGTGCAGAAGAAGGAATTCCTGTAAGTAAATATTCTGCTTGGAGTAAAATGTCATGAGCCCCAGCGGCCAAATGTACTCCAAGTCCAACAGCTTCAAGAGAAATACTTCTAAGAAATGCAATTGTTCCTGAAAGGAATTAGTGCAATCATGAATACCAAGGATTATTCTTTCCAATTTAATATTATCTGATATGGAGACAGATGGTTTTATTATACACTGTTAATTAATGATAAAGGCCTCATTTATCTAAACTCGGTTAATTGAGATTCAATAAGACATATAACTCGAGTCAAGGAACACCTAAAAACTGACATGGATGTGCACGTTCCCAAAAGGGAGACAGTTGAATGAATTCAGCTTACCTCTTTGCATTCCCTTAAGTACTCTTTTGTCCTTCCTATAACTCTCAATGGGCAAAGAAACCAACTTTGCAGCACCAGCACCAACTGCTACCAATGACCTAATTGTAGGAAGACCTCGCAATATTTTGTGAATCTACATTGTGAAAATACAAACTTGTTACACAATAGTATTTGCAAAGGGGACAGAATACTAAAGAAGTGCAGGTAATTCCAAAACCTGATTCTGAGAAATATCTTCTAGCCACTCCCCTACAATTGTCTCACATACACTACCCCAACCATAAATACCAACTGCATGAACATGCTTAAGCTGTAGCTCAACCCCCTGCATTTATTTGTGAAAGTATGGCCAATAAGTTCCTTTGTCAATCTCAATGAGAAAAAAAAAGTTCAAATACAATCAATGGAAGGTAGAGATCAGATAGTTATCAGGACTGCAAAATTCAGTAACACAAATAGAATTTAATTTCTGTTACAACAGTGAGCCTCGTTTAAAGGCAATCCTGCTGTTTACTCATTCCAGATTTAGACCTCCAGTAAATATTAATACATATTTTCATATTCTCTAATCTTGTCATTAAAGGAATACGAGGAATACACCAAATTCTCAACTCAATTAAGTAGGATGACAGCAAATGTAAGACAAAACCCATAAGATAATAGACCGGAGCACAAGAAAGACTTTAAATCTGCTAACTGGACGGTAACTAAAAAGGTCAGAAGTTTGATGTTAACCAAGTCTTCTGCAAATTTCATGGGAATGGATACCAGGAAAGCATACGATTCATGTGATCATAGACCAATTTTGTATCCTTTCACAATCAGCTCTATTGGGACAAAAAGTAACAAGTAAAACCTTTTTCTTCCTTTACTCGTATAAATCTCATAAAGTATAAGAAGCAAACAATATACCTTCCATGGGACAAGATTTACAAGTTCTACATACTTCCCGCCTCTTAATGCTGCCAGATCAACACGGCTGGGACTGTAGTCAACCCGAACAAGAATAGGCCATATATCAAACTTCTGAGGAGAAAAAAAAGGAAACTGAAGCAATCAGTACATGGATTTGCATATTTAAAATCCACATATTACAGGAAAAAAAAATGAAGCACGTTAATTTAAGAAAACCACAAGTTGTGGATTCTAAGAATTATGCATGAATATTTTATCCCACTCTTTTGTTTGTATTCCCCATTTTCCCATTCGTTTTTCCCTCTCAGGGAAGTAGAAAAGATAAATCATTATTCATTATAATGAAGACTGGCTTTGAACACGGCTAAGCCTAAAGTAATAAATGTTAGAAGTTCCGAGTACCTCAGTAGTCTCAAAAAATAGGATCATACAGCTGAAACCAATTTATTGGGAAAGGCTTAATTAAGCTAGACTGATTCCCAGCACCAGGGTGATCCCTTTATGTTCTTTATATAACATGCTATCACTTTCTAGAAAATGCAAACACACATTTGTGCCTAGGATGAAAGCTAAAATTCAAAGCACACCAGGGAGAAGAGGGGAAACAACTTGCCTGAAAGTAGGGAAGAAATGCCTCCTCTTCAATGGTAGGCCCTGCAAGATTATTACTTTTGGCTGGCAAGAATTTTGAACCATCTGACTCTTGACGACACCCTGGAGACTGGTCGATTGAAGAGCTCTTTGCCCCAAAAAAACTGATGAGAAAATCAAGTTGGCACTGATGAAGGTGCAATAGCATGGGAAGGAGTGCGACACGCAACCTACAAGGGAGAAAATATAAGACCAACACTCAATGAACACTGTTATACCACCATCTATACTTCCTGGGGCATGACAGCCCAAAACAGATTTGCACTACCACCTTAACCAACACACTAATTATAGTATAAAAAGAAGGAATACCGGTACTCTTCAAGAGGGGTTAAAGGATCCGGTCTGACAGATTCTAAGTCCAGCTTGAATGCTTTTGAAGATGATTTCCGAGGACGATCCTTTGAATGATAATATCCGAGTACCTTCCAACCAAGAAGGAAAAAGAAATTTAACCAATTTTGTAAAGCCCAAAAATTAAATTTTGGTGTTAAAGTATGAAAGGTTTACCAGTTTCCAAGGAGCATCTTTGCTCCGGTCATATAGATAAAAATCTTGAACTGAAAGAGAAAGCTTAGATACACTTATTCCACCAGCAGGGAAAACATCATATTGAAATTCCATCCCAGACAGTGCAAACTCTAAACAAACAGTAGCATCCCTTCCACTACAATCCACTGATCGCTGATCAGTTGCTCTAGAATCGTGCCAATCAGACCCAGAAAGCATTCTCCACCTAACATCAATGTTCTTAAGAAGTACACAACCAATGGCCTTTCCAAAATCATTGCATTTTGTACCTTCTATAGAAGGAAGCTTGTCTTCAACAGGTTCTTTCATACTACTTTCACTCGCTTCAGAAATGTGGTTTTCTAGAATTCTTACGGATGTACCATACCATCCATTATTTTCTGCTCCAACATCTCTGTTAATGACATTCCTGGTCTTGCATTTCAGAATCTCATGTGGTGATTGTCTGTTGGCAGACAATTCCGAGAGAGGTCGTAACTCAGATAAACAATACCCTTCTATTAACTCCAGAACATTACCTTCTTGTAGAAATGATGTTTGATTACTTTCTAATTCCGCTACAGGCATTGACCCATCAAAAGATGGACCAGGAGAGAAAATTTCAGGAGTTTCGATACTTGAGTAACGGGCCTCTCCAAGGTCTTGATCAAACGAAATACAAATTTGTGACTCAGAAGTATCATATTGACAGGTCTGATCCTTATCTAAGTGAAATGCATCATCACATATCTCATCCATTAACCCAACCGACCGAGTTTCACTCTCTGTAACTGCACCAAAAGTGTGCACTTGTGAATTTGGCAATAAAGAATTGCTGCCAGAGTTACTTGCCTCATCATTGAAACCTCTGCTCTCTTGCTCCTGCTGTACTTTATTCCATCTAGTCTGCAAATGCACGACTGATTCCTCCATGTCAGGGGCAAATAACTTTTGAAGTTGGGCAGCCAAACGAAACAGACTAGACATGGTGTCATAGCATGTTTCCACATAAACATGAGATTTTGAACATTCTACCTCCCAGAGAAGGCCATTATTACAATTAGTTTTCAACGTTGCTTCAACAAGTGCCTCTCTGGCAACTTTCACATACCCAATCTTGTGAAGATGTTCTACACTATAAATGCCACCAACATCCTCAGGCTTTGCCATTACACGGAGAAGAAGCCCAAGATCTTGCACTCTAATTCTGTATTCACTTTCCATTGAATCTTCCGTGGTTGAATTTGAAAGATTTAAGGAAGACGCAGCCAAAAGACAAGAAACATATTCCTCGTCTTCTTTGACATATGAAAAAATAGGCTCCGAATCTAAAGCTTCAGTCCTGACCATCGCATTCTTTAGGTAGGGCTCATAACTTAATCCAACATCAACCAAGTTAAGAACAAAAGACGATCCATGAGGTGAATTAACGTCGCCCTTTTCGATGTCCACTGCTTGCTTAATTTCAGGAGGAATAACGAAAAAGGAGCATATTGCCTCAGTCCAATCCAAGCGACCGCCTACTGCAACAATTGTGGCACATCGGACAGTTATAGATGTAGAACCCTGAAAAGTCTTGGGATCCCACAGATGTACAATATCAGAACCAGCCAGCCTAGAGGATAACGCATTAGAACCCCCTCCATCACCACGCTTCATTGTTGAGTTGCTACATGCGATTAGAAGAAACTCCTGATCAGGAATACCAGTGATAGAACCCCACAATTTGCCTTCCCCATGGGCCAGCCAGAAAAAATTGGCACCTGTTATACCTCCAATATTTGAGACAGAGAGCATTTCTAGTTTCTGAACTTTCAGTTTTAGCTGATGCCACGCGCCAGGAAGTTCACTCTGCATCGAGCTTTTGACAATCTCCTTTGCATCTAGGCTAATCAAAATTTCTACAGAATCACAGCCCACAAGGATAGATGTCTGAGACACAGAAGATTTTTCCTTAACATTGACTGAACCACAAGCCACATTTAACTCATTTATCATCTGATCTAAAAGACTATATAACCCCTTATATTGAGTATTGCCTAGACTTATTGAAACAGAAGGTAGACAAGCATGCAGGGAAAAAGCGGAGCTCAAAATAATCTCCTCTCGAGTGTGGGAGTTTAAATCTTGTAGATCTTTCACAGTAGACACAGAAGCAAACTCATGATCTTGTCCGACAAATTTAGAAATGCTCCTTGATTCCTCAAAAGTAGCTAAGTTCTTGGCTTTCTTTGCTATCCAAGGACCAGTCACATAACCCTCCTGCCAAAGCATACTAATGACAGAAAGACGGCCTGTTCTGTCAGTCACGGACATTATATTCTGTGCGGTAAATTTTTGCCTCTGCATGTTCCCAGATCTTATTCCAGCATTATCCTTACTTGCAGGACTGACGAGGAAAACATCAAGATTACCAACATTCAAATGTAAAGAACGCGTGGCTGTTGAAGAAAACCTTTTATCTGACCTTGCATCTGAAGTTGGACCGTGCTCTTGGATTATACCTTTGTTAAAAGTTGATGGTGAAGAAAATTCAAGAGCAATAAACTGATCCCAGGAAGAGAAGCCTCTAACATCTTCACCCCCTTTAGCACGAAAACACAGAATTATCCTCGCACTAGGGATCAATATATCACCTCGCAGGCTTTCTGTTGAAGACAAGGTCGTAACACAGCTAGAAGATCTTCTAAGATTCCCATGAGATGAACCATGGTTCTTATTGGAGGCCTCAGAAGGAACCTCAGCCTGTTTGTTATTCATTTCGACAGGCTTTTCCAATTCCTTCACCAGTTCAAATAGCACATTTAGCAAAGAGAAGTCCACCCAGAAAACAAAATGTGGCAGTTTCAGTGAAAATGATGTTGTCCCAGATAAACTCCCATTTGATGAACTAGAACCCACATTAAATTGGCAGTGCGTAACACCTGAAGTTTTAAGCAATGTAGTTCTGACTACACCATCCTTATACCCAAACGGAAAATCTTCAGCAGCTAAAGCATTTGATTCATCCAAATCTTCAGAAGATGAGACATACAGAGGAAGAGCATTTTGAACATCAGCTTGAAGATGTAGAACCGAAAGAGTTTGGCTGTTAATATTGTTATTACACCCTTGAAAGCCAAACTCAAAGGTATCATCTTTGTAACTTGAGTAATTAGCAACCTCAATGTACTCCATTGTTCCTTGAAACCTTATTTCTTGGGGGCATACCTGTTGACCTTATCAAATGTTTCAAGTTAGTGTAGGTGACAATCATGTAGAACCAACAAGTGTATAGCATAGACATCAAACTCAAAAGACAAGATGTTCCCCAAGCACAGGTATTACCTGCGTAACAAGAAGGATGTCTCGGCATTCTGCTCCTAGGTATAGAACAGCTGAATGAGCGCCCTTAGTATCACAAAAATGTGTCTGGTTTTCATTTTGAAATGAAAACACGACAGAAATCCCAGCTAAAGTTGCTTTAAGATTGGTTTCAACATGCTGCTGTTCTGTACACATTAAAATCATAGTTACAGTGAAAAATGTTTAGAAGGAAATAAGGATCATAGTTGAAAACTTTATTATCAGGAAACAAATATCAGAGACTAAAAGCATCCGAGGACTCAACAACTTGAGTCCGTGTATATCTCCAGGACATAAACTATTTTTTCCTCTTCTTCATTTATTTTAACTTTCTTCCATGCTACTATCTTTTCTTGTCGTTTTAAACATTCTTTCATGATCTTCCTTGATGGCAATGCAAGATATCCTAGATTTAAAAGTGCAAAAATACACAATCATCTTTTAATGTAAATCGTCAAATCGAGTTCAAAAATTTCTTTCCCGCATGAGTATAATAACTTGACACCAGACATTCCTGATATTTCGAGGATTATTAATACAGTATTTTGATGCAAATAACTTCCAGAAACAATAGCAAATGAATATGCCAGTTAATACATTAGATATTCTAGGTTAATAAGGGCGAAATGCACTTGCCAGAGGGAATATGCAAAGATCCAGAAGCAAGGCTGGATGCAGCTGTGATAGCAGTGAAAACAGAACACGTCCAGTTCCACGCCCCACTGCTCCCTAAAGCTGATTGAGAACTTCTAATTCCATCAAAACATTCAAAAAACTGGTCCACACTGCACAAACACCAAAACAATGCATATAAGAACAGGAGATACACACAAACAAGATGATGTGAAGTATGAAAAATATTGCTCATTTATACATTACGCTAGCAATAATCAATGCAACAACATAATCACCACATGAAAAAGAAATAGTTAATATATTAATGAACTAAACAACCCTAGAAGTCTCTGGCAAGAGTATCAACAGTAGTTACTTGATAATGGCAGATAATAGCAGAAAAAGATACTAACCTTGCACCAAAATCAAGTTCTTCAATGGCATCCTCTTTATTTTTATGGAGTAAAAAGGGTACCCAATCTGATATAAGATGTGACCCAGGTAGAAGACCTTCAGTCATTGAATCTTGCAGTGTCAAAGAAGAGGATTCTGTGGGAAAACTACCACAAATTGGCATCACCTTATCTGCTGCAGAAAAAACGGACCTTGGTGAAATGCAGTGAGATGCTGAATCAAGGAAAACAGAATCTGCTGACTTAAGACTACTCCCGTCCTTTTCCAGATTTTTATATTTTTCCCAAGCAAGCAAAAGCCATTTAATTGTGCTGGGTTGAAATCTTAATTCTACAGGTTCAATAGAAACATCCGCGTCCACTTTACGAATGTCTAAAGACCCATTCTTCCAAGGTATACTTAATTTTAAATTCCCTGAAAATCCACCTCTTTTCCCAATCAATATCGGCGTGGTAGCACATGGTGGACGGCACCCTGAAAAAAATGTGCTTTCTGTCTCGCATGGAATGCATGTTTGATTATCAACATCATCCATTTGGAGCAATTCAAGTGCTGCTCCTTGAAACTTGACAAAGTTTGTTAGTTGACTAATCCCGAGAAAGTTCTCAATTCTTGCATCAGCATTTTGAGTATCATCTTCAGAAACACATGTTCCGCATTCTGTTTCTGAAATTCGAAGCACCAAGGTTGAGCGACACCCCGATGTCTTTCCATCCATTTCTATACAAGGATCAAATGCAACAATCAACCTTTTTATCGTTACATGGAAGCTCGTTAGAAACCACTTTACCATCTTTGCAATTGTTTTAACACCTTCATGCACATCCCTGGAAGAAGATTTTGCGGTATTTTCCCCCATGTCACTATCTAGCTTCACTGGGTTACCATCCTTATCAAGGTTACAACTTTCAGCACTACCTTGTGACTTGTTCTCTGCACAGGGAATTAGCACAAGCTCAAGTTCATCCACTTCAACCTCACATCCTTTGCCCTTCCAAGGCATTCTAACTAATAGGGACCCAATAGATCCTTCTTTTATTATCACTGATGCTGCTGCGCCAAACTGGAAAAACATTGGCCATAAGAAAGCAATTAAACTCCAGAACTATAAATTAAATGTCAAACTCAAGACGCAGTTAACAAAAGTAAATAGCGGTCTAAACTGCACCAAAGCTCAACATTACCCTAGCTTACGCACAACAGTAAAAAATTGGTCTTTAACAACAGTAAAAAATTGGTCTTTAACATCCAGTTAACAAACTATTCATATTTTTCTCATAACAAAAGTTATTTATAATCACACACTATAGCTTCGTGTTTATTACAAAATTCACAAAAAGTAATTCATTTTTTTATCCCCAGGCAGGCTACTTCAAATTCCAGTATCCCCTACAATTTTGAATAACGGACGAGAAAAACGCCATTACCGTCTAAACTAAGCACAACCGACCCAGAACTCACATTCTAGACAGAAAACAGAGGTAAAATATACATTTTTCCTTCATTTTCTCATCAGCCAAACACGAACTAATACCGAAACCAAGTACAGAAAAGCACGCGTACCTTCTGATTAAGAAAATCAACGTTAAGCGCAAGGTCGCTGAGCTGAATAGTGCCCTCGGAGAGCTGGACATCGAGCTGGTCGGCATCAATATCCCCCAGTATGAACTGCCCTAACTTCTTCTTCAACAAGAACTTGCACACTCTCTTCACGGCCCACCGCGAGAACATCGCCTCTGCCGACTTCGCGATGTTCCACGGAAACATGGCCGCCGAAGGCAACAACGATGCCGACAAATTCGGAATTCGGTGAAATTGAGTGGAATTTGGTGGAATTTAGGGTTTGGGGAATTCAGGAGGCCCAAACGGTGCGTTTGGAATTGAGGTTGGTTGCTGGAGGTCGAGCCCTCACAGATTCAGAAGCGCTATAAAGATTGGTTCCAGCTTCTGATTTGATCATAAGGCGTGAAAAGGAAACAGAAAAGAGAAGTTGGGTGGGATTAGAACGAAACGACGATGACGCCGAAGACTCTTTTTTCTCTTTTTTTATTATTTATTTTTAATATTTGTTTCCTTTCCGCGTCATCGTCTCCCGGTGGTTCTTAATTTCGCTTCCTATATATTGGTGCCGTCTCCCAAACCCTTCCCTTTATAAACTCTAGTAAAAAGTTAAAGTGAAGAATATTATTCTAGATAAAGTTTGTATTTAATATATTTTTTTTGGACTCTTGTGAAAAAGTTAGAGTGGAGAATACTTCTTTTAAAAATCTATTTACATTTTTTTTTCAAGAGTCCAATTTAAGTTGGTCAATTGAGGAGAGTCTCATAAAACATTGTTCACTATTTGGAGAAGAATTTGAGAAATACTAAGGAGAAGTTAAACATATATATTATGGTGAAATACAAGAAGGGGATCGAAATACTAAATTCTTCCGTCTTACTACTATTGTTAGAAGAAGAAGAAATAGAATTGAAAAACTTCAAAATGATAGTGGTGAGTGGGTGGATAATTCTAATGGCCTCAAAGAGCTGGCGGTGAGTTAATAACTTGATCTCTTCTTTATGCCTTAAAGGGACTACATCCCCCATCCTAATATGTTTCCTCAAATCATGGCAAATGACTTGACTTCACTGATAGCTAATGTTAATATTAGTGAAGTCAAGAATAGCTTATTCAATATTGGTGGTCTGAAAACCACCGGTGTGGATGGTTTCCAGCGTGTTTCTATCAAAACCAATGGTATTTATGTGGTAATGAGATTTATGAAATGCTCAAGCGTTTAGGGAAAGCAGAATCCCAACTGGTTTGAGTGCTACACTGATAACTCTCGTGCCTAAAATTGACAACCCTATATCTATGATGCACTTTAGACCTATTAGTCTCTGCTGCACTCTCTACAAGGTTATATCTAAACTGATTATTACTAGATTGCGGCCTATTCTGCCTAAGCTTATCAGTCCTCACCAAGTGAGTTTTGTCCCTGGGCGGCACATCACAAACAATATCTTGATTGCTGAAGAGCTTATGTTCAAATTCAGAAATTCTAAAGGGTAGAAGGGTTTTATAGCCTGGAAGATTGATCTTTCTAAAGCTTATGACAAACTAAATTGGAACTTTATCAGGACTGTTCTTAATGAGTTGGGGTTACTTGAAAGTTTTGTCTAATTAATTATGCAGTGTGTCTCCTCTGTCACTTATCAGATCTGTGTGAATGGGGAACTTATTGAGTCTTTCACTCCAAGAAAGGGTATTAGACAAGGTGATCCCTTATCCCCTTATCTCTTTATGCTATGTATCGAAAAACTCTCGCATATCATTGTTGATGCTATTGGGAAGCATACATGGAAACCCGTGAAATCTTCACAATCTGCCCCTACTATCTCCCACTTATTTTTTGCTGATGACTTGATTCTCTTTGCGGAAGCTAGCCCCTGCCAAGCTAGACTGATGAAACAGTGTCTGGAGCTCTTCTGTAAAGTCTCTGGCCAAATCGTCAATTTTGATAAGTCAGCAATCTATTGTTCCCCCGACATTAGCAAGGATATGGCAACTGATATTAGTCGCATTTATGGATCACCTTTCACCGATGACTAAGGTAAATACTTGGGGATGCCACTTTTACATTCTAAAATCATGAAGACTACTTATAGCAAGCTGATGGATAAAGTCCATGCTAGTCTTGCATCATAGAAGAGCAAAGTTATTTCTATTACAGGTCGAGCAACTTTGATTCAGGCCGTCACTTCGGCTATTCCTGTCTATGTGATGCAAACTGCTAAAATTCCTATAAGCATTTATGAGAATTTGGACATATTAAATCGTAATTTCCTTTGGGGTGGAAGTGATAAGAAGTAGCAGAAAATTCATCTTTGCCAATGGGATCTTGTTTGCATGCCTAAAAGTAAAGGTGGTTTGGGTCTCAAAAAAATTCATGATATGAATCAAGCCCTTCTAGCTAAAGTTTCCTGGAGATTATCAAGGAAGGATGATGGCCTGTAGGCTCAGATATTTGAGAGAAAATACCTTAAGGGTCACTCCTTTTGTGAACCTAATTTGACTCCTAGGCAAAAGTGCTCACCTACCTGGAAGGGCCATGTTTGGTGCTCAGTTGCTTCATAAAGGTCTTGTATGGAGGCTTGGAAAAGAAGATAAGGTTAAATTTTGGAAGGATAAGTGGATTGATGTTGTGCCCCTTATGAACCAGGTTGATATTGCTCTAGAAATTGATTTGAATGCTATGGTTTTCCGATTTTTTTTGCCAACGGTTGGTAGGATACAAAGAAACTTAGAGGTTTGCTTCCGGAGAAGTGGGTTCAGAAAGTTATTGGTTGCCCAGCTGATTTTGGGGGTCTTTTGGAAGACTGCCAGATTTGGCAACCTACTTCTAATGGGATTTTTTCTATTAAGTCTACTTACAATATGATGTTTAAGAGAGCTGATTGGTCGATCCATTGGTGGAAAGTGATATGGAAACTTAAAATCCCTCCCAAGCTTCAAATCTTCTTTTGTCTAACCTTTCAGGAAAAAATCTTGACTAATGAGCAACGGGCTCGTAGGCATCTAGTTTCTGATCCTACTTGCAACATCTGTGATTGCCCTACTGAATCTACTTTGCATATAATGTGTGATTGCCCAAGAGCTAAAAGAGTGTGAAAGTGTTTGTGAACACCAGTCAAACTAACCCTTTCTTCCAAGCTGAGATGCACCCTTGGCTTTTGAACAACCTTTGCTCCAAAAACCAGTCTGCCCAAATCCCTTGGAGATTGATGTTTGTTTTCATCTGCTGGTACATTTGGAAGTAGAGGAATGATTTTATCTTCAATAATGCAGCAGACTTACCTTTTAATTCTCGTGAATTGATCATTAATGCGGTTAGAGATTGGGTTAAGGCTACTACTAATATTCATCCTGGAGTTGGTAAAATTCAAATCATGTTAGCTTGGACTTCACCAGATATTAGGGTTCTCAAGCTAAACGTGGATGGGTCACGTAAAGGCAGCACTGGAAGCATTGGTGCTGGACGAGTTATCAGAGATCATGCAGGTTACTGGATTGTTGGCTATTCTGCCAACTTGAGGTAGGGGCAAATTCTTGAAGCTAAGTTATGGGCTTATTCTTTGGCTTGAAATTAGCTGTCAAAAAACATTTATTTGATGTTGTTGTTAAGATGGACTCAACTACTGCTGCGATGCTTAAGCATAATATTGAGATGAACATCTGTCATTCTACTAGTGGTTTGGTTAGCAACTGCAAGGGGCTAATGAATCAAATTGGATGGATTAGGCTTAATCATATTTATAGGGAGAGGAACTTTACCACTGATCGTTTGGCTGATTGGAGTCACAATTTGGAACTGGATTATTGGTTTTTTTATGATAGTCCTGAATAGCTGGGACTTCTGTTGCTTGATAACTTGTCGAGGGCTACTACTCGCTTAATAAATACTAGCCCCTTGGCACATGCTCACGCATGTGCCAATTCGTTTTCTTTTTTCTTTTTTATCTTATTTTTAGAATTAAAAAAGATAATGGGTAGTTGTGTTCTATAAAAATAAGATCCATTATCTGATTTTTCTTTTAATTTTAATTTTTTAATATGAAAAAGTGTGAATTTACCATATTATCCTCATTTAATTAATAATTTCAATTCTTAATGCTTGCATTAACCAATGACATTTTCTGGTATTTTGAATGTTTCACCATGCTCTGCCTCTTGCTTACATATATAGATAATTTGTTTTTTTTTTTTTTTTTTTTTTTTTTTTTTTTTTTTTAAATTTTTTATTTAAATAATTTTGTTTGGGGCTTTCACCCCCTATTTCATCCCAAAGAAAAACATATATATTCAAATTGAGAAGGATTTAAAAAATATTCTAATCCTTTTGGAGTGTGTTTCTTACATTTTTTTTTCTCGGAACCACATGTATCAGATAAATCAAGGTTTTTTCATATTTATAGCTTTCGAACTAAGAAAGTTTTAGTTTGGCCTCATGTTCACATTTTTTTTTCCTACATCAAATTGCTCGTGTTAGTATCAAATATTTAGTGGTAGTTGTCTTCATTTAGTTATCAACTAACCTTTCATTTAGTTGAAGTTGTCTTTATTTAACTGAGAATGACGATATACATATATTAGGATTTAGGTTAATTTTATTATATACTTGTGATGAGTTCGATGTTTCGTATCTTGTTGTAAACAATTTAACATTATTATGTTATTTTCTTTTACATGATAATTTGAACTTTTTTTCAATAACAGAATACTGCCTTTTAAAAAAAAAAAAAAAAAAAAAAAAAAAAAATATTTCTTTTACTTTCTTTTCTTTTTGGGAGCTGATTTCCCCACTCCCATTTTCTCCACTTACACTCCCTTACTTTTCAATAATTTTTAATCAATTTTGTTCATTCTCTTTCATATTTTACCGTTACCATACATTAATTTCTTTTTTCACTTCACTTTTATATTATTTCTTTTTCTTTATACTTAATTTTCCAACTTACACTCTATTTTCAGTATTAAAGAGGAAAAAACTTTATTTCTTACTCGATTAAAGGGAAAAAAAAACTTAATTTCTTACTTGACATGATCAGAGGATATGTTAGGTTTGTTGCTACTGCTGCAAAGTCTGCAACCTACAGCTCTTGTCTGCCATTGAGATATGGTTTTGGTTTTGCTCTGTAGGGCTCTCAGTGTCAACTGCTCTCCTCTTCAGGAACCCTACAAGTCATGTGACCACCAAAACCACATAAAATTAGAAAAAAAATTCAAGTTCTTGCTCTCCAAGCAAAAACTAGTACAACTTCTGTAATTCATGCTTGTCATGTCCACAACAGAAAAATTAATCATGAGAATCTGGAAAATCAAATATCCTTTTAATAATATTACATAGTAGGGGCATTGTAGGAGGACAACAAATGAGGTTCAATTCAAATGTTAAAAGCACTTGGTTTTATCAGAAAACGTGTGAGGCTGAGTTGTGGTGTGTCAATTTTTCTCTTGACCAAAAATAATACTTACATGCATGTATCCTCTACGAAAGTTTTCACATTTATCATTAACATTAATAGTTGTCTCCATACATTGTAATTTTGTGTGCACATACAATGTTGCAATAGTTTTGATGTTGGCTCAAGTCTCTATTACCCTTTCTTTTATACAAGGAAAATTTGAGAGAGATGAATCGAACATAAGACTTCAGATGCACAATAATCACTCATAAATCCTTGAATTATAAGATAATTGGACAATGTGAATATCTAAATATTAATAATATATATTTTGGACAAGGAAATGCTTAAAAAATTGGGTACTAATATTTATTTTATACCACATTTACTTACCACAACTTCAATAGGGAGCTGATTTCTCCACTCTCATTTTCTCCACTTACACTCCTTTTTGCTTTTGAATAATTTTTAATCAATTTTGTTCATTCTCTTTCCTATTCTACCTTTACCCTACATTAATTTCTTTTTCACTTCACTTTTATATTATTTCTTTTTCTTTACACTTAATTTTCTAACTTACATTCCATTTTCAGTATTAAAAACGAAAAAACATAATTTCTTACTCGATTAAAGGGAAAAAAAACTTAATTTCTTACTTGATTAAAGGAAAACAAAAATAAAACTTAATTTCGTACTCGATTAGAGCAAAAGAAACATGCAGAGAGAGATATTGTCAGTAGATGAAGGTAGTGGAGTGGATTTTATCTGCGTTTGGTGAAGGCGACGCCAATAAGGGATTTTTCCTTTGGCGGCAACAGAGAAAGGGGACCAGTGAAAAGTTTTCTAGGGTTTTTATAGGGGTTAGAAAAGGAAGTGAAATGGAAGCAATTTTTTCTTGGGGTGGAGATCGGTTCAAGCTTTTCCATGAAAATAACAAAATAAAACATACTTAAAGCAAAAAAAAACAAAAACCGTTACACATGTTATAGATTTTCCAAGAGTACTTATTTTTTTCGCAAAAACTTATTTGAGTACTCAATTAGTTTGACATGATTTCTTGTGTTCAATGTAAAATAATTTTATTTGTGTACGAATTTGACATAATTATTTGTATTTTATATCAAACGAGCACCAATGTGACTAACTAATGCATAATGTTAGGAACAAAATGGCACAATATTGTATGGGAGCAGATTTCCCCATTCCTCTTTTCTCCACTTTCACTCCCTTTTGCTGTAAATACTTTTTAATCAATTTTGTTCATTCTCTTTCCTATTCTACCCTTACCCTACATTAATTTCTTTTTCACTTCACTTTTATATTATTTCTTTTTCTTTATACTTAATTTTCCAACTTACACTCCATTTTCAGTATTAAAGGGGAAAAAACTTAATTTCTTACTCGATTAAAGGGAAAAAAACTAAATTTCTTATGTGATTAAAGGAAAAAAAAACTTAATTTCTTACTCAATTAAAGGGGGAAAAAAAAACCTTAATTTCTTACTCGATTGAAGGAAAACAAATACTGAAAATGGAGTGCAAGTTGGAAAATTAAGTATAAAGAAAAAGAACTAATATAAAAGTGAAGTAAAAAGAAATTAATGCAGGGTAAGGGTAGAATAGGAAAGAGAAAGAACAAAATTGATTAAAAAGTATTAAAAAGCGAAAAGGAGTGTAAGTGGAGAAAAATGGAGTGGGGAAATCATATCCATAAAAAAAAAAGGTTTACAGTCGAATTAGACTAACCATAGCCATTGGCCTTAAACTCACATGAGGTGGCAGTATATGCCCACCTAGATGCATAGGAATAAGATTATTATGGTTGAGCACATCCTGTGACAAAAGATTTAAAAACCTATGAAATCCTAACATTCTTGAAAATTGAACAAATGACTTAGAAGAAAGAATGAAATTCTGACATTCTTGGAAATTAAACAATGGCTTAGAAGGAAGTTACTGACCACCCGAGGATGAGGAACTTTCAGAGCTAGTCGGAAATGATTATGAGGTGGTGGTGTACTCCTCCACGTCATTTTCCTTTCATTAAGATCCTGAAGAATTTGTTCTGCCGAGTCCCCCATTAGAGCAAAGCGAGTTCCTCGAGTTCTTTGAAAAAGATGATGATTTGATCAAGAAAGGAGTCTACCGGCGATCAAGAATTGATTATTTTTTGTGAGCTGTAACTGATATAACAAACTTTCCCTCCCATTTATTTTGTACAGAGAAGGGCATGTTTATCCTTTAACGTGTAGGGATATTTTACTTTTTTTAAAAAATTTCTTCTTAATCAAATTTTCCTAGAGGACATGTCTTTTTGTTTTTTTCATTTTTCTGTTTCTATTTCCCTTTATATCCTTCAATTATAAAATACTGATATAAAAGTCAAGTAAAGAAAAAGAACTAATATAAAAGTGAAGTAAAAGAAATTAATGTAGGGTAAGGGTAGAATAGGAAAGAGAAAGAACAAAATTGATTAAAAAGTACTAAAAAAGCAAAAAGGAGTGTAAGTGGAGAAAAAAAATCAAAAAGGTTTACAGTCGAATTAGACTAACCATAGCCATTGGCCTTAAACTCATATGAGGTGGTAGCATATGCCCACCTAGATGCATAGGAATATGATTATTATGGTTGAGTGCATCCTATGACAAAAGAATTAAAAACCTATGAAATCCTGACATTATTGAAAATTGAACAAATGACTTAGAAGAAATTATGAAATTATGAAATTCTTGGAAATTAAACAATGACTTAGAAGGAAGTTACTGACCACCCGAGAATGAGGAACTTCCATAGCTGGTCGGAAATGATTATGAGGTAGTGATGTACTCCCCCATGTCCTTTTCCTTTCATTAAGATCCTGAAGAATTTGTTCCGTCAAGTCTCCTATTAGGGCAAAGCAAGTTCCATGTGAAAAAGATGATGGTTTGATCAAGAAAGGAGTCTATCGGCGATCAAGAATTGATTATTTTTTGTGAGCTGTAACTGATATAACGAACGTTACCTCCCATTTATTTTGTATAGAGAAGGGCATGTTTGTCCTTTAACGTATGGGGATATTTTACTTATTTTTTTAAATTTCTTCTTAATCAGATTTTCCTAGAAGACGTGTCTTTGTCTTTTTTTCATTTTTATGTTTCTATTTCCCTTCGTATCCTTCAATTATAAAATACTGATATAAAAGTGAAATAAAGAAAAAGAACTAATATAAAAGTGAAGTAAAAAGAAATTAATGTAGAATAGGAAGAGAAAGAACAAAATTGATTAAAAAGTATTAACAAAATTGATTAAAAAGTATTAAAAAGTAAAAATGAGAGTAAGTGGAGATAAAGAGAGTGGGGAAATCATATCTCTTTTTTTTTTGGTGCAAAGTACTCTGTTTTACACTGACGATAAGATCTTGAAGTAGTGGTGGAAACCCGAAATTTACAATTGAGGCTTTGGTTGCGGAGTGTCTCCTCCGAAGTTCCGAGCGTATACGATCTTACATATCACAGTCCAGCGCCATGGTCCTCCATAGTTTTACAGTAGGGATTGCAGATGCAGAGAGATAGAGAAAGAGGAAAACCAAAATCTATTATTGGGTTAGGGCCTTTCAGCGACAACGATACCTTTTGGGCGGCTTCAGGCTCTGCCATTGCCGTAGAGATTGAAAGGAGGTTTCTTGGGTAAGTAGATTTGGTTCTGACCATCAGCTAAATGATATTTGAATTTTGAGTCTGAGCCCCAAGATATTGGGGCACATTTGGATCTGCCATTGCAAGGGCCATGTCAAGCTCAGGTCTTGCGATGCTAAATCCATGGAACCCAATAGGGTCTTACTTAGAATTGTGAAGTCTATGATGGGTTGTCAATAATATCAACATTTCTGGACTTTGATTGTTTTATTGGTTGGCCGCTACTTTTAGCTGAGGTAACAGCCTATGTGTTCTGGTATTACCATTAAATTTTTATTTGATGAACTTGTCTGCTTTTCTGGGCATGATGAATGGTATTGCATTAGTATTTGGAAGTAAAAACTTAGAGACAGCAACTAATCGTCGTCAAAGTTGTGTTGTGAGACTGCCGCTGTCATCTTTCCTGCAACTTACCATTATCATAAAAACGTATCCATTTTCCTCGTATTTATGAGCTTGGTATTCTCATGTTAATGTATGGTTATATGAAGTATGGTTGCTTCCAAGTGCTGCTCATTGCAATATTGTCAGCATTATACCTACATGTAAGCTCTAAATATCAGATAGTGTGGATGTATGTTGATAAGTTTTTTAATTTTTTTGATCACGTATATATAGTTTCTTTGGAGCACATGTTATGATAATTAGGCCTGGATTTGTGTGGATCCATAAAAATTGTTAATTCTTCTGTTTCCCGCATGCTTTTGGTAGATAATTCCTTGATGAAGTTTGCCCTGTTATCAGAAGCATTGAGTTTGGTTAATTCTTCTGTTTCCAGCATGCGTCTCATTGTTCTTTGAGAAGTCTAGTGCTTTTGGTGGTGGGGTTTAAGCTACACTACAGTGATGATGAAATTCATTTTTTGACAGTCCTCTATAGGATGCTGAAGTCTTTGTAGTTCCTGCACATCAAACTAATTTTGTGGTTTCTGAATTTTGGATCCTATTGAACTAGTGCAATAGTGGTTTTGACAGAATGTGATTCCACAATGTCAATGACAGCTTTAAGCTTTTATTTTTTAAATGAGAAAATACAGAAGGAGCTAGAGGGATATGTGTATAGCTGTTTTTGGACAGATTTAAGTATGTTATGCTTTGTTTAATGAATACAGTAACACGTCATTGATTGTTGATAGTGAAAATCGACAAGATGTGGGAAGCATTTGAATCAATCCAATTAAGATAGATGTGACTCAAACATGACAATATTAACTAATCAATGGTTAACAAATTATGTGAGGAATTTTCTTTTATGGAAAATTTTGAGAAAACAAAGTAGGTAGGATATTCACATTGGAGTCCTTAGACTATTGCTATTGACTGAACCACATTCTCCTTTTGTGCTATGAAATGATTCTTTTTTCATGTCTTGTTTATGTTTCTGCTGGGGTTGCCTTGTCAAGTGTTGCTTCCATTTCATTTTGCAGGCATTTTGATTGGTTTTGATAGTGGAATCTAAATCAGAAAATGGCACATTCCTTGAGTTTGGTCTCTACAGGCCTCCATAAATTTGGATTGAGTCCTCAAAACAGAGTATCACATAGGAAATATGGAGTTTTTACTTTGAGACCCTCACCAGGGTTTCTTCGTGTTCGGGCTGTGCAGGAGACTGGAGGGTCTCGGAGACTAGTTGATATCATCAGAAATGTGCCAGAGCTCTCAAGGAACTATTTTCGAAGTCCATCTCGTAGGGCTCTCTTTGGGGGAATCTCTTTGTTGGGTGGCTTTTATGTTGCACAAACGATATCTCTGTCATTTGGAGCTTTAGGAGTCAACGACGTTATTGCTTCAGTAGTGTGTGTTCTCCTGACAGAGTATGTGACCAAATTTTATTACAGTCGACCAAAAGTAACATTCCCTGTTGCTCTTCTCAACAACTTCAAAATGGGATTCACTTACGGTTTGTTCATTGATGCTTTTAAGCTTGCCAGTTAATGGCATATTGTGTAATCCCTTTTGGTTTGTCCATGTAAAGTTCTCTGTTTATATTGGTATAGATTAAAAGATACATTTCCCAGTTATAAACACCCCCATTTCTTTATTTACTTTTCCCCATATGGCAAGTTGGCTTTGATTTGAATGCCAACTCTACCTTTTGCAGCTTGTTATCATTATTGTTTTATGGTTTCCCAAAAGGTAGTTTCAATTTGACACCGTTTCAGCTAAGCTGGACCCTTGCTTTGTTTTTTTTGTGTGGTCATATTGGACCCTTGTATTATTTGATTGTGATGTTTCACCAACGCTTGCTTTGTTTTATTCATGCAAGCAAGTGATTAATCATTAAAAAAAGAGTTCTACAAAGAGTTTCAACGAAAATTCAAGCAAGCTGGCTAACAAGTCCTCTATGTTTATGCATTTGTATTTAAAACTGTGAATAAATTGTACCATGTTCACCTAATTGGATTCATGCCCTTCCAATTAGACACAAGATGTGGAGGACTTGTTATCAATCACAAGGAGTTCCTATTCTCAAATGTAGATTCAAGGATATGAGTGACCCTTGATGCAGCTTCTCAATATTCACGTCCTTTCTAAAGTTGGTCTCCCTAATAAACAAAAATGAAATTAGAATAAAAATTGGAAACACGAAGTTGCTTCAGGTAAAAAAAGAAAAGAAAAGAAAAATTACCGGAACCCAACACTATCTTATCAATCATATTCATGTCAGACATCACTCTAGAAGCGACTAAAAATTCTGTGGATAAAATAGCCATGAATTCCAAGGTGACAACATAACTCAAGAAGCAACTAGAAATTCTCTGGACAAAATAGCCATTCCAAGGACAACAAAACTCAACCACAGCTAAGATCATCATCAGCTCTGTCAAATTCAACGGTCAATTTCCGCAGAAAAGAAATGGAGCTAAAACCCGGCCTTTCAGCTCTGGTCACTGGTGGAGCTTCTGGAATTGGTAAACCATCATCTACTGCTATATTAATCTTTGTCATCAAACTTGAACAGCTAGAAGACTGGTTCTGCTTTGACTCTTAATATGCAGGAAAAGCTCTTAGCTTGGCTCTTGGAGCGAAGGGAATATTTGTGACGGTGGTCGATTTATCTGAAGAAAAGGGAAAGGAAGTTGCATCCCTTGTTCAGAAGGAGAATGCCAAGTTCCATACCAGTTTAGGTTTTCCATCTGCCTTGTTTGTGAAATGCGACGTGACTGATGCAGGTAAGTCACCTGGTTGTACATAAGACTGATTTAGGAATGAATACCACTCTGCACACCAATCATTGTACAGGGAGACAAAAAAGCACCTAAGGCATGTATAAAGATAGTAATTAACAACATATACGATAGGCAATCGTCGTGTTGTGTTGTGTCAGGATAATAAACATGTCTAGAATGCTCAACTCAAATTCGACTTATTTAATAAACATGTCGTGTTAAATAGGTTATTCAACAAGTTACCTGATTAATGACTTGTTTAACAAATGATCAGGATTGCTATATTTGATTTCTTATCATAATTTAACTAAAAAAGTAATTCTTATCAGAATCAAATAAGAATGTTCTCTAAAGCCTTGCAATATATATATATATATATATATATATATTGACTTGAATTGATGACATGCCTCTAGTTTGTATTCTCCATACGTGTGACAGCAACTAGTAGCTCTTTTTTTTAGGAGTCAATAATAAGTGGTAGCAACTAGTAACTAGCAAGCTAAAAAGGCAGAACAAAAAACTTTATTACGTTATTTTATTTTTTCAGAATCACTTGCATAATTGAGTAAAAATTAAAAACAAATAAAAAGAAGGGACTTCTATAGAAATGTCACATGTACTTACACCTTAGTTTCAATTTGTCATCTTAAAGAAAAGTTTAAGAGAAATATCACCTTAATTTTTCAAAATCCATGATTTGTCATCTGACTTTAGCACCATCCAATTTTCCATCCATTTTAAGGGTATTTTAAAAATGAAAAATTCATTATAATATTTATTTATTTATATCTTTTGAACAATTAAAATTGAAAAAAAAATAAAAATTCTTACCTTTCCCCATCTCCTGTGCCCCACCGACGATTCCAACTAACCCTACCCACCTTGAAATCCATTCCCCCTTCCCACTTCACATCCTCTTCCTCCTTCTTTATCTACCATGAAACACCTACCCTCCACACATAAATTCCCTCAGCCCACCCAAACCGAGTCCACCTTTTTCTTCTTCTTTTTTCTTTTTGGTATTTTTCCATTTGCATATTGAATTTTTTTTCCATTTCCATGCTCTATGAACACCAAAAAAAAATGTATACATGCTCAAAGAGAGAAGGGGGGGGGGGGGGGGGGGGGGGGGGGGGGGGGGGGGGGAGAGAGAGAGATGTGTGTTGCGATGTGTGTTTGCTTTGTGTTAATTGATGGAAATTTGGAAATGGTGTTAAAGTCAGATGATAAATCATGAATTTTGAAAAATTAATATGACATTTCTTTTAAAGAAAAGTAACAAATTGAAATTGAAGTATAAGTTCAGATGTCATTTGAACAAAAATCCCTAAAAAGAAAGAATAACTTGCATGGCCCATATGAGAATCACTTGCATAATTAAGTATTGGGCAATAAATAAAAAAATAATAAAAAGAAAGAAAGCCCAAAAACAACAAAGGCATGCATCTCAAATTCACAAGGTCATCAAAAAACAAATAAAAAAACCTGAATTTTGATAATCTAATCAAGTCATTGCAATTTTATTAATTAGTTTTTTTATTTAAAAAAAACTTGTGATTACATTTACCTATGTATGTATGAAGATTGAGAAAGAGAAATAAAAAATTAAAAAAATTAAGAAAATAAAGAAAATGAAGAAGAAACAAAGAAACAGGGTATTACACGGGTTGACACATGACACAACCCCTTTATTAAACGAGTTACATAGGTATTTTAGCGGATTGACGGGTTGACTCAAAACTCACCTATTTATTAAATGGGTCATGGCGGGTTGACCTGACACAAAAGTTTAATCTTGTGGATTTGACCCGCTAATTTTCCATGCAGGTTTCAAGTTGGGTCGTATTGGAAATTGTCACCCGGTTCATGCAGGCCGAGTCAGACCTACCAACCTATAGATTTTTAGAATAATAAAATAAGGGATTTTTGTAGAATTGTCATGAACTTATACATCAGCTTCAATTTGTCACCTTAAAGAAAAATTTAAGACAAATGTCACTTTAATTTTTCAAACACAACTTCTCTTCATTCCCCCTCCCCTTTGAAGTGAAAGGGTCGTCGTAGTCAAGAAATATGCAATATCTTCATGGGAAAGATAAACAGATCATTTTCACTCCCTCTCCCCCCCTTGAAGAGAAAGGGAAGAGAACACTTAAATTGCAAGGATAACACAAGCATAGGTCACAAGAAAACCAAGACTCTAATGCCATGTCAGACAAAGTAGGGTAAATATTCAGTTATCTCAGATATGTATTCTTCTCCAATATGGAGGTATTTATAAGGAATACAATCCTAAATAAAATAGGAAATAAACTAAATTATAATATAAAATAAATCTAAATTATAATAGGACTAGATAAATAGGTAAGTAAACAAAATCCTAACATAATGAGGAATTAAAATCCTAACTAACTCGCCAACAGAAAAGACATCAAAACTATGCAAACTCAAAGAAGAACTATAGCCCATAGCTTCAAGATGACATGGTTATGCTCCCATAGCTTCAAAATAAAATACTTTTTTCTTCTTCTCAAAATCTCTACAACCATTAATTAAGCTAAATATGAGATGCGAACCCCTCATCAGTGACCCATATGAACAGAGCAACTGACCATTTGTTTTCAAGAATTAAAGAAATTTGAAATAACTTCCGTTATGTTGGAAAAAAGAAAAAAAGAACTTCCATTACGTTTGGAGATGTCTATTCAAAAAGTCCTCTAGGATTTTAAGATCTTTTATATTTTAATTTATTTTTTCTCTCTCCCTAATAAAACAATTAAATGAAATTAGAATAAAAATTGGATAAACCGAGAAATACTGATGCGACATTTCGGATAAAAACGTAAACGGGGACAAAATAGCCATTCCCGCTTCCGAGGCCGGCCATCCCCTTTGTCTGTTAGCGATAAAATCGCGCCATTACGAACGACGACACAAAAGCTACGAAACGGCACGAAGCCACTTGGCATTGGCTTATTACACTCGCCCTTGTGCGTCTCTCTCTCCGCCTTCAACCGTTGTCAACCACCGCGAAGATCATCACCACCTTCAAATTCAACGGTCAATTTCCACAGAAATGGAGCTAAAACCAGGCCTTTCAGCTCTCGTCACTGGTGGAGCTTCTGGAATTGGTAAACCATCGTCCACTGCTTTGTTAATCTTTCTCTATCAAATTTTTCATCAAACTGTAACAACAAGAACACTGGTTCTGCTATGCGTGTTTAATTCATATATAACTGGAATTTTCAAAAACAAGAACGGAAATGAAAATTGTTGTACATAACTGGTGGCTGGTGTGCATCAGTCAGGTTGTGTTTGGTTTTGATTTTTGAAGAACTGGGTTTGATTTTGAAATTTCAAATCCATTTTACTTTGGCCAAACAGTTTGCTCTAGAATTGAAAACTTTCAAATCCAATCAAATTCTTAATGAAATCACTAGGAAAATGCATAGACAATTTAAATTGTAGATGTGTAGATTCTTTGACTCTATGATTGGGGCTGCTAGCTGTAAATAAATATTAGTGACTTTCTGGGGTGTTGCTATGTAGGGAAAGCTCTCAGCTTGGCACTTGGAGCGAAGGGAATATTTGTGACGGTTGTTGATTTCTCTGAAGAAAAGGGAAAGGAAGTTGCATCCCTTGTTCAGAAGGAGAATGCCAAGTTCCATACCAATTTAGGTTTTCCATCTGCGTTGTTTGTGAAATGTGACGTGACTGATACAAGTAAGTGAACTGTTTGTACATAAGACTGATCTATGAATGAATTCTAAATTCTCAGTTTTCTTCTTTTCATTAAATATTCTGTTTTTCTCCCTAAAATGTGTTTATTTACAAGTTATACATATTTTACAAAAGTCTTATTTTTCAATGAGTAAAAACATTTGGACGTAGAAAAGAAGAAAAAGGCAAAAGATTTGTTTTTCAGGCATATTTGATTTGAAATATGTACATGTATCTGCATTTCATACTCACAACTAGAAATTTGAAGAGGCTTGGTTCTCATTCATTCTATATGTGCAGTTTTACTAATTTGTTGATTAGATGGTACCTTTCAGATAATTATGTTATTCTTTATGTGATGGACAGGTAATATAGCTGCTGCGTTTGAGAAACATTTAGCAACATTTGGAGGATTGGATATCTGTATTAACAGTGCAGGCATCATTAATCCCATACCATTCAATAAGGATCAAACAGACGGTACTCGCTCATGGAGACTAACAGTAGATGTGAATCTGATTGCAATTATTGATTGCACTCGTCTTGCGGTACGTTTGGATTTTGACTAGGTTTTCCTGATATACCTATACCTTCCATATCTGCTAATGTGAATGTGCTGCATTTTAATCGACCTCCAATGATTTCCCCAAAAACCATAAAGTTCTATTCAGGGCCATTGCCAATCAAAGTTTAGTCCATAGAGGTGAGTGAGAATATGTTGTCATTCCTGATGTTTTAGTCGTATCAATTTGGGCTTCTGAAGGTGGATAAGAAACTGCTCTTCTTCTTATTTCTTGGTTAATTGATCCTTTGAAAGAAAAAGATTACTTATGATGTTGCTCAGAATTCCAAACTTTTGAATCATACCCAGTGGGAAGTAGTGTTGAAAATTGATATATACCAGTCATGCTTGTGAAATTAGATTGTAAGAAATAAGAGAAAAAATGTTTTGTGTTGAGGATTACTTATAGCCACTTCTATTAGTTTCTCTCTGTTATTATGCTTCTGAACTTATTTATTGTTGACTACATTAGTGTCTCATGAATCAACTATGTTTCAAACAGATTAAAACCATGCAATCTGTGCAAAAGCCTGGCGTAATTATCAATATGGGGTCTGCTTCGGGTCTTTACCCACTGTACTCTGACCCAATCTACTCTGGCTCAAAAGGTTTGTTCTATGCAGTAGCTTTGTCTCTGATTTCCTGTCAAAAACTGTTTTTTGGGTCAGTCTATACCATTTTTTTCTGGAGCATCCATGGATACAGATAAACTTTAGTACACCTAACATGTGCAGAGATATCTTGTAAGTGCCACTTTCATAGATAAATTGATGATCATAGAATCATGTTTTTGCAGGCGGTGTTGTTC